CTTAAAAGACTGCTCAGGCTTTCAAACAACAGATCTTGGATCAGGTCTTATCACAGTCCCTCCCACTTGAATCTGTCACAGAATACATGATGTATTGTTTGAATAAGGACTGGTTATAGACAACAGTATTACTATCATTACAATTGTCACTACCCAACTTCCATTAGGAAGACTGTCACCATTCATTATTGTAAGAGTGTATGTGGACATATGAGAGTACCGTCTTAATAGGGACACAGTTCATCAGAGGACACAGTATGACGATGAGGGAATTATGTAGTGAGGTTGAGCAACAGCAGGGCCACTGTGTGCGTGTGTTTTTGCAAACGTGTGTGTGTGTGTGTGTGCATATGTTAACTCTCCACTCATTGTGCAACCACAGCTGCAGTCACCTATGCCCCTACCACCTCTTAAAAACACTCCTGCTGCTCTAGTTCTCCACAGCAGATGGGTGCCTCTCAGCCGTGTGTGTGTGGTGTGTGTGTGTGTGTGTGTGTGTGTGTGTGTGTGTGTGTGTGTGTGTGTGTGTGTCTCCAGCTGACTACTACAAGTGAAACCTCTCCATAAACATCCATCTCAGGTTTAGTGAACCAAGTGTCTGCCTTATGTAAGGAGGGAGGGAGGGAAAGAGGGGGAGGGAGGGAGGGGAGGGAGGGAGGGAAAGAGGGAGGGAAAAGAGGGGGAGGGAGGGAGGGAGGGAGGGAGGGAGGGAGGGAAAGAGGGGGAGGGAGGGAGGGAGGGAGGGAGGGAGGGAAAGAGGGAGGGAAAGAGGGGGAGGGAGGGAGGGAGGGAGGGAGGGAAAGAGGGGGAGGGAGGGAGGGAGGGAGGGAGGGAAAGAGGGAGGGAAAGAGGGGGGAGGGAGGGAGGGAGGGAGGGAAAGAGGGGGAGGGAGGGAAAGAGGGGGAGGGAGGGGAAAGAGGGGGAGGGAGGGAGGGAGGGAGGGAGGGAGGGAGGGGAGGGAGGGAGGGAGGGAGGGAGGGAGGGAAAGAGGGCGAGAGAGAGAGAGAGAGAGAGAGAGAGAGACTACTCCAAGACACACTGAATCCCCCAGCTCTCAACCTTCCGTGCAAACCAAGGCCTTTCTGTCATGAAAATATAAATGTCATGAAAGTAATTGAAGATGAGAAGAACATTCTAAATGTAATAGACGACATTTAGTTTAGGGGCAGTTATGGCTCGTGCGTCACAACAGAACAGGACAAATATGATTTATTTAATAAAAATACATTGGCCCTAATATTCCAAAGTAAGCAGGAAATTGAAGCCAGTGAGCATTGTGTCATGGTCCCCAGCACTCAATCACCTTTCTGATTCGCTAGATTATTGTTCTAGCTCTGGCATGAATAGCTTGAATAACCTTAACTTAAACATCAATTAGGAATTCATTATTTCAATGGTCTTCATTACACATAGACTCAGATGGTTGATTTTGTGATGAAATAAAGTAGGGATACTTTGCGGACACACAAACACACACTAGTCCACCATTTCAGAGCTTGAGCGCAGATGACTGGTTTCTCTGCCAGTCTCTTTAAATACTGTAGGAATGGGTGAGGTGTGAAAAGTGTGGGATGTGGGATGGAGAAACCTTACCACCGCCTACAGAGCTTGGCGGGCACAGTGTGAAGTGTCAATGCGTGCCATAGTGTGTCAATGCGTGCCATAGTGTGTCAATGCGTGCCATAGTGTGCACAGGGCATGAAGGAATGTTTAAAAGAAGAATGTGAGAAGTTGAGCAGATGGAGGACTGTCAGTCATTTTCTTTTGGGGGGATGGGCTGGGAATAGTTGGCCTGTCAACATTTTCACAATGTTTCTTTGGTGTTTCTGTTTCTTTTTATATCAGCTGTCACCACGTACTCACAGTCATGTAGCTAACTTCTTCATCAATGTGTTGATCAAAGGAAATTGAATATCTAAAGCTTTTAGCAGAGATTAGAGGCTTACATGCACACACACACCGATCTCTATGCTACACCGCAGACACACACACCTTTATATGCCACTGTTACACTCTCTAGAGCCTTTGAGTAAATGTCCCTTCAGCTTTCTCTGCCAGGGCCAGTGTGTTTCTGTTTCGGTGTACCTTTGTGTGTAAAAGAGATCTCAACCTCTCCAACAAAGCCTTGCCATTGTAATAAAAAAACCAAACCCATTGAGGTAGTGTTGCGAGGTTATAGACAGCTCTTATACAGTGAGGGAAAAAAGTATTTGATCCCCTGCTGATTTTGTACGTTTACCCACTGACAAAGACATGATCAGTCTATAATTGTAATGGTAGGTTTATTTGAACAGTGAGAGACAGAATAACAACAAAAACATCCAGAAAAACGCATGTCAAAAATGTTATAAATTGATTTGCATTTTAATGAGGGAAATAAGTATTTGACCCCTCTGCAAAACATGACTTAGTACTTGGTGGCAAAACCCTTGCTGGCAATCACAGAGGTCAGACATTTCTTGTAGTTGGCAACCAGGTTTGCACACATCTCAGGAGGGATTTTGTCCCACTCCTCTTTGCAGATCTTCTCCAAGTCATTAAGGTTTCGAGGCTGACGTTTGGCAACTCGAACCTTCAGCTCCCTCCACAGATTTTCTATGGGATTAAGGTCTGGAGACTGACTAGGCCACTCCAGGACCTTAATGTGCTTCTTCTTGAGCCACTCCTTTGTTGCCTTGGCCGTGTGTTTTGGGTCATTGTCATGCTGGAATACCCATCCACAACCCATTTTCAATGCCCTGGCTGAGGGAAGGAGGTTCTCACCCAAGATTTGACGGTACATGGCCCCGTCCATCGTCCCTTTGATACGGTGAAGTTGTCCTGTCCCCTTAGCAGAAAAACACCCCCAAAGCATAATGTTTCCACCTCCATGTTTGACGGTGGGGATGATGTTCTTGGGGTCATAGGCAGCATTCCTCCTCCTCCAAACACGGCGAGTTAAGTTGATGCCAAAGAGCTCGATTTTGGTCTCATCTGACCACAACACTTTCACCCAGTTCTCCTCTGAATCATTCAGATGTTCATTGGCAAACTTCAGACGGGCCTGTATATGTGCTTTCTTGAGCAGGGGGACCTTGCGGGCGCTGCAGGATTTCAGTCGTTCACGGCGTAGTGCGTTACCAATTGTTTTCTTGGTGACTATGGTCCCAGCTGCCTTGAGATCATTGACAAGATCCTCCCGTGTAGTTCTGGGCTGATTCCTCACCGTTCTCATGATCATTGCAACTCCACGAGGTGAGATCTTACATGGAGCCCCAGGCCGAGGGAGATTGACAGTTATTTTGTGTTTCTTCCATTTGCGAATAATCGCACCAACTGTTGTCACCTTCTCACCAAGCTGCTTGGTGATTTGTAGCCCATTCCAGCCTTGTGTAGGTCTACAATCTTGTCCCTGACATCCTTGGAGAGCTCTTTGGTCTTGGCCATGGTGGAGAGTTTGGAATCTGATTGATTGATTGCTTCTGTGGACAGGTGTCTTTTATACAGGTAACAACTCCCTTTAAGAGTGTGCTCCTAATCTCAGCTCGTTACCTGTATAAAAGACACCTGGGAGCCAGAAATCTTTCTGATTGAGAGGGGGTCAAATGCTTATTTCCCTCATTAAAATGCAAATCAATTTATAACATTTTTGACATGCGTTTTTCTGGATTTTTTTGTTGTTATTCTGTCTCTCACTGTTCAAAATAAACCTACCATTAAAATTATAGACTGATCATTTCTTTGTCAGTGGGCAAACGTACAAAATCAGCAGGGGATCAAATACTTTTTTCCCTCACTGTAAGTGCTGCTCTCTCTTTTATCTTTTACAATGTTCTTGTCGAGTATATATTAGCGAATGGGGGGAAAAAGTGGGGAAAGAGAAGGAGAGGGAGGAAAAGAGGAGGAGAGAGAGAGAGAAGGGAGAGAGAGAGAAGAGAGAGAGAGAGCAAGAGAGAGATCTAGCAGAGTATCGAGCGAATAGCAGCTCGACTCTCCTCGATCTCTCTCTCTCTCTCTCTCTCTCTCTCTCTCTCTCTCTCTCTCTTTCTGTCTCTCACCCTCTCTCTTTTTACAGTAAATTGCCCAGCTGGGCTCGAGCGGTGGTGCCCAACATCTTCTACGTAACAGAGAAGGCCTGGAACTACTACCCCTATACCATCACAGGTGTGCACACACACACACACACTAACACACACACACACACACACTCACACTGATGTGGTACTGCAGAACTAGGATCCATTCATACCAGGCACCACTAATGGTTGTGTGCGGTAAGAAATGAACTCTGACCACGTATCGACCGTAACCCTAGCGGAAATGCACCAGGCTAACCTCAACCTAATCTAGTTACCGTGACACTGAGCTCATAGCATAGCCAGGCTAGCTGATTCACGTTATACTATAGTGCACACAGCTAACCAACAAACGTTCTAATAACGTTCCGAGAACAGTCTGGTTCCCGTTTTGAAATAACATAATATGTGAGACTATATTCTCGTAACGTTATTAGAACGTCAGGTCAGCATCAGTTCCCAGAAATGTTTATTCAAAAGTCAATGGAAAATGTTCAGCAACATTCTGGATGTGTGAGTTGTGATGTTTCTTGTGTCATCTTGTGCTCCTTCACGTTGTATCACATCGGAACCTGTTTGCGTTTCTACTGTGTTGTTGAGTTATTGAAGCCCTAACTGTGGTGTGTTTTCTCCCCTCTGCTCCAATGCGTCCCTCTGGGCCTGCCTCTCTAGAGTACACCGTAAGTATCTCTTCCATTTCCTTTATTGATCACAGAGCTATGAAGAGAGCCACCGCAGTTCAATAATGTACAGGGTGTCAGGACGCATTCAATGCAGCAACATGGAAGGACCAGGAAAGAGTGCCTCATCTCTCTCTAACCATTTTCTTCTGCTTCGCTGGTTGTTTTAGTTAGACGTTACATATGGAGTCAGCGTTTTGGCATATGTGTAGATAGTAGGCTTGGGTTGTGTAGTTTTATGCATATTTATTGTGTTATTTTGCATTTATATAAAATGTATGTGGCTTAGTTGGAATGAAGCTTCCCCCTATGGAGACATTAGTATGGCTAGCCATAGCAACAGCTTAGCGCCTGTGTGTGTGTGTGTGTGTGTGTGTGTGTGTGTGTGTGTGTGTGTGTGTGTGTGTGTGTGTGTGTGTGTGTGTGTGTGTGTGTGTGTGTGTGTGTGTGTGTGTGTGTGTGTGTGTGTGTGTGTGTGTGTGTGCATTTCCATGTGTGTCTTCTGAATTACAGCTCTCTTCATGGTGATGAATGTATGGCTGTAGCTAGGCATGTGCTCTCCAGAGATAAAGACACATCCGTTCCCTCATGTCACTCATGAGTAGCGTCATTCATTTTTACTGCCCTGAGGATTCGACTGCCTTTAAGGTGTCAAATTATGTCCATTTGCTTGCTGCCATAGCCAGAGCTTTCTTAAATACTATTTACTTGGTATAACATTTATTAAAGCTGCAATATGTAACTTTTTGGGCGACCCGACCAAATTCAGTTATACTGTAGATTTGTCATTCTCATTGAAAGTCTAAGAACCGTTGCTTGTTTTGTCACATAAACTGAAATTAGGCGAACTATTAGAATTTTAGCAACCAGGAAATGGTGGAGCGATTTCTGCATAGTACCTCTTTAAGTAACATATTTTTTTTTCTTTTTGAGATTTCGGTATCCCCTATTGGTGTGGGGTGGGTTTGTTGTTGTGTTGATTCAAAATGTTATTGGTTAAGTGATTTAGTACATGACTCTATACAGCTATAAGCTGTTATAAATGCTTATAGCAAGTCTTATAATGTGTTAGAAGGCATCATAATGCCTTATACACTGGTAGTTCACAGAAAGTGTTACCAAGAACTCTTTACAACCAACATCAGTCTCAACGGCATTATCAAAACGTTACTGTAGCAGTGTTTTATGTCTGAAAAGGGTTTAAGATTGATGACAGTCTTGGAAACCTGCCGCTGCCCCCTGTAACATACTGTCTGAAACTTCTAAAGCCTTTGAACTCTGGCATTTTCAAATGATCAGAAAGTGATAAATGCCACCACAGTGAGTCATACGGCTTTATATACATTTTATAAAGAGAGGAAGGAAGAGAGTAGGAGGGAGGAGGAAAAGGGGGATGAGGGGGGGACATCGCTTTGACAGTGACAGAGCCCGTTTCGGCCTCGATAAAAGGCAGTGTGTGAGTCATAGGAGGGGGTACATGCAACACACACACACCACACAAACACACCACACACACACACACACACACAGACCAAACACACATTCAGACACAAGCACATGGACCGGCATACAGAACATACTCCCATTCATTCATCTCCCCTTTCTGAACACCAAACAAATCAAATCAAATCACATTTGATTTGTCACATGCGCCGAATACAACAGGTGTAGACCTTACCGTGAAATGCTTACTTACAAGCCCTTAACCAACAATGCAGTTAAAGAAATAGAGTAAGAAAATATTTACTAATTAAATTAAACTAAAGTAAAAAATAAAATAAAAAGTAACACAATAAAATAACAATAACGAGGCTATATACAGGGGGTACCGGTACCGAGTCAATGTGCAGGGGTACAGGTTAGTCGAGGTAATATGTACATGTAGGTTGGGGTAAAGTGACTATGCATAGATAATAAACAGCGAGTAGCAGCAGTGTAAAAAGAAAGGAGGGGGGGGGGGGTCAATGTAAATAGTTCGGGTGGCGATTTGATTAATTGTTCAGCAGTCTTATGGCTTGGGGGTAGAAGCTGTTAAGGAGCCTTTTGGACCTAGACTTGGTGCTCCGGTACCAACAGCTTTCAGTTGGTGGGGATATTGATACAAGAAGTCTAGAGACCAAATGTCTCGATGACACATAAACCATCTTAAAATGCAACACCAGTTTCAGGTGAAAGCTGTTGTTTTTCCACTATTTTCAAATATCTCACCTGATACATGTTTTCTGTTTTTGTTTTGCAGTGTTCTTTCCTGCCCAAGTTCTCCATTCACATAGAGACAAAATACGAGGACAACAAAGGCAGCAATGACAACGTGAGTAACGACCGTGTGTGTTTATGTGTTTGTGTGTTGCTCTGAGGCCCTTCAGTATGATCAAGTCATTCCATAATAGGGGCCCTATGGACCCTCAGTGTCTGCCAAGTGCAGCTCTGCTAATTGAAGAGCCCATTTCATTTATACTCTGGCCTTCTCTCTGTCCCTCTCTCTCTCCCTCTCTGTGTGTTTTGTGTAATGGGGTGTCAGTCTTGGTATTAGAAAAGTCCACTCTCTGTTAATGTTTTGAGAGAGTAGACGGGCATCAACCTGTCTGGTCATTTATCATAGAGTGTGTTTGTGTGTGTGTGTGTGTCCCATTTCTTTGGCCAGACAATATTAGTGAAAGCCCTGCAGATGTAAAAGAGAGGATGTTATATCACAGTGAATGTAAAAGACAGACTCACTCTGGTCTCTACATCTGTAATCCAACCCCAGCCTACCTCTCTTCGCTAACAACTGCTGTGGCCAGTGTCTCTGTGCGTGCACACACACAACACACACGTACACACTTGGAGTCATATATCACACACACACACACATATCACTTTATTTCCCACATGTATGTGTTTGCATGCACAAGTTCTACTAAAAACCTCCCATGTGATTCTATCCACGGACATTGCAGCTTCAGAGCCAACACAAGCTCTGCATCTTTTAGAACATTGTATAATCTGGTCAAAATTCTGAATCTTCTCTACCAAGATACTGTATGTTGTGAAATAATATGCAGCCCTGTGTTTCTGTGCTCACGATGTTATGAAAGATAATGTCAGGTTGTAAAAATGTGTTTTCACACTCACAGTCCTATTTCGTGACAGAGAAGGGGTTGAATGTCTGTTTGAATTTAATGTGAGGGTTTAAATGTGTGTTTGTGTGTGTGCGTCCGTGTGTGTGTGTGTGCCTGTGTGTACATCTATACATGTGTGAATGAAGTGCGTCTGTGCGAATCCGTGTGAATGACAGAGTGTGAATGAAGTAGTGTGTGTGCGAAGACTGCGTATTCTGTCTGAATGAATGGAGGGTGTGGTTAGATGATGTGATTGACAATTCCACAGTCATATCAGGTAGCAGACAGCAGACCGTGACAGCGGCAGGGCTACCGTTATGTTTGGAGAAGAGCCACTACTTAAATACTGTCCCTAATGGTTAATGGTTGTCATTCTTTCTTTCTTTCTTTCTTTCTTTCTTTCTTTCTTTCTTTCTTTCTTTCTTTCTTTCTCTCTCTCTCACTTTCTCTCTCTCTGTCTCTCTCTCTGTCTCTCTCTCTCTCTGTGTCTCTCTCTCTCTCTCTCTCTGTCTCTCTCTCTCTCTCTCTGTCTCACATCCACTGGTAGCTGGAAGCATGATGTGTAACATAGACGTTGAAACACACTTTGAAATGTTGCACTCTGTCCTGGTTGAGCATTCGTTCACTCATCCCCTTAGGCCTAGAGTAATGGAGTAGTCCTCTCTATAACCAAGCCTAGCACACACACACACACACACACACACCTAGCTCCTCAGATGGAAACAGAGAGTGGCTAATGCTATTGTTGTCTGTTTGCCCTGAGGCTATATATGAGCTCTGCCAGTCTGTCTGTCTGTCTGTCTGTCTGTCTGTCTGTCTGTCTGCCTGTCTGTTGTGAATGGGAGATAATGACAGTGAGAATACTGTACAGTGGAAGTCAATCAACACAAGCTTAGAGCTCTCCCTTCTGGCTGCATTGCACAATGACGTGTCCCTGCAGTAGCCTAGTGGAGTAGCTAAGTCTGAGGAAAAGTGGTCCGTAATCACAGATCTAAGATCAGGGCCTGTATGTATCAAGCATCTCAGAGTAGGAAGGCTGATCTAGGATCAGGTCCCCCCCCCGTCCATGTAATCGTATTCATTATGATCTAAAAGGCAAAACCGATCCTGGATAAGCACTCTTGCTATGAGACGCTTTGTGAATACGGGCCCTGATAAATATCTGACCCTGTGGATATTCTGACCACTCTGGCTGAAATAAAATGACTAGCTTCTGTCAAATAACAAACAAATGACAAATGTCTGTAAATGAAGGGCCTCGAATTCTAACACAAAGAAGATACTTTGGGAGGCACAATCAATATCAATGAGCTGTGTAGTTTGGTAAAGAGAGGATATTATTGATGCCTGAAGCCATAGATGACTACCTATGACTAACTGTACCTCTGGGAATTATCTCTTTTTTGTGTTTGTTTGTTTTCAGATCTTCTCAGACAGTGAAAATAAAGACCAGGAAAGGGAGGTGTGTTTCGTCGATATCGCCTACGACGAGATCCCTGAGAGATACTTTAAAGAGTCTGAGGTGAGTGTGTGTGCGTGTGTCTGCGTCTGTGTGTGTGTGTGTTGTTTCATTAGAGGTAATGGGGCCCAGGTGTTATTGTAGGGGTTATTGTAGCCGAGGCAGGCTGTCTCTCTGTAGTCAAACACTGGTGCTTAGAGTCTTATTATTAGTCTAAAAATAGAACCAGCAACATGATTCAGACATAACAATGACAGTGGATACAAGGACATTCAATGATACTCAGTGATACTCAAAGATACAATGATACGACAGACGGACATCATTTCAGTCTATTGGTTTTGCCCTAAGTATCCTAGTCATCCAAATATCCCAAACTATTTTATTGGGTTGGAATTTGATTCAAATACATTTAGTTATATTCCCGAATTGAGTTTGTATTGGAGGTAAACCCATTATACACTCCGCAATACAGCTCTGACCAGATAATGCTAGCTATGCTAACTCTAGCATCACCTTCGAATTCTGCCCCCCATTCACCTCTTCCTCATCTAATTTTCAGTGTTAGCAATTAGCATGTTAGCATATAGCATCTGTAAGTATAGTTAGACTGTTGAATATAATAGATGCAGTAAGCGGTGGTTGAATGATAAATTGCCTCTGCCCCTGAGATAGGGAAGAATCTCTGGAGGGAAGGATTCCTATTTAACGTTAGCTTTCTATTTTTAGCTTTCCCATAATGCATTCCTCTCAGGATGCAGAGGTTTGGATTAATTACTGAGATCTAAGTTTGTGTGTGTGTGTGTGTGCGTACATTCACGTGTGTCCACCCCAACAGGACCTGCGGTACTTCAAGTCAGAGAAGACGTCGCGAGGCATGCTGCAGGAGGGCTGGAGGGACACCCAGGAGCCCATCATGTGCTCCTACAAGCTGGTCACCGTCAAGTTTGAGGTGTGGGGCCTGCAGACTCGCGTGGAGCAGTTTGTACACAAGGTCAGAGGTCATTCACACACACACACACACACACACAGCCATTCTGTCCTCCACTAAACCCTTCCACAAAAGGCTTTATACTCAGTGCATGAGTAGAATGAGACTTAGTGTTCACTATTTAAATAGCAAATAGCAACCACTTACTCCATAGATAGTGCTGGTTCATTTTTGTAGAACTGCTCTGAGATCAGTGTTCTCTGACCCACTCTATTGTCTCTCCCTATAGGTGGTGCGTGACGTGCTGCTCCTGGGCCACAGGCAGGCTTTTGCCTGGGTGGATGAGTGGATCGGTAGGTCGACAAGCACTGCTCTATTGGTCCTCTCACTAACTAATCACTTGGTAGTGTTCAGTTGGGCAAATCTTTTTTTTATGTGTTGAAAGTTAAAATGAATGAGTGTTTCTTATTGGACAAATCTAGGCGATCCCTCCCAGTTTTTATTCTGTACCTAATGAACACGGCCCAAGCTTAACACTGGGAGCTATGAAGCCACTCTTTCCTTAGAATGTTATCAATAAGAAAGGACTTCCATTCGATTTTACTCCTTTTGGGAGTTAAGTGGTTACTGTTGATGCTGTCTCGAATCTACTGTCTGTATCATTGTGTGTTATAGAACTAAATAAGGCATGTGAACCCCTAAACACCTTCCAATTCCCCATCACTGCGTCTAACCCTGCTCAACCTTATGCACTGGCTGACCTCTCTGATATCAATAACCCTACTTAGAACACATACCCTAGGGGGCATTTTCCCCAGACAGATCCAAAGCCCAGTCCTGGACTAAAAAGCAAGCTCAATGGAGAATCTTCATTGGAAGTGCTTTTTAGTCCAGCAATAGGCTTAATCTGTGTCTGGGAATATCGCCCCTAGAAGTACTGTCATGTCCAGGGTTGGTATGTGTTCACTAGCTCACTACTTCATTAATACACTATATACAAAAGAAATGTGAGATAATGTCTAGATGCTTTTAATAGTAGAGATCAAGTTTATAAATTGCCTGGCTGGGCTGATGAGACAGTGGATTGCGCAGTCAGATGGAACAGAATAAATAGGCATTTTAGCGTCATAGATTTAGCCGGTGGTAACTTGAGGAATAGACACAGGTTGGAATGCGGTTTTAACCAATCAGCATTCAGGATTAGACAACCTGTTGTATAATGATACACCGACATCCCCTGGACTGCAGTTCCTTCCATGTTTATCTGTAAAACCAATTCCTGCAATTCTGTATTGGCATTCAATCAAACAATATCCCTCCTGTACACTGGTCTGTTTCTTTTTGCGTCAGCAATATTTTTCATTATTTTTGGCATCAAGGCTTGTAAGATGTTGGCATCAAGGCTTGTACGATGTCTATAGTGAACACAAATGGCTGTATTTGCTACAATGTCCTAACAAGAGAATAGCAATTGCTGAAAATATCAGGAGATATTGCACAGAAGATATTGCACTCATTGAATCATGAAAGCTGTGAGTATGTGGGTCTTGACTGTCTGGCAATAAGAGCAGCAGCAGTAGCAGTAATACTAGCAGCACTCTTATTAGCACTCAGCTTTTTCCATGGCTGCGGGGTAAGTTAAAAACAAGCCATTACTGCTGTAATGGGACACCGCTACTCACTCTCTCCCTTCTCCTCCTCTACCTCTGGAAAAAAAAAATACTTTCCCTCCTACGCACTATTTGGATGATTCCCCCTCACCAAAATCCTCCTGATGTATTTGGGATGACCTGCCTAGGGCTGTTCTTTGGGAATGTATTTTTTCCGGTGATGCTCCCAACCCTTCCCGTCTGACTCAGAGGGTTCTGGATCATTTACTCTCCCTCTCCTCTCCTTTCCATTCTCCCTCTATCTCTCCCTTTCTTCCTCCTCCTCTTCCTCTTCCTAACCCGGCTTTGGCCTGACTAGCTCTCTCCTCTCGACACCAGCTATTTTTGGTCGTGTGAAGCTAGCTCTGCCCTCTCAACCTCCTATTGACTATGCTTGAACTTCGACCTTTCTGCCCCTCACAAAAGCATTAATCACCACCCAGCGCTCTCTACTCACCCACAGTGTGCCCCTCCTCACTTAATCCCTCCACCACCACCTCCACCCCTACTCCACCTTCGTCTTGAGTGTCCTAACGGGAAGGTGCCAACATCTCGACCTTCCCCTCTTTGCAGATATGAACTTGGATGACGTGCGGGAATACGAGAAAAATATGCATGAACAAACCAACATTAAAGTTTGCCATGAGCAGCAGGAGCATTCCACAAACTCACCGTCACTGGATGAAATAGAGATTCATGATAAAGCCAGCGTATGTGTCGTTTAATTTCTTAATTTCCTCTTGTTCTGTTTCATATTGACGTGTTCTGTTGTTTATGTTGACGTGACTCAGGAGGGAACCAATCACTCTGTTTCCATGCAAAATGTTTTCTGAAATAAGTGGTTCTTGCGAGCTTTATAGTAGTTTCTATATCGGGAAAACATGAAGTACTAAAATATTCACAAATTGAGAAAAATATAATGACTTTTGATTAGAAAATGTTTGATCATTTTGATGATGACATAATTAGTAGTGTGTCTTATGATGGCAGGCTAAGATTAGAAATAAGCATTAGAATGCTTTGGAGTCCTGTCTCCCCCCTCTCTCACCCCCTCATTCTCTCTCTCCGTGCAGACATGACGATGGATGAGGTGAGAGAGTATGAGCGCACCATCCAGGAAGCCACCAACGAGAAGATCGGGATTTTCCCCCCGTCGATCTCCATCAGCGAGATGCCCCTGTCCTCCTGCACCCTCTCCGGCCCCGCCAGCGCCCCCACCACCCCCCTCTGCACTGACGCGCCCGAGTTCCTCTCCGTCCCCAAGGACCGAGCCCGCAAGAAGTCCGCCCCTGAGACACTCACCCTGCCCAACGCCGCTACCCAGAACCAGAGTGGAGTCCCCCAGGGCTCTATGCTGGTGCCGCTTCCAAATCAAAATCACTCCCCCTGGCCCTCCTCCGACTCTGACCAGGCTGAGTTAGGGGGGAAATAGGAGGGACAGGGGATGTTCTTTTCCCCCAAATGCCCCGCCACCTCACTGTCTTAGTAGCCCAGCAAGACTAGCCTCTATGCCCCAGTGCCCAGTCCTCCAGGCCCAACTAACCATATCCCAGAGTTCAGTGCTTCTTACACATATCTCCACAGGTCAAAGGTCTAACCACCAGTTTCCAATCTCCTACATCCTCAACAGAAGTCGGTTTTGTCAGCCTTCAATGGATGGCTTCCTCTTCCTGAGATCTAGCCAATCAGCTGTCTGATCTACTGTAACAACCACCCAAGTTGTCCATCAAGAGAACATATCCACAACGGGTTTTGTGTCCTGTCCTCAATTAGCGATCCCTGTGTTCGTCTTACAATACGTTATTGACAAAATGCCAGATGGATTCTCTTTTTTTATATCAGGTCAGCTGATGATCCTTATGTAATGTAAATGTAGTTGCCATAACAACATGAAATTAGAGAGACAATGAAATTAATATTGTTTTGTTCACTTGAGTGAATGAACATCTTTCCATAGAATTCTCAGCCTACAAATAGATCAAATATAATTTTGACCTTGAAATAAATAAACTTTGAAATTTACTAAATGGAAGTAGAAGTACTGTAGTATAGTTAGTGTTATAGCTACATTGACTCACTAAAAAGACACCACCTTTCACCTGGACGGAGGACAGACCATTCAAAACTGACCCCAGATCTGTGTGTGTTCACGTCTCTCCACTCCGCACTCCAATTGAAACAGATGCAAGATCAGGACAATCACAGAAAGAGATCCCTTCTCAGGTCTCCAGAGCTCTGCCTCAGCCCTCTTTAGGAAGGGCAGGGAACGTAACCTTTCTCTCCCTGCTTTAAAACACAATTTTTATACCTGCACAGATATATCTATATACTGTATCTATACTCACCTAACTAACCTTTGGAACGTTTACACAACATTAGATAAGCCATGATAAAATACATATTTGGCATCAAGTTTGACATTGAAGAGTGATGCAGTCAGTTTAATCAAATTGGTATAGCAACAGAACAGATATGACTAGGAAAAATGCCATTTGGGGATATGCTGTAAATGTAAGTGAACATTGAGCACAGTGGAGTTGATATGGCCTTACTGTATGTGCTTGGTTATCTTTGCATTGTGCATTGTGTTTTTAGGATAATGTTGCTTGCAAATGTTGGTACTGAACCAGTTTTGGTGGGCTCAGAAAGTTATTTTGAAGCAACAACGTTAGCGGCGGCCATCTTGTTTTCCTGCACTAGCCTCACCACAGTGTGTCATCAGAAACTTTGGGGGGGGGGAAGAAAAATTGAGGAGAAGGTTTCTCTTTGTGTAATGGCCTAGCTATGATGCTACTATTTTATACAATCACATAGATGCAAAAAGGGGTCTCATATGCCGCATGAAATGTTCACAAACATGTATACATATGTAAAGTATATGTGTATATAAATGGCAGTATATATTGTTGATGCGAAATTGTGGAGAAAGCGAATGTGACGTTGTCCTAGGCTCTGTAGTGTAACCATTGTATAGTAAAGCAGAGTTTTAGCAGAGACTGAAACTGAGCATGTTCTGAGAATACAACTCTCTACTCAGTGCCTCTGCATGCAAAAGTCTATATTGTCTCGTCTGTATACAAATCCAAAACATTTCAATTAAGAAAAAAATTGTAATGTTAAAGGGCAATTCCACCACTTTTCAACCTAATTTTCATTATCTCCAGCACAATACCAGTGTCTACATAAAATGGCGTATTTCTACATTTTGTAGAAAAAAAATATGAAGTTACAAAGTTCATCATCAACCTTTTAAAAACTGTGATTTTCAAACACTGAGATTCGTGGTGACGTGGAGCAATAAAATACCCTCCCTCTGGCTAGAAACTCGTTGCAGGTTTTGAAAATCGCAGTTTTTCTTACTTTTAATGCTACCCTGTGATGTCACAGAGAAGCAGTTTTTTTGGAACCTTTCTTCTTATCTTTGTAACCACAGATCATAGAAACGTGCCGTTTTCACATATCTAGACACCGGTATGGTGCTGGAGATGATGAATATGAGCTTGAAAAGTGCCCTTTAAGCCTACTATTCAATTTATTGAATTTTCTAAACATTGATTTGAAATACAGCTTCATTTTAGTTATTTTCATCATCAAAATGTATTATGTCATAATTTACAAGATATTGAGAGAAATAGCTGAAGTTTGTAGTACCCGTTGACCATTGTTTTGTCCTGAAACCGTCACATTACATTACATATGTGGGCATTTGCACTTTGTGATGAGAACGAAATTAGCCGTTAACAAACATGTACTGACTGTTATATCTCTGTTTTAGGGTTTTGTTGGACCAAAGTTATACAAGCCTACTTGTTGGTCAGATATAGATATTTCTCTACAGTGTCTAACCCCAAAATGTCTAATCTTTACACAAGACGCTCACTATCATTCAAAACTGTACTTGTCTTTGCTGTTACATTTCCTGTGGGATACATGTGTTAAATGATATCGACTATCTCTCTTTCAGGAATACAAAAAAAACAGAGATATGTTGGATTGCCAGTAGGCTAATGCTTGCTTACATGCTTACATAAATTCATGGAGACTTTTTGAGTGAGCTTATGTGGAGCATGAAACTTATGTGGAGCATGGAACCGAAAATGAAAGAGTTTACTATTTACAAAACCTAGTCCTTCACTCTGAAAAATAACCAAACCTTGATGTTATATTTGTCATTTTGCATTAATTTTGTTTTGAATCTATAACATTTAAGGTGCAGTGTCCCATTGTTAGTTCTCTTTCTTGAGCTGTTGAAAAATTCACTGTTGAAAAGACCATTGTAACTACATACATTACAACCCTATGAGCAAAATACATAAAATAAATATGTATTTTTGGTTGAAAGGACATTGAAAATACGTATTTTTCAACATATTGTGCTCACTGTAAAAATATTTACTTTGAATTTGCAACCTCCCCATTGTAGTGTGCATCATCGACGTTCCAGTTGCTTTTGATGATCCTACAGCTCTTTGACATAATGACACATTATCTATAAAAACAATATTTGAATCAATATTTTTTCTTTTTATCGGGGTGACTGTGTTTACTTTTTTCTTTTTACAATGCATCTTGACTCGGAGGTTGGTTTTCTGTTAGAATTTTCACAACTGCTGTAGTTTGATTTTGTGGTTTGCTGTATTTCAAATGGCATCTGTTCATTCTAAGAAAAGGACCAAGCTTTCGTTGTATCCCTCCTGATGCGGCTTGCCAGGCTGTCGTGCTGTCTCCCTAGCTCTGGTCCAGGGTGTGACTGCTGCTTCCTGACACTGAGCCTCCTGAGCAGGAGGAGCGTTAGCAATCCACACTAACACCCTGGACCAGAGCTACGGTCTCCCTATCTGAAGTGCCATCCTTGTTCTGCTGCTGGAAGTCGCTCTGGGTTCTTCCACTGATTATATTTGTTATATTTTTACTGCCCTCCTTGAGGTATATTTGGTTCTCCGTTGTAATTATTGTTTCACTTTTTTCTTAATTATTTTAGTAAATAAAGTTTACTTGCTACTACACTTTGCCATTGTCGGTTGTCAGAGGATGTGGTGCCTCTAAAAGTGTGTGTGTGTGTGCGTGTGCATAGGGGTTGGTGGGGGATTGCATGGGGGTTGGTGTGTGTGACCAAGAAAGAGAGAGTGAAAGAGCAAGGGGAATAAACATTTTGCTATATACACTACATTACCAAAAGTATGTGGACACCTGCTCATCGAACATCTCATTCTAAAATCATGGGCATTAATATGGATTTGGTCTCCCCTTTGCTGCTATAACATCCTCTACTCTTCTGGGAAGGCTTTCCAATAGATGTTGGAACATTGCTGCGGGGACTTGCTTCCATTCAGCCACGAGCATTAGTGAGGTCGGGCACTGATGTTGGGCGATTTGGCCTGGCTCGCAGTCGGTGTTCCAATTTATCCCAAAGGTGTTCGATGGGGTTGAGGTCAGGGCTCTGTGCAGGCCAGTCAAGTTCTTCCACACTGATCTCAACAAACCATTTCTGTATGGACCTTGCTTTGTGCACGGGGGCATTGTCATGCTGAAACAGGAAAGGGCCTTCCCCAAACTGTTGCCACAAAGTTGGAAGCACAGAATCATATACATTTCATAGAATGTCATTGTATGCTGTAGGGTTAAGATTTCCCTTCACTGGAACTAAGGGGCCTGAACCATTATTCACCCTCCACCAAACTTTACAGTTGGCACTATGCATTGGGCAGGTAGCGTTCTCCTGGCATCCACCAGTCCGTCGGACTGCCAAATGGTGAAGCGTGATTCATCACTCCAGAGAACGCGTTTCCACTGCTCCAGAGTCCAATGGTGGCAAGCTTTACACCACTCCAGCCAACGCTTGGGATTGGGCATGGTGATCTTAGGCTTGTGTGCGGCTGCTCGGCCATGGAAACCCATTTCATGAAGCTCCAGACGAACAGTTCTTGTGCTGATATTGCTTCTAGAGACAATTTGGAACTCAGTAGTGAGTGTTGCAACCGAGGACAGACGTTTTTACTCGCTACGCGCTTCAGCACTCAGCAGTCCTGTTCTGTGAGCTTGTGTGGCCTACCACTTTGCGGTTGAGCCGTTGTTGCTCCTAGACATTTCCACTTCACAATAGCAGCACTTACAGTTGACCGGGGCAGATCTAGCAAGGCAGAAATTTGACAAACTGAAATTTGACGAACTGACTTTCAACGGTGCCATGTTGAAAGTCACTGAGGTCTTCAGTAAGGCCATTCTACTGCCAATGTTTCCCTATGGAGATTGCATGGCTGTGTGCTCAATTTGATACACCTGTCAGGAACGGGTGTGGCTGAAATATTTACATTTACATTTACATTTACGTCATTTAGCAGACGCTCTTATCCAGAGCGACTTACAAATAGGTGCATTCACCCTATAGCCAGTGGGATAACCACTTTACAATATATATATATATTTTTATTTTTTTTATTTTTTTAGGGGGGGGTAGAAGGATTACTTTATCCTATCCCAGGTATTCCTTAAAGAGGTGGGGTTTCAAATGTCTCCGGAAGGTGGTGAGTGACTCCGCTGTCCTGGCGTCGTGAGGGAGCTTGTTCCACCATTGGGGTGCCAGAGCAGCGAACAGTTTTGACTGGGTAACAGTAACAGATGCGAGCTTCAACTGGAAGCCAGTGGAGTGTGCGGAGGAGCGGGGTGACGTGAGAGAACTTGGGAAGGTTGAACACCAGACGGGCTGCGGCATTCTGGATGAGTTGTAGGGGTTTAATGGCAAGGCAGGGAGCCCAGCCAACAGCGAGTTGCAGTAATCCAGACGGGAGATGACAAGTGCCTGGATTATGACAAGTGCCTGGATTAGGACCTGTGCCGCTTCCTGTGTAAGGCAGGGTCGTACTCTCCGAATGTTGTAGAGCATGAACCTGCAGGATCGGGTCACCGCCTTGATGTTAGCGGAGAACGACAGGGTGTTGTCCAGGGTCACGCCAAGGCTCTTCGCACTCTGGGAGGAGGACACAACGGAGTTGTCAACCGTGATGGCGAGATCATGGAGCGGGCAGTCCTTCCCCGGGAGGAAGAGCAGCTCCGTCTTGCCAAGGTTCAGCTTGAGGTGGTGATCCGTCATCCATACTGATATGTCTGCCAGACATGCAGAGATGCGATTCGCCACCTGGTTATCAGAAGTAAATAGTAAATAGACGTAAATAGACGAATCCGCTAATTTGAAGGGGTGTCCACATACTTTTGTATATATAGTGTATATTGAATATGTACCCACAGGGGCACAGCCAGCTACAGGCATCGCACAACATTACCACAACTCAATATGAAATACCGTAAGCTAGTCACAGGTGGGCGCTGTCTGATCTTACTGCAGTTTTCCATCTATAAACACACACTGAATACTCTATGGTAGCCGTGCGTAAGTCTCGCGAGGTTTGCACTTCCCATTTTCTTCATCCAGCATGGCCGCGCTGTATGAGGGTTTCACGTTGTGCGGACTTGTACAAAGTCGAAATGCTTTAGATTCGGCAATTCAGGGAATTGAACTGGATGGAGACAGTGACCATGCCGTCGTCACCGATTCCACGCGATCTGTCACTTTATACAAGGTAATGTTGACCAAGAGAAGGGACTGAAATGTTGAACCAGTTCAGCTGATGGGATGATGGCACACTCGTGTCCATTGCAGGGGGGGAGAGGGAGAGTCCGACGTGTTTGAAAATATAGCTAACTAACGTTACATATAACATTTGCAATGGTGTTCAACAACTATCTAGCTACAAATCTGCGTATTCAGAAGGTTTACTTGAATCAATCGACATCCACATAGGTGGACATCCGCACTCTTCCTATTCCTTCAATTTGAACAGTACTAACGTTACTAGATAGCTGCTTGGCGTGGGTTTGTTTGGTTTAGCTGACGTTGGTGCCACTGTCAAAGGTAATCACACTCGTCTTGTATTTGAAAAATAACTTAACTTACCGCAATAATATGACAAAGGTTGTTTGTGTTGGAAAATGCATGTGTTGTTTACTTATGATGTGCTGTGTTGACAGGTTTCAGACCAGAAGCCTCTGGGTAGCTGGACGGTGAAACAGGGACAGTTGTTGACTTGTCCTGCAGTGTTCAACTTTCAGACCAACGAGTATGTAGTCGTTTCAGACAACAAGGTAACACTTGTGGACCCTTTCCACAAACATAAACTAAACACATTTAAAACATCTGGACTTGAAAATTGGACTTGATTCTTTAAATAAAGTGGTGGTCTACATGTTGTCCATGGTCAATAAATGTTTTCTCACTAGGTCATCAGAGTTTGGAAAGATGAAGACCTCAATTTAGACAAAGCATTTAAAGCAACTGTAAGTATGAGCTCTCAAGCTCGCGCTCTTTCTGAAGAGCTCAATTTAGACAAAGCATTAAAAGCAACTGTAAGCATGAACCCTCTCTCTCCCCCCTTCTCTCACACACACAATTTCAACCTCATCTGCTTTGACATGTTTGTCAATATGGTGACATACTCTGCAAATGGCAAATTAACATGTACTGTGCCAGTGAGAAGTAATTGTACCATAATTTAATCAAATTATGCCATACATTTCCTTTTTATCTCAGGCTTTCCTCTGGCTTTGCAGTCATTTTGCTATGTCTCGTAGTTATTGGTCTTAACTACCTCTGTGTCTATGTCTCTTAGGTATCTGCTGATGTATGGAGGGTCCACTCTGCCCCAGGGGGAGAGCCTGTGGTGCTATTCCAGAGAGGGGCAGTCAGACTCCTGGACTCCCTCCTCTCCGCCCCCCAACAGCCCATAGAAGACGTCCTGTCAGAGGAGGAGGTCATAAGGTCAGACAATGGACACTAGTTTGTATTAGCGATCCATAACCATAGGGTCGGTTGGCTTTAGACCCACCACTATGGAGGCTGGTTGGCTTATTCTTATCCAGAGCCATGGATATAAAAAAAATGTATATTGTTATTTTAAACTTGCAACCATATTAATTTACCGTTAGTCAGACTATAATAATTCTGTCCATATTGCTGTCAATACTTTGCTCATTTGAGTAAACAATAGTTTGTTGTGTGAGATGCACACAGTTGACAATGTCCTCATGTTACCCTAGGTGGAGCACCAGCATCATAGCTGAGAAACAACATGTTGTCCTCTTCACGACAGAGCAGGTAGAATATCCTTTCCTTGCGGTACACCAGTACACTGAATAGCCGTGTACTCAATGACCTGCCATGAGCAGGCATAAACGCGGTGCCATTTGCAACATGCTGTATTTTGTGCACGTATGAATTCTGTGCCACACTGTCGTGTTTAACATGGCTTCCCTGTTGTCCGTCACAGAAAGGGGAGCACTTCCTGTATGTGCAAAGGCTCAACCTCAACACCCTACAGAAGTATAGGCTGGAGAGAGAAGACTCTGGAGCGCCCCCGTTGAGTTTCTCTGCCTCTCTCCGGGACAAACACATCAACCTGCTCTACCTGTGTGAGTATGGCCGTCACTTCCCTGCCAAAGTAGTATGTTATAGATGTTAATGTAATATTCTAGTTATCCCCCCAGATAACTAGAATATTGTTGAAATGGTACTGCATTCGATGTCAATGAAGCACTTCACAAACAATGAAACACAGTTGTCTGTCATCGTAGCAACAGCCTCATGAAAGCACTTAGGGTTTTTATGAGGAACTTGCTCTCTCAATTATGTGATGGTGGCATAAGGCTATGATTGACCTGACTTGCATCTCTGTCTTCTATCTCGCTCTTTCTTTTCTCCAGACCCTAACGGCTGTGTGTACCAGAGTGTGGTGGCGGTGCAGGGGCATGTGGGGCTGGAGGAGGAGGGGGTGCAGGCCCTGCCCCGTAGCCTGCGGCTGAGGCTGCCCGTGGGGGAGGGGGAGCTGGGAGCTGCCTCGGCAGTGGCCCTGGACGAAGCTCATGTGGCTGTGGTGGGGGTGCCCCATCCATCCGCCAGGACTGGCAAAGGTAAATATTAGGGTTAGGGTCAGTGCCATGTCAATTCAGGAGCTAAACTGAAATGTCCATTTTCCTCATGTGGAAAATTTGAATTGTAGTTTACTTCATGAATTGATTGAATTATGACTCTCACACACATTCACCCAATCCAACATCAACCCCTAGATACGTTCTTTTCAGAGTTCTGATTTGATGTGTGTAAACAACATGGTGATATCTTCCCCTTGAATGCTCAGGGGAGCTTTCACCATATTTCTGACATCCATCCAATCCTTTTTTTCTCCCTCAATTTCAGATTTCCTCTGCATCTGGAATACTAATTTCCAGACTCTTCAGGCTGGCAAGGAGATGGCAGGAAGAATCTATGGACAGGTAGGAATACTCAGAATTTAGAATTACATTTTTTTAACCTCAAACTTAAACCAAATGACTCTATACTTGTATCTTGCACTAAATAAGACCCACTTCACTCCTATTTATATGAGTCATGATTCCCTCATTTCCCCTCAGGTCTGGTGTTATTTGGGAAAGCTGTTTGTCCCTCACGGCAAGACCCTCTCCGTCATTCCCTACGAGTGTCAGAAGTCCTCTCTGGCCTCGTCCCTAGGGAAACTACGACAAGCTGGGATCGCAGGTAGCGCGGAACTTCCTCAGTAAAACAGTAACCGTGGTGTTAGTCGTCCTTGACAGTGCCTGGTTGAATCTGAAATGGCACTCTATTTCCCTATATAGTACACTGCTTTTAACATAGGAAATGGGAAGCCATTTCGGATTAAGCCCTTGTGTTATAACACACTTTTCATTCAGTCACTGTCAAGGACAGCTATATCACTCCTGTTACACTTCATTGTATATGTTTCCCTCACCTATCTAATGTACTGTATCTGCAAATTACTGTCTTGATATTGCATCTGAATAGCATCTCTTGAAATTGTATTATAAACAAACAGTTTAGTGAGTGGGATTTTAATTTAATTTACGCCTTTGTAGTGTCCAAATCGTCGGTGGCTGTGCCCTCTTGGAACAGCCTACTCCATGGGGATCAGCCACAGGGGCCCACCAAAATAGTGGAGACCAGGAAGATTGTAAGTTAACCTGACTTCCAGAATTGATTGACCCTAACACTTTACCGCCAGAATGGATTAATGTTAATTTCACCTGTTCTGGTTGGTCCTCCCTTTGTACAGAAGCTGAGTCGGAAGAGCCAATCAGCGCCCGCCCTCACAGTGAACCAAGTACTGGAGCTTATCAAGGTATTTTAGATCAACTGTTCATTTGATCTTCTGTTTTGGTAGTCTCAAGCAGGTATTGATGTTGTACATTGTGAGTGAATGACAAATGACCAGTCCCTTTCATAGCGTATTTATATCAAATGTAATTGTCCTCGAGGAAATGTAAGTTGGGTATTGACTGTGGTCAATCTCCAACCCCTCCAGACTGGTCCAGTGGAGAAGGTCCAGAGGGAGGTGGAGGCCCTGGTCTCCAGAGGCGATGCCCAGGACCTGCAGCTCTCGGTGGGCCAGCTGGCCTGCCATCTGGTGGCCCGTAGCCAGGCTGAGCCAGCCTTCTACACTCCCGGGGCCCTGGCACAGCTGGTGCAAACACAGTGCCTTTGCCACAGGTGAGGGTGGCATTGGGTTGACTGGACCTCCTATGGCACGGGAGTATTGGTCCTTTGGAAAGGGAGGTTTTCAGAATGATGGGCTATGTTGGATGCATGGAACGTGAATGTGAACAGGGTCATCAGCTCTTGGTAGTGTTGATGCCATCCACTTGTTATGCAAGTTTGGCTGTGCGTCTAGCTTCCATCCTCTAGCAAGACATCAGTGTTGTAGTACTTGAGACCGGTCTCAAGACCACATTTTGAGTGTCTCTGTGTCGGATACATTTCTACTCGGTCTTGTCTCGGACAGTGAGGACTTATCATTTTTTCCCGCGACCAGCTGAGACCATCGGAGTAAAAAAAAATCATAATTATCGGCTTCCATTCAGTAAGCACATAAAACCGCTTCGCCAGGCCAAATATATACACTTTCTTGAAACATGATTAGCTGAACAGCCTTTATATCTATTATAGACATGTTTGCGCAGTGGCGAACCTGTAGGCCTTCAGTGTATGACAGGTTAATGATGCTGAAAGGACAACAACGGTAATACCAGCACACTCATGTTGGAGAGTGCACTTTTTGTAAAAGGGAGGCTATATGCCGTATACCCACTTTTATTTTATGGGCATTGTGTGTACTCCCTTAATCCCCACTGATGCAAAGTAGTGTAGTGGAGGCATACGACTTATCAATTATGTAGTACAAAAAGAAATCATGCACAAAGTAGCCTACACAATCGCAAAGCACGTGAAAAATATTAATATGCGCGCCGCACCCATAGCCTAGTTTCAGCGGAATATCATCTGCAGGCAGCAAGAGCGCACAGTTCTCAACTGGTTTTGGCATGGAGCAGCTCAGAAGAATGACAAAGTATGATAAATACCAGTAAATGCTAACTAAGACAACAATGGGTATGGAAACCAGGTATTGAAAAGTTTTCGTCTGAAGTCTTGGTTAGTAGGCTATTTGTGATGTGTAATTCAGTCATCATGCCCTTTTTGCATCAGTGGCGTGGCCCACCCACTGGGGAGCCAGGCCCACCCAATCAGATTGAGCAGAAAAATAATACATTATTATTACAAAAATACTCCTCAGTAGTACTGACCTCCAAAATGGTCTCCTGAACATCACATTTTTGGTTTGTTTTTATTAAAACGTGTGATTTTAGCGTGCTAATCTGAAAGATATATGAAAACTAATCAAAAACACAGGATTTTTCACACAGGGTACCTTTCCTTCGCTGGGCAGGCAGTTTGGGAATTTGTTAGCAAAATTTGAGTATACCCACTTCTCCAGGCACCACTGCAAAGGGCCGATGGAAAGACAGCATTCACACACAGCATAATGTTAAAGGATAAGCAGTCTATAAACTTCGACATAATAAGCCAGTAGGTCCCAATCATGAGAATACAAAAACACAACCATTAGGCTAATGTACGACTATTACTTCCCATTGCAAAAAACATTTAATGTTTAGCACACAAAGAACCGGTGACCTAAAGCTGCAATAAAAACACAATTCCACTCACCAAGATGATGATCATTTGAAACTTCACTTCTTGTTGTAAGTTATTCTTGAAAAGGGAGAAGCTAACAAATTAGGAACAACATCCTCTTTGATAACACCTGCTGCAGCCTCTGCAAACTAGCCTACAACAAAAGATGGCTAGCTAGACCGTGGGAATATTACTGCTCCCTATCGTGCAGTGACCTGTTGGCCTTTGAGAAGGCAAAGTTTCCATAAGTTTTTTTGTAAAAACGGCCCCACCCATTACAAGTCAAAATGTGATTGGTTGATTATAGTCACTCCAAAATGTTGCCCTAAAACAATTGAATGGCAGATGCCTTCTATCTAGCTTCTGATGGCCTAGCCAATGGCTGACTTAGCTAGCTAGATTTATCTCCCCAGAGACCACTAAAGAAAAATCCTGATTGGATCTTTTTTTCTCTTCAGTGTTAACTTTCCCTTGCCAACAAGATCTGAAGAGATTTAAATCAGAACATCATTGAAAATAATAATGTAATTAGAATTATTATTGTTATTATAATTATTTGATAAATCCTTAGCCCTTCTCTGAAGGCGTAGAAGGCCCTCATTGTTCCCCACTGAGTTTTGGTTAGTAATAATTTGTAGAGTGGCTCTATTTTCCCTCAGCATGCATTTTTTTCACCATTCTGAATCTCTAAAGAATCCATATGTTCTTCTGAAATATGTGCACAAAAATACTGGACATTTTGAACTCTTATGGTGGCGATTTGACAAAATTACAATCATGGTCTTGAATTTGACTTTTTCTGGTCTCGGTCTTAATTCTGTCTCTGACCCCCTTGTCACCCTCCCGGTCTCTGTCTTGACTCCGTCTCGCCCCCCCCCCCCTCCGGTTTTGGTCTTGACTCTGACTCTATTTTCTCCGGTCTTGGTCTTGAGTCGGTCTCGCTTTAGGTGGTCTCGAACACAACACTGCAAGACGTCATAGGTGAATACATTATGGTGGGTGGGTTCCTATCCAGTTTCCTCGCCTATCAGTAACAATGACCGAAAGAAGACTAGGAAAGGAAGCTTTTTATAGTATTTTCACACAGCCCATTGTTGAGCCCCTTGGTTTGGTTCTGACCTGTTCTATGTGTCTTTCTGCAGTGTATGTCCTGACCTCCTGCTGCTGGCTCTGGAGCACAAGGACTACTTCCTGTGTCAGCTCTGCCTGCAGCTCTTCCCAGACATCCCTGAGGTGGTCACGTGTGCCTGCCTCAAAACCTTCATCAGGTCAGTCTAAGTCGATGGTGTATGGGGCGCCTTTTGTAACAACCTACTGTATACGTTGTGAAAAATATGAATTCTGGTGAAGCTTGGGCTAGTGTTTCCTGCCAGTGCTGGAGCTTGGTTATGTATTTGTTAGCCTAATTGTTGTGCTCTGTTTTGATGGTAGAAGTTTCTACTCATTGTGTACAATGCATATTCTTTCCACCACATTGTAAACCAAGCGGTCTCTTTGTGGCTGTGCTTTTAAATTATGTTTATTTTGAAGTGCTTTATTTCTGGAACTTGTTTTGTTTGAACCAGTTCCAATGCTTCCAAGTCTTGTTACTGCAAATACATAGTTTGTCAATTCATATAAATAGCCTGAAATCAGGATCATTGTTGTAACGGCTGTGCGTGTCTCTCTCCCTCAAGTGTGCCAGACGGCGACGTGGAGATGGTGAGTCTGGAGCCGGACAGCGTGTCATTCATGGAGGGCCTGGTGGCGGCGGGGGCCCGGGGGGGCCAACAGAACGGCTTCAGCCCCCCTCTGTATGAGGAGGACAGCTGTGATGCCCACCACCAGCCCAATCCTCCCCAGGACCAGGATAAGAAGAACCCCACACTGCAGCTAGAGGCCTGCCCCGTGGGTCTACACAAGGCTGTGCTACTGTATCCTTTTGTATAGTCTGGACAACCATTACCCTAAACACTATTCCATTGCAAGACTACAGTAATATCTGATAATGTCATTATTGATTGAAATGTGTATTTGATAGACATCGACACATAGAATCATCAATAGTCAGATGGCTTGAACCAACACAAAGCTGTGTTACTGTATCCTCTCACTATAGGTTTCTTGAATGGGTTGTTCATTAATAGGGATAGATACAATGACACATTTCATTGTCAACAGTCGGCTGCAATGCACCATCATGTTTACCTTGCGCTAATATACAGCACCAGTCCATAGAAAGGAGACTCTTAAACCTGTGTGGAGGTGTTATAACTTAACTGTGCTGCTGTAGTAATGAGGTCCTGCAGACACCTTATAGTGACAACTTTCTGCTCCCCCACCTGAAGGACCTCAACTCTCAGCAGGTTATTGTGAGTAGCTACCTGTCTCATCTCCTTGACAATATGCCATAGTTGGGATCAATTCCATTTCATTCAAGTTGATTCAGGAAGTAAATTCCCATCTTCCTCATTGAAAGACTGATTGTTGCATCCTTCTGTTTCCTTTCCTCTCCCAGCTCTTTCTTCAGTACCTCCAGTTCGTCTATTTGAAATATTCCCAAGACGTCTACGCGCAACCGCCCAGTTTGAGATCGCCCACAATGACACAGGTTGGTAAATGGAAGCATTAAAGTTATACAAAATGCATATAATTATATTGTATAGCATTAACCTAAATGTGTGGATTCTGAATTTCCTTTTTCTTTTCTAGATCATTGACTGGGTGTGCTTGTTGTTGGATGCTCATTTCACAGTCTTGGTCATGGCTCCTGATGCCAAAGGATTGCTGTCAAATCTCCACAGCTTTGTCAAGTCCCAGGTATATGCTTTCTCTTTGGTCCTCACCGCAAATGATAGTTGAGCATTTTTGTCATAATGGTTCCCTTGATAACAACTAGTGTAATTTGTTTGATATTTTTATTGCCGTGATAATAAAACCCGTTGAGGCACCCAGGGAGGAATGTTTACCTCTTCAGTGGTTTAAAACTGGAAAAACAAGTGTTGTTGCAATTATAAATGGTAGCCGTTTTAAGGTAGACTCAGCGTTATGACGTTGCCATGAGCAGCATCGCCGATGTTAGGATGAGCACGATGCAAGACTTTGCAGTCACACAAAGTATCTGCGTATGTGCAATGGTTCGCTCCACGCTGCTAAAACGTGGTAGCTACGGGACCAACCCACCGGAGAAGTTTAGCCTCACACTTCGACGCTTTTAGTTGTTGCGGAAATTGACACACAACTGCTGTTTACTTTGTGCATCTGTCATCTCGCTGACGCACATACTGTATATGGTTCTTCATTGTAAGGGTTAATTTAACATCTATCCCCATCTACCCATTCCAGGTGAAACTATTCTCTGAACTGGGGAAGATCGAGGGCAGCCTTCAAGAGCTCCACAAAATGAAGCCGTCGAAGGACATCAGCCAGTACTCCATAGAAGTCATTGAGCTCTTTTAGACTATATTTACAGATTATTTCTAATAAAACTCTGCCGTTGACCTCCTCCCCATTTCTCTTGGTCAGTTGCATCGTTGTGTTCCACTTTGTTTTCGGTATGCTACCAAAAGGTCCATGGTTCAACTGCTGTATCATACCTACCTACTGTAGATATCTACACTGGTCCCAGATCTGCTTGTGCTTTCAACGACGACCATAGGAATTGGCTATGCAGCGCACAAACAGATCTGGGATCAGTCTAGTAGATTCCCAGATGTGTAGAGCAAATGATTATCTAGTTCTGAACTGTGGCATTGCTCAGACCTAGGACCCCATAGCCATGTGAGTTGTATTTGTCTGTATAACCTGAGGGCGTGTGTAGTATAAATATTTGCTAATATGAATTATGCAGAAAACGATATAGTCCCATGATATTGCAACATGGCATAGATACTTTTAACCTATGGAACATACTGCCCCTTATAGGAATATACTGACATGTCTAAAAATGGAAATGGGACTCAACCTTCCATATGGTTGACAATCTTGTGGTTAAATGTTGTATTTCATAAAGGCTATTTGGGCTGTGAATAACTGTACATCTCCCAATCACATTGTAGTGTAGCACATGTTTTCTATAGATACATTTTGTGTTGCATTCTAACAAAGTAAATTCTGAATTCATGTGACAGTATTTGTATTAAAAATACCCTATGCACAAAATATCCCTCGTCTATGTCACATCATGATGAGTTGTATGGTTATCATATGTATGTCTAAGGTAAGATGACATGGTACATGATACCAATATACACTATATATACAAAAGTATGTGGACACCCCTTCAAATTAGTGGATTTGGCCATTTCAGTCACACCCATTGCTGACATGCAGGGGTGCAATTTCAGTTTTAGAAGTGGTTTATCTAGTCGGATAAACACTCCAAACAGCATACCCGACCGCTCGGAGGCGTCCGCATGGTCCTAAAGCACACCGTAACCTCGTTTTGTATCGCATTCCAATGATAAAACTTGGGGGGGAATGCAATTCCAGAATGTGGGGACCCACCGTCCCCAGTGAAAGTTGCGCCCCTGCTGACAGGTTTATAAGATCCAGCACACAGCCATGCAATCGCCATTGGCAGTAGAATGGCATTACTGAAGAGCTCTGTGACTTTCAACGTGGCCAGTCATAGGATGCCACCTTTCCAACAAGTCAATTTGTCAAATGTATGCCCTGCTAGAGCTGCCCCGGTTAACTGTAAGTGCTGTTATTGTGAAGTGGAAACATCTAGGAGCAACAACGGCTTAGCTGCGAAGTGGTAGGTCACACAACCTCACAGAACAGGAGTGCCGAAGCGCGTAAAAATAATCTGTCCTCTATTTCAACACTGACTACCGAGTTCCAAACTGCCTCTGGAAGCAACGTCAGCACAAGAACTGTTCGTCGGGAGCTTCATGAAATGGGGTTCCATGGCTGAGCAGCCGCACACAAGCCTAAGATCACCATGCGCAATGCCAAGCGTCGGCTGGAGTGGTGTAAACTCACTGCCATTGGACTCTGGAGCAGTGGAAACGCATTCTCTGGAGTGATGAATCACACTTCACTTCACTTCACCATCTGGCAGTCCATGGATGAATCTGGAATTGGCGGATGCCAGGAGAACGCTACTTGCCCCAATGCATTGTGCCAACTGTAAAGTTTGGTGGAGGAGGAATAATGGTCTGGGGCTGTTTTTCATGGTTCGGGCTAGGCCCCTTAGTCCCAGTGAAGGGAAATCTTAGCGCTACAGCATACAATGACATTCTAGACGATTCTGTGCTTCCAACTTTGTGGCAACAGTTTGGGGAAGGCCCTTTCCTGTTTCAGCATGACAATGCCCCCGTGCACAAAGCGAGGTCCATACAGAAATGCTTTGTCGAGATCTGTGTGGAAGAACTTGACTGGCCTGCACAGCACCCTGACCTCAAACCCATCAAACACCTTTGGGATGAATTGGAACGCTGACTGCGAGCCAGGCCTAATCACCCTACATCAGTGCCGACCTCACTGTGGCTGAATGGAAGCAGGTCCTCGCAGCAATGTTATAACATTGTGGAAAGAACTTCCCAGAAGAGTGGGGGCTGTTATAGCAGCAAAGGGGGGACAAACTCCTTATTTATGCCCATGATTTTACATTTACATTTAAGTCATTTAGCAGACGCTCTTATCCAGAGCGACTTACAAATTGGTGCATTCAACTTAGAATAGCCAGTGGAAGAACCACCCCCTTTTCCCCCTTATTTCTGTTATGGGGGGGGGGGGGGTAGAATGATCACTGCCATACTATTCCAGGTACCCCTTAAAGAGGTAGGAATACCTGGAATAGTATAACAGCAATCCTTCCACCCCCCCCCCTCCCCCACCCATCGTAGACCCCACCCCAACAAGCAGGTGTCCACATACTTTTGGTCTTGTAGTGTATGTAATTTAGATAACCACATCAATAGGTTTTGCAAAACTGCTAAAGGCTACTTGGAACGTGCAACCTGAAAATTAAGTATTTAATTTTGAACACTTGGAGGTGCCCTTTTCCATTGTGTTGTACCGCATTTTGCATAAAGACGGTAGGTAATATCAAGACATTAACTGCATTCAAGTGGACGTAACAAATGTTTAGTTGACTGATTTGGGCATTTGAAGTACTACACTTTAGCGAGAAACTTCCCATTACCTATTGTTACATGATCAAAATAAATCGTTGTCGGCAGGATTCGAACCTGCGCGGGAAGATCCCAATGGATTTCTAGTCCATCGCCTTAACCACTCGGCCACGACAACTTGTTATAACACTATGAAATTACTCCCCAATTTAACCCATGCCATTTCTAACTTGCTATTTATTGTTATTTTGAAGACTTTTAGCCATGTCTTGAACTACCATTCACTGTGCTGGCTGCTTCTATTGAAAATGTAGCTATAACCTCGAAATAATTCGACTGCTGCCTGCTAGAGTTTATAAGGCAATGTGCTTGCTTTAAAGAGAAAAGCCTTGGCAAAGCCAAACTACAGAGAGCATGCACCAGTACACTAGACATAGTAGGCCTGATCTAAATAGGCTACATTTGAGAGCATAAACCATAGACTGTAATTAAACATAATGTTGCTAGACCCTATCATAAGAGAGGGATTTAGTAAAACGGCACAAAAAAAATAGAAAAAAAGAAACAATGTAGCACCACAACTGCTACATTGGTAGGTTATGAAAAAATGTATGCACTCACTAACTGTAACTGTAAGTCGCTCTAACTGTAAGTCGCTCTGGATAAGAGCGTCTGCTAAATGACTAAAATGTAAAATGTCAAAATTTGTCACCATCATTCCATGGTGATGGAACTGTTCTGATGTTCTTCGTTCTGGTCCAGAATGTTGAATGACGCCTTTCATAATATCCACTGTGTTCATCAATAAGTAAACACAATGTTTGAAGAAAAAAATAATGTCCTATCCTATTTTTATAAATGCATACAATTATCCAATGCAATACACAATATTTTATGAGTCTTTTTTGCCATTAAAATAAGCTTATTGAATAACTCACTCTGCATTAGCAAAATTACAAATGGAGTCTCTTTGATAATAACAACAAATCAACTACCAATGGCTACATGATTTAAATGTTGACATATAGTGAACTTCTGCCTAATATGTGATCATATTTGCTGTAACTGAAACTGATTTAACAACAATTTGGTTTCATGATTCTGATCTTCCCTGTGTCCGACTACGTATGCTTGTTTATATTCTGGCTAGAATGACGACGTCAGCTGCAAATTGACAACGCTGTTACATTGTAATAAATCGATATTTTCTTGATTTGTATGAATTAGCATGACAAGTGAACGTAAATAAACAATCGTGAGGGCATCACGTTTGCATGGATAACTGATTTTATGAACTAAATGCGTCTACTGTAGAATAGTAGTCACGTGACCTCCATACAGGGCCTGCTGTCTGTTTTCAGTGGAGGGAGAGATCCGAAGAAAAATGGCGACTGCAGGCGACCTAAAGCGGGACGCCGGCCATTCTATTTGAACTTTCTACTAAAAATTGAGCCCGGGGCTTGGTGGGGTCTAATTGAGCCTATTGCAACGTTGGTTAGTGTTTCCGAGGGTGCCCGTGTTCTCGGGTTTGCGTGGACCAGTCGCGCGCTAAAATTGAAATTAAAAATAATACATCTACTACAATGCGAGGGAGAAGAGGAAGGCCGCCCAAACAGGCAGCGGAGATGCAGGAGGTTTCCCCTGGGCCAGTTCGTGGTTCGAGAGGGAGAGGGAGAGGTAGCCGTGGTAGGGGAAGGGGACGAGGACGTGGCCGCGGACGAGGTTCGGTGGTGGATACCGGCGATACAGAAATTAATCGGAGAGAAAACTACCATTCGTCCAGGGGCCGGAGGAAAGTTGGAGCAACGACGACATCGCGGGGCAGAGGAAGAGGCAGGGGTTCGAGAGGTGGTCGCGGCAGCAGGGGGAGACGGCCACTGTGCAAGGTGGTCTACGATGACAATAGCGACGAGGAAGAGGATAATATTAGTTTGAGGTCGGAGGAAGACGAACTTTTACACGAGAATCCCTCCTCAGACTACGAAGAGGAGGCCGTGGACAATGAGTCCGATTTTCTGGAAGAATTACCAGATGAGGATGATGGTAGCTACTGTACAGAGAGCAGCTTTCGGAGCCATGATAGCACGCACGGACAGCACTCCAGGTAAGTCGGCTTGCAAATGCAATTTAGAAGCATTTTCCAAATACACGCCAAAGTGCTACAGTTTTTATTTAGCACATTTGGGAAGCAAGCTGCATTGTTCAAAATGGAGATTGCACTCATAAACAGGCCTTTGTTTAGGAGCTCTGGTGATCGTTTGCTAGTTCCCGCACAGTGAACACTACTGTCGCCTCGCATGTTTTCTGTTATGAAAAATCAGTAACTTTCGGCAAAAATGATCACGCATTTGACGATGGGGATTATTGTAATGCAAGTGCAATTCACATTTGCATAATTGCACAATTTTGCATGCAAAATATTATTTGGCCAGGCGTTAGTTCCAGAGAAACATTTAGCTACTTTCCATTCATTCATTTAGCGATTTCCCTTAACATACATGCGTAAACAAGCATGCCATGCTGCACTATCTGGCTACAAAATATCACGATACGATTTGTTCCATTTGTTTTAGAACTGCGCGTGCGGTTTTGATACTTTGTCGCGTTGCCTTCATCGCATTAATATACTGTTATACAATTACTGTAGTAGATGTAAACAATAAATAGTCAGTTTAATCAACTAGTTGTAATTTACCCCCATTCTTTTTCCTTCAGAATATCAAGTGTTGAGATATATTTCGTGAGATTGTGGTTAAATCAGCTTGACAGTACATCATCGCGCGGCCTTTGTTTTGAAAAGAGGCGCTCTAATTTCACCTGTTGCAGCCTGAACTCATTATAATATCACGTACTAAATTGTACGGTAACCATAGCAAAGCCTATCTATGTAAACAAGCAAGAGCAAAGGCAACCTTCTTTTAAATTATAGAATTGTATAATTGTTGAACTGGAAAGTCAGTCGTTTTGTTGTTGTATAATGTCAAAACATTTGTGAAAGTGACATTGATGTCATTCATGTAGTTTGGACTTCATGTAGTCAATTTTCAAGCCATTTATGGAATATTAAGGAACCATTTTGTATTTTTCAGGATTATGCCTAAGATTAGTATAAATTATTCTACATTTTCTGATCTCATATGGTGGTGACTATAATCTTCAAAATATCAAAATTCCACATGTTCCTGTAGACTTGGAATGGATCTGCTGATTCATAATGCAATGCAGAATTATATTTCCATAAAGTTATAGATTTATTGATATGGTATTCATCCTAAAATGTCTGTATGTGAATGTGTTTTATCACTTGCCCCACATCTCATAAGCACAGAAGTGTACAGCCTAGACCACATGGTATTTCTTGAATCATAATTCTATCTCTCCATTGCACCCCAGTGACTGATTACACAAATAACCTCCTACCCCAAATAGGCCCGCTTACCATGTGAATATGGCTGAATTGTGGCTTATGTGCCTTTTCATATGACCTATAATCACACACACACTCATTTTATCACAGTGAGTCACAAATACATGCTTACACATACAAAGAGACTGTGCATAGGGTCAGGCGGAATGAAGGCAGAGGTTTTTGTACACAGAGCCCTCACTGGGGGAACACGCTCAGGGGAGAGGTGCTTGTTGGTCATTTTTAATGTCACCTCATCTATGCCTACACCCTGTCTAATGTTTGAAATTAATTTAAAACTACAATATGTTATACCTACCTACTCCAGCTGATATCAGAGGGTGTGGATCCCTGGCTTTATGTTTCAAATTCTGAACTTGATCAGGGCCCATATTCATAAAACGTACTGATCTAGGATCAGTTTAGCCTGTTAGATCACAATGAATAAGATTACATGGACAGAGGGAGCTGACCCTAGATCAACACCCCTACTTTGGCCCAGGGTAGAGTGAGTGAAGGAAGGCCGACTTCTCCACTGCACAGTGAATAGTCGAGTACCAGGTGCTAGGTTGGCTTATTTACATTTTTAAAACTTGATACAAAAAAATTAATAATTACTGAGTAAATCAAAAGCTCTCTTTCCAAAGGGAGAAATACTGTTTATAGAAGAGATTCAGACTTTATATACACCATCAAATCAAATGTTATTGAAATGCTTACTTACAAGCCCTTAACCAACAATGCGGTTCTAAGAAAAAAGTGTTAAGTAAAAAATAGATAAGTAAAAAATAATTAAAGAGCAGCAGTACTCATATTAAGCAGACTCACATTAAGCATCTCCAATCAAAAGTTAGATCTAGAATCGGCTTCCTATTTCGCAACAAAGCCTCCTTCACTCATGCTGCCAAACATGCCCTCGTAAAACTGACTATCCTACCGATCCTTGACTTCGGCGATGTCATTTACAAAATAGCCTCCAACACTCTACTCAGCAAATTGGATGTAGTCTATCACAGTGCCATCCGTTTTGTCACCAAAGCCCCATATACTACCCACAATTGTGACCTGTACGCTCTTGTTGGCTGGCCCTCACTACATATTCGTCGCCAAACCCACTGGCTCCAGGTCATCTATAAATCACTGCTAGGCAAATCCCCATCTTACCTTAGCTCACTGGTCACCATAGCAACACCCACCCGTAGTCTGCGCTCCAGCAGGTATATCTCACTGGTCATCCCCAAAGCCAACACCTCCTTTGGCCGCCATTCCTTCCAGTTCTCTGCTGCCAATGACTGGAACGAACTGCAAAAATCTCTGAAGCTGGAGACTCTTATCTCCCTCACTAATTTTAAGCATCAGTTGTCAGAGCACCTTACCGATCACTGCACCTGTACACAGCCCATCTGAAATTAGCCCACCCAACTACCTCATCCCATATTGTTATTTATTTTGCTAATTTGCACCCCAGTATCTCTATTTGCACATCATCTTTTGCACATCAATCATTCCAGTGTTAATATGAAATTGTAACTATTTTGCACTATGGCCTATTTATTGCCTTACCTCCATAACTTACTACATTTGCACACACTGTGAGGGAAAAAAGTATTTGATCCCCTGCTGATTTTGTACGTTTGCCCACTGACAAAGAAATGATCAGTCTATAATTTTAATGGTAGGTTTATTTGAACAGTGAGAGACAGAAAAACAACAAAAAAATCCAGAAAAACACATGTCAAAAATGGTATAAATTGATTTGCATTTTAATGAGGGAAATAAGTATTTGACCCCTCTGCAAAACATGACTCAGTACTTGGTGGCAAAACCCTTGTTGGCAATCACAGAGGTCAGACGTTTCTTGTAGTTGGCCACCAGGTTTGCACACATCTCAGGAGGGATTTTGTCCCACTCCTCTTTGCAGATCTTCTCCAAGTCATTAAGGTTTCGAGGCTAACATTTGGCAACTCAAACCTTCAGCTCCCTCCACAGATTTTCTATGGGATTAAGGTCTGGAGACTGGCTAGGCCACTCCAGGACCTTAATGTGCTTCTTCTTGAGCCACCCCTTTGTTGCCTTGGCCGTGTGTTTTGGGTCATTGTCATGCTGGAATACCCATCCACGACCCATTTTCAATGCCCTGGCTGAGGGAAGGAGGTTCTCACCCACGGTACATGGCCCCGTCCATTGTCCCTTTGATGCGGTGAAGTTGTCCTGTCCCCTTAGCAGAAAAACACCCGCAAAGCATAATGTTTTCACCTCTATGTTTGACGGTGGAGATGGTGTTCTTGGGGTCATAGGCAACATTCCTCCTCCTCCAAACACGGCGAGTTGAGTTGATGCCAAAGAGCTCGATTTTGGTCTCATCTGAACACAACACTTTCACCCAGTTCTCCTCTGAATCATTCAGATGTTCATTGGCAAACTTCAGACGGGCCTGTATATGTGCTTTCTTGAGCAGGGGGACCTTGCGGGCACTGCAGGATTTCAGTCGTTCACGGCGTAGTGTGTTACCAATTGTTTTCTTTGGTGACTATGGTCCCAGCTGCCTTGAGATCATTGACAAGATCCTCCCGTGTAGTTCTGGGCTGATTCCTCACCGTTCTGATGATCATTGCAACTCCACGAGGTGAGATCTTGCATGGAGCCCCAGGCCGAGGGAGATTGACAGTTATTTTGTGTTTCTTCCATTTGCGAATAATCGCACCAACTGTTGTCACCTTCTCACCAAGCTGCTTGGCGATGGTCTTGTAGCCCATTCCAGCCTTGTGTAGGTCTACAATCTTGTCCCTGACATCCTTGGAGAGCTCTTTGGTCTTGGCCATGGTGGAGAGTTTGGAATCTGATTGATTGATTGCTTCTGTGGACAGGTGTCTTTTATACAGGTAACAAGCTGAGATTAGGAGCACTCCCTTTAAGAGTGTGCTCCTAGTCTCAGCTCGTTACCTGTATAAAAGACACCTGGGAGCCAGAAATCTTTCTGATTGAGAGGGGGTCAAATATTTATTTCCCTCATTAAAATGCAAATCAATTTATAACATTTTTGACATGCGTTTTTCTGGATTTTTTTGTTGTTATTCTGTCTCTCACTGTTCAAATAAACCTACCATAAAAATTATAGACTGATCATTTCTTTGTCAGTGGGCAAACATACAAAATCAGCAGGGGATCAAATACTTTTTCCCCTCACTGTATATATTTTCTGTTTGTATTTTTGACTATATGTTTTGTTTACCCCATATGTAACTCTGTGTTGTTGTTTTTATCGCACTGCTTTGCTTTATCTTGGCCAGGTCGCAGTTGTAAATGAGAACTTGTTCTCAACTGGCTTACCTAGTTAAGCAAAGGTTAAATAAAAAAATTATAACAAATAAAATAAAAATAACAGTAGGGAGGCTATATACAGGGGTGCCTGTACAGAGTCAATGTGCGGGGCACCGGTTAGTTAAGGTAATTGAGGTAATATGTACATGTGGGTAGAGTTAAAGTGACTATGCGTAGATAAAAAAACAGAGTAGCAGCAGCGTAAAAGAGGGGGTGGGGTGGGGTGGTGGGGACAATGCAAATAGTTCGGGTAGCCATGATTACCTGTTCAGGAGTCTTATGGCTTGGGGGTAGAAGCTGTTAAGAAGCCTTTTGGATAAGGGTAAAAAATACAAGTCGATTATAACCAATAGGCTATACTTGAAAGTTGATACAACGAAAGTAATGCACACATTCACAGAGCTGTTATCAGTAAACAGTAACAAAATAGTTGCACACTCAAATGTGTTGAATAAGAGCCCCTGCCTGTTTGACAGAAACATCGACAACCATTATGGTTGATGGAAATTGTGCTGCCTGCTTTGGCTCATTCAGTATGTTTCTAGCTTTGGCTTTGTACTTTGATATTGTTGTGTTTCTCAGAGTCTAGGACCATTTTTTCCTGACCCCATTTTATGTCTCTTGATTGATTTTAATTCTTTACATAATTTATATCCCTCTCTCTCCATCCCTCTCTGTCTCAGGCCGGAGGGGCAGACGCCCGCACCGGCCCCGCTCGCCCATCTTCGAGGCCAAGGAGGTGCCCCCCCTGGAGCTGCCCAAGTCCTCGGAGGACCTGCTGGTGCCGGCCAATCAGCTCCTCAACATCTCAGCCGTCTATGAGGTGCTGCGCAACTTCGGCTCGGTCCTGCGCCTCTCGCCGTTCCGCTTCGAGGACTTCTGCGCGGCGCTGGCGGGCCAGGAGCAGTGCACCCTGCTGGCTGAGACCCACACTGCCCTGCTCAAGGCCATCCTGCGCGAGGAGGACACGTCCAACACCACGTTCGGTCCTGCCGACCTCAAGGACAGTGTCAACTCCACGCTCTACTTCATCGACGGCATGACCTGGCCCGAGATGGTGCGCGCCTACTGCGAGAGCGACCCAGAGTACCGCCAGGTGCTCCCTTTACTGGAGAGTGAGGAGTACCCTTACGAGCCCCTCGAGAGCAAAATTAAGGTCCTTCAATTCCTCGTGGACCAGTTCCTGGCCACCAACCTGGCTAGAGAAGAGTTGATGTCAGAGGGGGTGGTGGCGTACGACGACCACTGCAGGGTGTGCCACCGGCTCGGGGACCTCCTCTGCTGCGAGACGTGCTCGGCCGTCTACCACCTGGAGTGCGTGAAGCCGCCGCTGGTGGAGGTACCCGAGGACGAGTGGCAGTGTGAGGTGTGCGTGGCGCACAAGGTGCCCGGCGTGGTGGACTGTGTGACAGAGGCGCAGAAGAGCCGGCCATACATCCGCCAGCTGCCAATCGGCTATGACCGCCACCGCCGCAAGTACTGGTTCCTGGACCGCCGCATCGTGGTGTAAGTAGACAACAACAAACCAACATTCACTCACTCCAAAATTATACTGAACAAAAATATAAATGCAACAGGCAGGGGCGCAGCAATGGGTGGGCCTGGCAGGGCATAGGCCCACCCACTGGGGAGCCAGGCCCAGCCAATCATAATGCTTTTTCCCCCACAAAAGGCCTTTATTACAGACAGAAATACTCCTCAGTTTCATCAGCTGTCTGGGTGACTGGTCTCAAACGATCCCGCAGGTGAAGAAGCCAGATGTGGAGGTCCTGGGCTGGCGTGGTTACACGTGGTCTGCGGTTGTGAGGACGGTTGGACGTACTGCCAAATTCTCTAAAATGACGTTGGCAGTGGCTTAGGGTAGAGAAATGAACATTAAATTATCTGGCAACAGCTCTGGGGGATATTCCTGCAGTCAGCATGCCAATTGCACACTCCCTCAAAACTGAAGACATCTGTGGCATTGTGGTGTGTGACACAACTGCACATTTTAGTGGCCTATTCTTGTCCCCAGCACAAGGTGCACCTGTGTAATGATCATGCTGTTTAATCAGCTTCTTGATATTCCACACCTGTAAGGTGGATGGATTATCTTGGCAAAAGAGAAATGCTCACTAACAGGGATGTAAACAAATTTGTATACAACATTTGAGAGAAATACGCTTTTTGTGCATATGGAAAATGTCTGGGATCTTTTATTTCAACTCATTAAGCATGAGACCAACACTTTACATGTGGGTGATTTATTTCCCAGGTTTCAACTGTACCGGGCAAATGGCAGATAGTGTGTATGTTTCAGCATGATAATGCACAGCCCCATGTCGCAAGGATCTGTACACAATTCCTGGAAGCTGAAAATGTCCCAATTCTTCCATGGCCTGCATACTCACCAGACGTCACCCATTGAGCATGTTTGGGGGATGCTCTGGATCGACGCATACGTCAGTGTGTTCCAGTTCCCACCAATATCCATCAACTTCGCACAGCCATTGTAGAGTGGTGGTCACACCAGATACTGACTGGTTTTCTGATCCACGCCCCTACCTTTAAAAAAAGTTATCTGTGACCAACAGATGCATATCTGTATTCCCAGTCATGTGAAATCCATAGATTAGGGCCTTTCAACTGCCCAGTGAGGAATCCCTTTGACAGTTCTATCTGCCCTACAATCAATAGGGCCTTTCAATTGACTGATTTCCTTATGGAACTGTAACTCAGTAAAATCTTTGAAATTGTTGCGTTTGTATCTTTGTTCAGTGTAATAAATAGTTATTACAATTTAATATTCTACCTGGCAGAAAATGGTCAGTTCTAGACAATAGATTTACATCTGAATATTCTGTAACGTTATATACCCTTGGACATCCCTTCTCAAGCAATTGATTAGTTGGATCAGGTGTGATGGGACAAAAATATGCATTTGCTAGGGGCTTTGGAGGAACAGTTTGGGAAACACAGGGTTATGGGATGGGATGATGGGCAAGGGCTGTTGTCTAGGAGGGTCTATAATATCCTTGCCCTACTGACACCTTCTCAGTCTTTGAAAGGATGCTGTTGTGGGAAATGTTTGCTGTCCTGACACTAGGAGGAAAATGTGAAAACAGTTGTCATCACAATGTGAAACGAAGACTGAGATACTAAACTGAGTATAGTGTCTAAACTGTGTCCTTTTAAAGGAAATTATGAGTGTTGAAGGCAACTGCTAATGGCTACCCTGGTCATTCTATAGAAAGGTCCTTTGGAGAAAGAATCTGGGGCATATATTTTACACTTTTATCTAAACCAGTGTTCCTTAGGTAGTCTAGCGGTTAGAGGGCCAGTAACTGGTGTCAAGGTGAAAAATCTGTCTGTGCCCTTGAGCAAGGCACTTAACCCTTATTTGCTCCAGGGGTGACATACTACTATGGTTGACCCTTTACCTTGTCCTTGGGACATTTTTGTTTTTGGTCTTGCACTACACAGCTGATTCAAAGGATCAATTCATCAAGCTTTGATGATTTCAATCAGGTGTGTAGTGCTAAGGCAAAAACAAGAATGTGCACCCCTTGGGGTCCCCAGGAACAGGGTTAAGAAACACTGATCTAAACATTATTTACAAATGATACAGATTGGTGTTTACCGTCTGGGTATCTCAGCCTGTCGCACCTCCAACAGTGCTCTTAGGTCAGCTACAGGATAAAAACATTTTTGGGGAGAACACATGCAACTTCTATGAGACATGTTACGTGTGGCAGTGCTGACTAAGATTGGGGAGGATCGATTCCCCTTGCTACCCTATAGGCAAGCAACAGGGACTTGAATTTGATGCACACTGCTGATGGGAGCCAGTGGAGAGTGTGAAGGAGTTTTAGACAGTCTGGTAAAGGGACACAATGGAGTTGTTAACTGTGACAGAGGTCTTGGCGCAGGCCTTTCCAGGGAGGAAGAGCAGCTTCTCTTGCCAATGTTGAGCTTGAGGTGGTGGGCTAGCATCCAGTAACTCAGTGTGATTGGGAAAGTCTCAGGAACACTTGCGTCAGGTCCCAAATCGCTCCCTACCCCTCCCCTTGGCCCTAACCATTTGTTTCTGCAGATCTGTAAGGTGTGAGATCCGTCATTGCACTGCTTATAGCCTGCCTGCCCAGACCCTACAGATCTGCAAACATCGAGGGGTTAGGGCCATGGAGGATGGAGCGATTTAGGACTGGCGGAGTGAGCGATTTTAGGACTGGCTTTACAAAGCATTTAGATCAAACTTTCTTGCCTGGTCTTTGAGATGTCTTGGGTTTTTAATCCAGTGGACAATGACATAATGTACATTGCTCTGACATAACCATAAAGTACATGTTAGGACTAGTACCACAAAATATGTTGATATGTATTAAATGAACTGCCAGTTGGTAGATGCAAAGATGATCTTTAGCTGACCAGCCATCCTGCCTTGTGTAGGGCTCCAGGAGGTATAGCTATTAGCTGGCTACAAGCCTCAAAGGTGTCTCCATTTTAGCAAATAAATCTCCCACTGACAAATGTAGCTGGCTAGCTAGCTAGGATCATTCTATTAGCTTAGCTAACATTGCATTAATGAAATAAGCATTAGTTAGCCAACTAGCTAGCTAGCAAGCTAGATGAGAGAGTTGTTTATACGTTGGCTAAAAACTAGCTTTTACATTAGTTCATTTAGCTATACAAGCAAGCTAAAACTGCACACATCTGAGAAGAAGGCATGTCGACCAGCTGACAGCTTATTATGCTAGCTAGCTGATTCAAGGGTGAGCCGAGAGACATCCGCACGAACGCATCCATCTACACAGGATTATTCACAACTAGCTAACAGGCAGATCGCTATGCTAACTCTTGCCGTTCCAACCTGTTCCTAAATTTACCCGACACTAGCTAGCTAGCCAGCCAGCAAGTGATCATTACTTATTTATTCACGTGTACAGTGTCAATTTCAATCAGGCACTGACGTTATCCAGCTAAGAAACACTGATAACCCGGAATCAAAATTGATGCAGAAGCGCGAGCAATTGTCCCGTGATCATGTTCAAACTGTGAGCTTTTTTTACATGACAGATGGCACTCTTTTAATGATTTTATTGAAACGTTTACATTTACATTTTAGTCATTTAGCAGACGATTTTATCCAGAGCGACTTAAATTACTTGTTTAGCTTCTCTGGTAAGGTATAGAAAGGCCAATGCCTCACTTGTTTCAAGGATAATGACAATGTAAACACACAAATATTAGTAAGCGATAGCATATAAGCCAGCTATTAAGCACTAGTCACAGATGGTATGGTAGCAGACTCCTTTAACCTGTGAGGAGAGTGTCACACACACCCACGTACACACGCACGCGCGCACCACACAAACACACCTGAACAGAGGGATTCGGAGGTAGCCTTCACTGTCTCATTACCGCTGCCACCCAAGAAAGTGGCCTTCACCGGGTGCAGTGTAATCGATCTTCACCATCCCCATGGAGAGAGAGAGAGAATGTGTGTGTGTGTCTTGAGTGGGTGGTTGCATCCTGAGAGGATGCTGACTAGACTGTTGGAATACAGCCTAAGGCTACTGAGACCCAGGCCTCGACCCTGCTGTGCACAAAGCTGTCAAATTTGTCATTTTGTCTATGTCTCATGCATGCCTAGTGTGCGCAAAGGTCTTACAACTTTAATTTCCATATAATCATGTTTTCCATGATTGCAGCTAAGTCAATGTTAACTTAAAGGGCAATTCCACCATTTTTCAACCTCATTTTCATTATCTCCAGCACAATACCAATGTCTACATACAGTGTATGTGAAAACGGAGCATTTCTACGTTCTACCTGATGACATAATCAAAAGATTTTCAAACACTATGACATTCACGGTGACGTGGAGCAATAAAATACCCTCCCTCTGGCTAGAAACTCGTTGCAGGTTTTCAAAATCGCTGTTTTTCTTACTTTTAATCCTACCCTGTGATGTCACAGAGAAGCATTTTTTTGGAACCTTTCTTCTTATCTTTGTAACCACAGATCATAGAAACGTGCCGTTTTCACATATCTAGACACCGGTATGGTGCTGGAGATGATGAATATGAGTTTGAAAAGTGGCGGAATTGCCCTTTAAGGAAAACTGGCACCATAGAAGACACTGAAAGAAGAAACTTGTATTAAATAGTTGTTACTACTATGTCCTTACAATGTACAGTAGAAGGTGTCTGTGGTAAAAATGTTCTTCATTCTACTGCTCTTCATTTGATGATGGCATCAATTAATCAAAGACCTCGATCTCTCTCTTTCTCCATCCTCTTTCTCTCCTACCCTGTCCCCTCCATCTCCCTATTATCTCTCTCTCCCCTCCTCTTTTTCTCTCCACCACCTCCATCCCTCTCTCGCTCCTTCCCTCCACCCCAGTGAGGAGGACGGCGAGCAGGAGGACAAGACCATCTGGTACTATAGCACCAAGGTACAGCTGGCTGAGCTGATCGACTGCCTGGACAAGGGCTACTGGGAGGCCCACCTGTACGCCACGCTGGAGGAGCTCAGGGACGAGGTGCACACGCACATGGACATCACCGAGGAGCTCACCAACAAGGCCCGCGGTGCCAACAAGTGCTTCCTCACCGCCGCCAACGGTAAGAGATGTGGACACGTTCAGATAGGACATGTTTGTTCTACATAACCTATATCTATCTGACATGTTGAATAAGGTAGAATAAACATCTCTATTCATGACATTTCTGCAATGTTTGCCTACTGAACAAGTCCTAGGGTGCACACACAGGGTTTAGGATCTTTTTTCTTATTTTATTCTAGGACTGGTATTGTCATTTCAGAAGAAGATTTGAGCATTTGTTTGCATAGTTATTTACTATTGAACTACCGGTATTACACACTGACAACGTGCCTATTGAATGCAGCTCTCTGTACGCTGTTAGATAACTAACTTATAAATGCCCCATAGCACACATCCTATTGGTTCCTTTGAAGTTTATCATTGTGTTACCGTCATTGGAAGGGTGAAAGCTTTACATTGAATCTATTGAGACCCGGGTGAATTTTGAGCACATTTCAGTAGGGTAAAGCTGTTATGTATTTGTTTTTACATTAGAAAGTAGGTTTAGGCTTTTTCGTCAAATAAGGCAGTTTGGACATGTCCCAAATGGCACCCTATTACCTATGTAGTGCACTACTTTTGACCAGGCCCCATAGGACTCTGGTCAAAAGAAGTGCTCTATAAAGAGAATAGGGTGCCATTTGGGACATACCCTTAGTCAAGAGGGGGTACTTCAAGTCAATGATTGGTTGTTTGGCTGTTGCCTGTCTATGAGGGAAAGGAGCGCAATTACTGCAATGCCAGCCTCAATGGAATAGATTGTCCCAATTCAAAGAGATGATTTTGATTTGTAACAATTTGTGATACGCTGTCATTTCCATCAGTCATTGATTTTGCCTCTTGACAATGCTCAGTGGTTTGGAGAGAGCTACTAGCCTACTACTCTATTTCCCCTTCAGTTCCTCCCCTATGATGAATGAATGGTGTTAAGGGATGAGCAAACACTTACTCTGGTTTTGTCCAAAAATGGCACCCTATTCCATATGTAGTGCACTACTTCTGACCAGGGCCCATAGGGTGCCTTTTGGGACGCAACTACTCTCTGTCTCTTGGTGTGTGTGATATTCATCATCGGTATAATTTTCTCTGTTCGGTTGGTTCTAACGAGGTTGCTGATTTGCATCCTGCCCATGGCTGCACCTCTCAATGTTGTCGGCCTCTGAGTTGGTAACGTGAAGGTGCTGATCAGCGCGGCAACACACCACACACACCACACACAAACTTATTTCAGATCCATGGTATTGGGTGTGTGTATGGGTTTTGCAGTTATGACTCATGCAAGTTGTGCACATTAGCATTTTGTGTGTGTGCGTGTGTGTCTGCACGTTTGCATATGTGTGAAAGGATATGCACATCATGTAAGCCTTTAGATAGAGTAGTCCATATATGGTAGTGCTGTCAGTTATTTTTTGTTTTTTAAACAACTAATTGACCATCTCAGTTCAATTATTTGAATTCCATTTCGTTGTGTTTTTTTCTCAGAGCTCAATGTTCACATTGCGCTGCAGTTTCTCTAGAGATAAATCACATCATGCCCGAACTGTGCGATGTAGTAGGGAGTTGTAGTTTCCAACAGGCTGATGTTCTACATAGTTTAGCGCAGAAAACATGATAATTAACTACAATGACCATAATCCATTGCACAGCTACTTGTCTGGTCTGTTTCTTTTACGCGTGCTGTGCTACGGAAGAGACAGAAGAATGCGCGGTCAAGAGGGGATACATAGAGAGCAGTTTCTTCGCGGTATCTCTACCTGAAAATACATGATCTAAGTGATTGATAGTTGGTATTCAGCAGTCATAAGCCTTATTTACTTTGAAGAACTACTAAAATAATGATTTTGTCAGACAGCATAGGTAGCAGCTTTATAGAGATGAGATGATGACTTGGAATTAAATAATAAAGTAGTCAAATAAAACAAATGTAATATACACAACAACTGAAATATTTTATTAAGTGATGGGCAGTCACTACCGTCATGGGACTTTTATTAATTGTTTTATTCTGTGTTGTTTCAGCATTCAACCCACATAATGCATAGTGCATTTAATGTAAAAAATTATATAATAATAAAACGAAATAGAAAATCTTTATTTTTTTATAATCTAACCGAACTGACCTCAAAAAGTACTAATCGCTCAGCACTAATGTATGGCACTAGCATACCGCTATCCTTCTCCCCCTGCCTCTGTCAGATTATCATAGTGGATTTACCCTTCCTTCCCAAAGCAATATCCAAAATATTTCCAAACCCCTCGTATTTGGGTAAGTAGGTCCTGATCAGTGGGGCAGTGGCAGGTTGGCTGGCTGGTTGTGTTTGAGTGCCTCTATCTCCTCCTGTGCTGGCCTGGCTGTAGGCTCTGAGCTCTGGGGGCTCTGGCATTGCTCCAGCAGGCTTCACTGGGAGGAGGTCCAAGATGGCAGGACTGAATGTCTCTGAGGCAGAGAGAGATGGTCGGATAGAGAGAGTCAATGGTCATTGGTGGGGTGGGTTCACGGTTAAGGGACAGTGGAAGAATATGGAGGCAAAAGGTCAAGAAACAGGGGGAGGAGAGAGATGGAGAAAGAATGGCGAACATAGAGGAGGAGAGAGGATTTGAAAGACGAGGAGGGACATGGCTGTGCTGGGTGTCCTCCTGTCTTCTATACATAGCCAAGTTAGCCAAGCCAGCCCATCTGAACCAAAGGTCCCTGGGTGTGAGGGGCTCAATTGTCTAACACCAGAGAGCCTGCCAATGACTCCTCCTCTGCCCCCTCTGTCTCCCCCTCCCTTGATCTCTCTCCCCCTCTGTCTGTACCCTTCCTCTCGCCCTCCCCCAGTTACATGAATACTACCCAGGCATGTCGAAGGGCCATAGGAACCAGTACAGCCATTCCATGACAACTTTACTATCCAGTCCCAGTTTGGCTGGGCTCCAAACAGTTTCCTCCTCTCCTTCATGACAACTGATCTGATTAAAGAACAAATGGGATGGTTGAATGTGATAGGGTGTTAAGGCTATCCAATCCTTTTGCCTATCAGTGGTCTCGAGGTGACGACAAGAATAGGAAGCTGTTGTAACAGCTGAGGCTTTTTAGATTGGGACTCGTATCTGTAGCCTGGTCCTAGATCTGTGTTATGTTTGACATGGCAATGACCGTAGGACTTTGTTATACAGTATAAACAGATCTGGGACCAGGCTACTGTAACTGTGCCATGGTGATGGACACGGATACAGACTGAGATCATGTTCTCTGTTGTTGTTCCTCCCATTGAGAATTAATGGTTTGAAATCTCACCAGTGAGTCTACTTACGACACACTCCTGCACACACACTGTGGAAATCACATTATGTCTGAAAGAGCCTTTTACACACTTCCTCTTTCACACGCACGTAGACAAACACACCACACACACACACACACACAACATAAGACACTGGCATTGGCAGAACGATGACAGATCCCAGATTGGGCCCCCTAGGAAGACTCTTTAGGCTGCTGTCAAGGCTTCTCCACCACACACACACACACACACACACACATGCTCTCCAGCGACAAATGACAGAGGAAGTAGGCTGTCATTGATGCCTGAAATATTAAATAACCTGCTTCATCACAGAGTACGACTTAAATCTCTCAGCATGTGGTCCTGCGAGAGAGTGGAATTCACACATTCATACAGGCTCATTTCTTTGTTTTAACGCATTGAGCAGTTGTATAAGCCGCGACGATTTCTCATTATGCGGCTATCATTTCAGATAAGTGTCATTTTGAGGCGGTGTTCAATTCCAAGCACAGCTGGGTGCTAATGTGCTCATTACCAGACAGACTACATGGCCATTCCTATAGTATAGCCCAGAGAAAAGCACAGTTAGTAGCAAGCTTTCAAACATAGGTTTGAATGTTTGATTCATCTGGCATAATTGCGCCATGGTCAAATAAGAAAATGTATTGATTAAGCGTACTCTGTTTAAGCTAATGCGTAGGCTGACTGACTCTCTACACACCATTGCTTGCTGGCTAGAATACGAAGAATGCTCTGTGAGTTATAGCTGTTTTATAGGCTAGTCAATAAAACAGGAGTTTATGCTCAGGCAGTATGAGACAGTCAAGGTGTAGCTCGGGTGCATAACTCAGCGCCTTGATTTCTGCAGTCCTGCTGGTTTCAATTTCTAGCTGACTAATCACCATTCTCTAATAACTCAGACTTTATTGTGTTGTCCTTGATAGTGTTTAGTCTATATACTGCTAGTTATTTGGTATTTTTGGCTGAATGTTTATTTGTTTTTATATATATATATATGTGTGTGTGTGTGTGTGTGTGTGTGTGTGTGTGTGTGTGTGTGTGTGCGTGTGTGTGTATAGTTTTCCCACAATTAAACATTTTAGACATACAGTGGGGGAAAAAAGTATTTAGTCAGCCACCAATTGTGCAAGTTCTCCCACTTAAAAAGATGAGAGAGGCCTGCAAAAAATCCAGAACATCACATTGTAGGATTTTTAATGAATTTATTTGCAAATTATGGTGGAAAATAAGTATTTGGTCACCTACAAACAAGCAAGATTTCTGGCTCTCACAGACCTGTAACTTCTACTTTAAGAGGCTCCTCTGTCCTCCACTCGTTACCTGTATTAATGGAACCTGTTTGAACTTGTTATCAGTATAAAAGACACCTGTCCACAACCTCAAACAGTCACACTCCAAACTCCACTATGGCCAAGACCAAAGAGCTGTCAAAGGACACCAGAAACAAAATTGTAGACCTGCACCAGGCTGGGAAGACTGAATCTGCAATAGGTAAGCAGCTTGGTTTTAAGAAATCAACTGTGGGAGCAATTATTAGGAAATGGAAGACATACAAGACCACTGATAATCTCCCTCGATCTGGGGCTCCACGCAAGATCTCACCCCGTGGGGTCAAAATGATCACAAGAACGGTGAGCAAAAATCCCAGAACCACACGGGGGGACCTAGTGAATGACCTGCAGAGAGCTGGGACCAAAGTAACAAAGCCTACCATCAGAAACACACTACGCCGCCAGGGACTCAAATCCTGCAGTGCCAGACGTGTCTCCCTGCTTAAGCCAGTACATGTCCAGGCCCGTCTGAAGTTTGCTAGAGTGCATTTGGATGATCCAGAAGAGGATTGGGAGAATGTCATATGGTCAGATGAAACCAAAATATTACTTTTTGGTAAAAACTCAACTCGTCGTGTTTGGAGGACAAAGAATGCTGAGTTGCATCCAAAGAACACCATACCTACTGTGAAGCATGGGGGTGGAAACATCATGCTTTGGGGCTGTTTTTCTGCAAAGGGACCAGGGCGACTGATCCATGTAAAGGAAAGAATGAATGGGGCCATGTATCGTGAGATTTTGAGTGAAAGCCTCCTTCCATCAGCAAGGGCATTGAAGATGAAACGTGGCTGGGTCTTTCAGCATGACAATGATCCCAAACACACCGCCCGGGCAACGAAGGAGTGGCTTCGTAAGAAGCATTTCAAGGTCCTGGAGTGGCCTAGCCAGTCTCCAGATCTCAACCGCACAGAAAATCTTTGGAGGGAGTTGAAAGTCCGTGTTGCCCAGCGACAGCCCCAAAACATCACTGCTCTAGAGGAGATCTGCATGGAGGAATGGGCCAAAATACCAGCAACAGTGTGTGAAAACCTTGTGAAGACTTACAGAAAACGTTTGACCTGTGTAATTGCCAACAAAGGGTATATAACAAAGTATTGAGAAACTTTTGTTATTGACCAAATACTTATTTTCCACCATAATTTGCAAATAAATTCATTAAAAATCCTACAATGTGATTTTCTGGATAATTTTTTCTCATTTTGTCTGTCATAGTTGACGTGTACCTATGATGAAAATTACAGGCCTCTCTCATCTTTTTAAGTGGGAGAACTTGCACAATTGGTGGCTGACTAAATACTTTTTTCCCCCACTGTACATAATATGTATTTTAATTATCTAATCAATTAAATGAATCAATCAATCTGTGACATCTCCTTTCTCCAGAGGAGATCCTGGACCGGCTGAGAGCCAAGCAGGTGGAGGAGCTGGAGGAGGTGAAGCGCCGGGCGGCTGAGGAGAGGGAGAAGGCGGAGGCGCAGAAAACTCTCTGGAAGGAGGAGGAGACGGAGGGGGGAGAACCCAAGGAGAAGACTGATGACCTAGAGAAGAAGGGAGAGGAGGTGGTAGCAGTGGAGGGCAAGGCTGAGAAGGACAATGACCAGGTGACCAAGGAGGGGACCACCATTACAGGTAAGAGACACACACACTCCATCTAACTAAAGCTACTGCAACACCATGGTCCAACAGGCTCTACGGGCAGTTTGATATTTCTGTGTCAGGATATAGAGCGATGTAGGCCTAATTAATTATTGATCCGTTTCCCACAGCTCTCTTCTCTTTCTGTGCCTATTAGAAATCCCTTGTGTTGCTTGTCAACACATCGGAGACCACTTTGTCAACTTAAAACTATGCCTTCAGCAATACTGCTGATAACCCCTCGGTAATAAGCGTCCTCACACCAAGTTTTACACAATGCCTACTAGCCTTATTACAATACAACATCTTCTATATACCCACGCTGGAAGTGCTTGTTGTGCATATTCCATACAAGGTCTGGTACATACACTTTGACCAACTCTGAGATTTACGTTGACATTTTAGTCATTTAGCAGATGCTCTTATCCAGAGCGACTAACAGTAAGTGAGTGCATACATTTTCATACTGTGTAATTTTATTGGCCGCCATCTTGGCATCAAAAGTTCCAAGATAATTACATTCTAGTGAGAATGCAAATTTGAATGGAGTTAAAATGGTGTCAACATGTAGGATAGTTTGCCAAACTCTGAATATCTGCGACTCTGATTGTAGCAGAGCTGGCTCCCTCTACTGGTGAGGGCTCCATCCCAGAGGGGAGTAAGCCTGATCTCCCGGCTCCACAACCCACCCTCCCCGCAACAGAGGCCCCCAGCCCTGCCGAGGGGGGGCAAGACCTCCCTACCGGGGCCCGAGAGCCTGGGGACGAGGCCCAAAGCAACATGGAGGGCGTGCAGGAGGCTGAAGGTACCAAGGGGGTGGTGTCACTGTGAACTTTGAACCCCATTCATCAACCCCCTCCATTCACTTGCCGTGCTTGGGTTGTTCCTCTCCTAACATCCCGCCTTCCCCTTTTTGCACCGCTCTACCCTTGGTCGCTGTCCCTCTTGCATCCCTCATTTAATTCGCTGTCAAGCACCTCAATAATTGATCTTGCAATCAACAGGATTTTTCAACACTTGCAAACACCTGAATTTCAGCTTCGGTATTGAACGCTTGTCACAACTGTGCTGAATACCTGCTGTTATTTCATTCCAAAAGAAAGTTTAAAGCTAATTGCTTTGATGTGCAATCAGGTTGAATAGCCTGGCATGAACCACAATGACTTTCAGACAAAGCATTTCAGTTTGAACCTTGTGGGCGCTATTATCCAATCAGCACAAGTGCATTGCTTCTGGCTTGCCTGCTTGTTATCATTATCATCAGTGTGCCCACTGTTGGATGCTTGCCTCAGAGAACATGGCTCATTGTGAAGAACCATCATGGCTGCCATGATTCAATATCCATCTTCATGTGTTGCATTTCTAAAAAGAGCTTCACCTTTATTGTGCTAGTGGTGTAAAACCAAGTGTGTTGGGTTTGGCCATATGTCACATTCCTGTCATGTTGACGCTGTACCCTTAATCTTTCATTGGATTGGTGTCTTATCTGTTGACATCCATATTCACCTCTGGGTGGACGTTGACCTTAGGCTCAGATCTAGGATCAGCCTTACCCATCCCTCACCATTCAGAACTGACCTTGGATCAATGTCTAGGGGCAACGTCATCCTACTCCCCCATGCTCGTCCCCTAAAGGGGTGATTAGTCATGCCTTTAATGCATGGGTCCCGATCATTATTACTATGAATCATCATAACCCTATTGGCTGTGTAAAAGGTTGCGTGTGGGCACTACAGGAATGACACGCATGCAGCTTCATGACACTAGAGGGAGCTATTGCATGTCATTTTAACTTTGAACTTGCTCTTGACAAGGGGCTGTCTGTTGGGTCTTCTCTTGAGAAGTCCACATCCCAGGCAAACAAAAATATAGATTGTATTACATGCCACAATCCAAAATGAATTAAAAAGATAGGCACCATATAATCTCCGGATTCCCTGGTGCTTATCCATTCATTTGGGTCGAGGCATATAGCTGGATCTACATACATGATTGCGTGGGATGTGGACTCTTGACATATTACTAATTTTGACGTCTGAAAGTATCTGTCAAACTTTGATTTTGCAGTATTATACCATCCCTTTAAAGCATGATTTTAAATAGTGACTTACGTTGTGTTTTAGAGAAGGCAGGATCTGATTCTAGCTCTCCTAGTGGAGAGGGGGTCTCAAGCCTAAGCCAGCCAACTCAGCCCGGTGGTGAGGAGAACAGCAACAGCAGCACCATTGCCAGGGAGTCCCCCAGGGGCCCGGAGGAGCCCGACCTGGCCGACCGGTCCTCTCAGTCCTCTGTCAACAGCCAGGACGACCAGGGGGTGAACGGCGAGGCCGGTGGTAAGCGGTCGGCAGTCACTCCGGGCGGCCGCATGGTGACCCGCCTGCGTAACCCGGAGAGCAAGCTGAGCCAGCTGAAGAGCAAGAAGGTTGAGGAAGCCGTCCACGAGGCCAACAAGGGCTACAAGGAGGGCAAAGAGGTGATCACTATTAATCTACAAAAAATACTTTTTAGCCATTGCATTCATAGCTATCCTTAGGTGTACTAAACTTTGTTTGAGATTACTTTGTATTTTTCGTAATCGTGGGCCTAATATTTACATCTAAAAATATCATGCATTTATTTCAATTTGAGTGTCGCTCGTCTGTTATTAACCTATCATGTATTTGATTTACCTTTGATTTGACCCCCCCTCTCCTCACTCCAGGTGCTGGTGGTGACCCCGGCGGGCGACGTGTCGCGCCTCAGCACACGCAGTCTAACAAGCAAGGAGGTGGTGATGAAGGGCACACTCAGCCACTTCTTCAAGCTGGGCCAGGAGGGCAAGTACCGTGTCTACCACAACCAGTACAGCGGAAACACGCTGGCCCTCAACAAGCCCCAGCACCGTGAGGACCTGGACAAGCGGCGACACCTCTCGCACAAGGTAAACTTATTTTAAGATAACTTTAGCTTGCACACAACTGAAGGAGTCAACATAAACTTGAACAGATAAACACTTGCGCTATTTTTTAGATTCAACTGTTTAAAGGGATACTTTGAGATTTTGGCAATGAAGCCCTTTATCTACTTCCCTAGAGTCCCATGAACTCGTGGATACCTTTTATGTCTCTGCGTCCAGTATGAAGGAAGCTAGAGGTAGTTTCCAGAGCCAATACTAACTAGCGTTAGCGCAATGACTGGAAGTCTACAGGATAGCAATTGCGCCAGCGCTAATTAGCAACTTTCTTCAAACCGCACGCTGAGACATAAGAATGGTATCCATGAGTTCGTCTGACTGTGGGGAAGTAGATAAAGGGCTTCATTACCAAAAACTCTGAAGTATCCCTTTAAGTCTTTGTTTCCTCCTTTCAGTCGTCTTTGTATCTTGTACAGTACTGGCCCTCTATCCTTGTTTGATTTGAGCTGTTTTTCTTTCTTCAATTTCTCTAATTGTTGCTCCTTCTTAATGCATGTTTAAGTTTGTTTTAGTTGTACAGTGCTTTGTGATTCCCCCATGTAATGAAAAGCTCTCTACATATAAAGCTGTTATTTTATTATTCAGTTTTGCATGACGCCGGCAGGCGACTTCAAGTGGAACGGCTCCATCCACGGCTCCAAAGTGCTGACCATCTCCACGCTGCGCCTCACCATCATCCAGCTGGAGACCAACGTGCCCGCACCCTTCATGCACCCTAACTGGGCTTCACACAGGTACGGCTGGAATGTGGGCTCTGGGTGTTTTTGAGAGCCTAGTTGGTTGATTTACAATTTATGAAAGAATATGATCAAAATGTTTTTAACCCATAAGAGTCTAAGCTGTGTCTAAGTCAGGGGAGGGTGGAGGGGGGGTTCTACTAAGCTATATGGAATTGTTTTAAGAAGGTCATACCAAGGATCATTTAGCTATTTGATTTGGAATTTTAAGACCGTTTGAAGTATCAAAACAAATGTATATAAAAACATATTTGATGAAAAATTATTTTTGGCCTTACTGCTATTAGTCCATAAAAATGTGTTGAATAACAGATTCACTACATGGAACAACAGTCCCCACCATAAATCCAAGGGAAGTTTCTTCTGAAGTGTCTGTCCTATGTATGAGAGATATAAGAAAGATCAGGATTATAAAACATTTTGGGACATGTATTTAACCCCTTATTTCTGGCATTAAACAGTCTCCATATACGTGTACTTCCATACATTTTTCAATTGGTACCGGGGGACCTTCAGACGAGTCTTGTGAGGCCTGTGGGCGTCCTAGAGCAAAACAACCAACATGTACAGTACCAGTCAAAAGTTTGGACACACCTACTCATTGCAGGGTTTTACATTGTAGAATAATAGTGAAGACATAAAAACTATGAAATAACACATATTGAATCATGTAGTAACCAAAAAAGTGTTAAACAAATCAAAATATATTTTATATTTGAGATTCTTCAAATAGCCACGCTTTGCCTTGATGACAGCTTTGCACACTCTTGGCATTCTCTCAACCAGCTTCACCTGGAATGCTTTTCCAACAGTCTTGAAGGAGCTCCCACATATGCTGAGCACTTGTTGGCTGCTTTTCCTTCACTCTGCGGTCCGACTCATCCCAAACCATCTCAATTGTGTTGAGGTCGGGGGATTGTGAAGGCCAGGGTCATCTGATGCAGGACTCCATCACTCTCCTTCTTGATAAAATAGCTCTTACACAGCCTGGAGGTGTGTTGGGTCATTGTCCTGTTGAAAAACAAATGATAGTCCCACTAAACCCAAACCAGATGGGATGGTGTATCACTGCAGAATGCTGTGGTAGCCATGCTGGTTAAGTGTGCCTTGAATTCTAAATAAATCATAGACAGTGTCAACAGCAAAGCACCCCCACACCATAACACCACCTCCTCCATGCTTTACGGTGGGAAATGCACATGCAGAGATCATCCATTCACCCACACCGCGTCTCTCAAAGACACGGCGGTTGGAACCAAAAAATCTCAAATTTGGACTCCAGACCAAAGAACATATTTCCATCGGTCTAATGTCCATTGCTCATGTTTTTTGGCCCAAGCAAGGGGTTGTTAAGTGTTCATTTAACCATTGTGTGCTCTTCCTGTTTTGGGGAGGGGGGCACTGGCTATTATTTAGATACTAGTTTGTGATATCATATTTGGTGATAACATATTTGTTTTTACATGTTCATCGAAGTTAGCGTGCGCTGCTCTTGTTCAGTTCTGACTCCAGCAGTCCCAGATGACCGATAAAGTCACACTGTCATGATTTGATGTCACCGTGATTCCATATGACGGATAACACCATTGTCTGACTCCCTTTGGCTTTGTTTTGGTTTTCATCAGGAACAACTGGATTAAGGCGGTGCAGATGTGCAGTAAGGCCAGGGAGTTTGCCCTGGCCATGGCCATCTTGGAGTGTGCCATCAAACCTGTGGCCCTGCTCCCTGTCTGGAAGGACGCGCTGGGACACACCAGGCGAGTAGACTCAGAGCACACACAGTCACGTCTTTCACTTTAAACTGGCATCAAGTCATCAAGAGAACCTATTTTACCGTGTTATGGCATCCTTAGAATGTCATTACCACTTCAAATAACGCCTTAATACCATTTAAGCAGCCACTTCCAAGTGTGACCTCAGAATGAGCGCAAACCCTAGACCAGTGGCAGCTGCTGAATGGCTGAATACCCGGGGCGCGGGGTGGTTGGAGTTGTCAACAAAGCAGCATGACAGAAATATGATGCCAACTTTTCGAACTATCGTTTCTTCTTTGAGAAGATATATAAAGTGATCTGTGCATTTGAACTAACAGCATAAATACACCTATTTCACTTTCTGCATGAAAAAAACTGAATGACCACTGCTGAACATGCTGCCACTGTTTTGAACAGATTAGATTATACTATTGAACGAGTAGCCAGCTCACAAACAAACAGGTGCTCCAGGGCGAACGCAACAAGCATGCAGATGCAGTAAGTGAAAACACTATCTAACTGGGGATAGCTAGCTAACATAATGTCACAAAGCATGGTTGCTAGGCAGTTAACTTTCATTCTGAAATAACTTCATATTTCGAGTTAGTCAGATATTCGTTTTGAAAGACTTGAAATTGACCCCCCAAAATTAATTTGACCAATAAATCGACCAAACTATTTCTCAATGTTTCTGTCCAATACAGTAGAAGCTGATGAACACCGTGGGGGGAAACAATAACATTGGCCAGCCACCGTCGTGCTTTTTTGTCCTACCAGATCTGCGATGAGAAGGTTCTAGTTAGTGTATCCCTCTGGCCTTCGACTCTTGTTGGATGTAGTTGTCCAGTTTATCAGGTCCCAGGCTCCCATGACTGTTAAGAATATTTATTTACAAGTTAATTACAATTAGCTTTTTGCTTTAGCGCCTTCTGTACCTGATAGAGCAGATCTAATCTCACGTGTGGAAGTAAGCTGTCTGGCGCGAGACATTTGAACCGTTTATCGGTGAATCGTTACATCCCTAGTATGAAGCAATGCATTCGGCATGCATTCAAATTGATATGCTTGTATAAACATTGAAACACACTGCCTTCCAAATGGAACCCTATTCCCTATATAGTGCACTACTTCTGACCAGGACCTGGTCAAAAGTAGTGCACTACATAGGGAATAGTGTGCACTACATAGGGAAGACCAGCATACCCAGAGGTGATCAGCAGCAGATCAAATGGCCCGCCCCTGGTGTGTAGCACAATATTTATATACTGGGGGGAAACGCTGCTACCTGTTCTACTGATGTGTAAAGACCGCAACTCTCCTCCTCTTAACTGCCTTGATTGTGTTATAGTAACGGTGGGTATGTGGGTGTGCAAAGTCAGTCAAGGGGCTCGCGTCATTTGTGTGTGTATGTGTTGCATGGAGCCTTGCCAAGAGCAACGAGGGTGTTACCCTCCTCTGCCTTTTGATCCGGGCTAGCCCAGACCTTGCACTCACACCAGAGTGCATTGAAGGAATCTGCTTTTGAACTGACTGTGTGTGTTTGACTTTCTCTCTCTTCCCCCCTTTCTGTGCCACCATGCAGGCTACACCGTATGACGTCCATGGAGCGGGAGGAGAAGGAGAAGGTGAAGAAGAGGGAGAAGAAGCTGGAGGACGAGGAGACCATGCAGCAGGCCACCTGGGTCAAGTACACCTTCCCCATCAAGCACCAGGTATTACACACTCACAGACACCCACACACACACTTAAGGGCTGCTACACATACACACTCACAGACACCCACACACACACTTAAGGGCTGCTACACATACACACACACAGACACATACACCCCTTTCATTTGGCCCTTGTTTACCGACCGAGCCCAGGCCCTTTTAAGTCGAAGCTCTACCACTCTATTTACGACCGGGCCGTTCACCATCACCCCTAATCGCCAGGACGTGTTTAATTGCCACTTCCTGCCTCCCAGAATGCAGAGCGGTGTTAAAAGCCCTTTGATGAGGCGAGTGTCCGAGCTCCGGTGGGAGTGTCATCTTTCACATAGTGGCCCTGCTAGATAGGTTTACTTAATGGTGGGTGTGAATACCCTCTGGCCCTCTCATTTCTCTCTCTCCCCCCTCCCCCCTCTCTCTCCTTTCCACTTCCGTCATTCCGCTTTCCGTCTCTCTTTCTCTCTCTTCCATGTGAAGGTGTGGAAGCAGAAGGGAGAGGAGTATCGCGTGACGGGCTGGGGCGGCTGGAGCTGGATCAGCAAGACACATGTGCACCGCTTCCTGACCAAACTGCCCGGCAACACCAACGCCAACTACCGCGCTGAGCTGGAAGGTCAGCAGGAGCGTTCTAGTTTGTCTCCTCTTCATAGAGATAGATAGAGCTCTCATCTTTGTATCTGTGCCTTTATGGCATCTGTGACAGCACTGGCAATGGCAATGTCCATGCAAAAACAAATTATATCCAACTAGAGATCGTCATCCATCTCTATGGTTTGGTTTGAAAGAAGTCAAGGAATTCAGTGGACAAATGTACACATAGCTGTCAAACTCCTCCTCTTCCTTCTTAATTGCCAAAAGTTGTGAGAAATGTACGATTACATTTCACATGGGATAACACTCCCCTGTAAAATTGACTCTACTAATATAAATGTGGCTATGATAACTCAAACAAGTATTTTTTCTTCCTTCGCAGCTGCCAGACGTGGCGAGAAATGCAACTTGCTGGACTTGGGTCCAAGGCCAAGGTTGTTCAAAACAACTGTAGCTTCAGAACCCCAGGGAAGCAGAAGACCCGTGGAGAAAGATGGGGGTACTACGCCCACCACCACTACCACCCCAGAGCCCTCAGCAGACCGCCTGTTGGGAGAGAAGACGAAGGAAATGCCAGAGGAGGGAAAGAAAGAAGAGAGTGACGAGCCAGCGAAAGTGAAGATGCAAGACTCCGCTGCAGACAAGATGGAGGTGGACCCTAGCCTCTCAGACTCAGGACAAGATGATGAAAAAGGTTAGCGCTTTTATAGACTGTCATTGACTTAGCTAACTAACACATGCAATATCAGTCACACATATTATTGAATCCACCAGATCTTCACCATTGTTCAGACGAGAGGATAAGAAGAATGATCCAGTAACTTACGTGTCCATTTTGTTTTTCTGTCAGAGACCAGCAGCAGCCCAGGGACCGAGACGGAGACGACGTCCGTGAAGCAGGAGCCTGGCGAGGGGAAAGCAAGGCCCTTTAACTACGACGTGGTGGACGTGGCCCAGGGCTTCCTGACACGCGTGGCCTACAAAAAGAAGGTCAAGGCCTCCAAGCTGGACGGTCTGCTGGAGCGCCGCGTCAAGCAGCACGCCCTGGAGGAGAAGCAGAGGGTTCAGGTCGCCCTGGCCAAGCCTACCCCAGCGAAGACCCCCGCCCTGCCGCAGACCCCACTCCAGCCCCAAACTCCGACCCAGGCCCAGAGTCCCACAGTGAAATTGGAGTTCAGCACCCCTTCGGTGCCACCTGCGCTTGCTCCATTGTCAGTCAAAGGGGAGGTGCAGGCGGACCCTTCAAAGACCGCTGAGGGGGTCCCTCACCTAGCCACAGCGACCCCACCCAAAGAGCCTGCAGCTGAAGCATCCCCACCAACACAAAACCAAATGACCCCCCATAAACAGGAGGGAGACCTCCCTGAGAGGACTATAGGGCCCACAGGGGCCGGTTCAGGGCAGGAGGGCCTTAAAACGCCCAGCAGCACAGCGGAACCGATGGAAACTCAGAGTTCAGGTGGGATCCACTACACTGGTGGACCATCAGAGTCTACCAGCTCCAAGCCCGTTTTCACCGAGGGTGCAGGACCTGAAGTGGCCATTTTGAAACCCCACTCCACAACGATACCCCCAAGCACTATAACCCAGCAGGGCAGCCAGATTGCAGCTACCGTTCCTAAACCCCCCCAGCAGAGCACAGAGGAGAATGGGAAGGGGCCCGAGGAGCGGCAGGGCAATGGACAGAGCAGCACCGAGGCCATCGCCACTGGGTCCCAGCCCTCCTCTCTACCTCAGATCAATGGAAATGACAGCGTGGAGGCTAAAGCCTTGACCAACTCTTTACCAACTCTAAACGAGCCCTCCAACGCTCTCACTAACAGCTCAGAGGTGAACAGCCTAGGCAAGGTGGAGGGAGAGGGTCAAGTGGTCTCGCCCCTAAAGCCCCTGCTCAACGGCAATTGTGGCCCCTGTAGCCGAGAGGACCGGGCCGGACAGCACGGAACCAAGGCCGGCTCCAAGGTTAGAGGTGGAGAGGAAGGTCACGGTGTCGGAGCAGGACTTCCAGCCCCCGGTGAAGGTGGCCAGGCTGGAAAACAACGTGGAGGCGCTGGGGTCTACGACCACCCAGAGCACCCAGCAGCTCAACAACACCCAGCCCATGGAGGTTAAGCGCGATGCTACTACGCCCAACAAAATGGCCCCCTCGTCGGTGCGCTCTGCAGAGGACTCCAGCCTCAGCAATGACTTTGCGGAGGAGAGCAGCAACAGTGGGGTGGGATCCTTCGGTAAGACCATCCTCACCCAGGTAACCACCACAACAACCACCACCACCACGGTATCCACGGAGTCTCGGCTAACGGCGGGGGTCTCAAGCTCTTCGGGGACGACAGCCGCGCCTGTAGTCTCAACCACCGAGAGCAGCGCGGTGTCCACGCTCACCACCATGACCAAAACCACTGTGACCAAAATGCTGTCACCCACGCCCGACAGCCAATCAAACGAGAGCCAGAGCGAAACGGTGACCGAGTACAAGACAACGCTCCTCGCCGCCCACAACGAGTCCTCTCGTTCAACCTCCTCCGTTTCGGGGTTCGTGACCTCGTCGACCTCCACCAAGGGCCGCGTTCGCCTCCTCAAGTTCTCGCGCACCAAGAAGACGCGCTCAGGCACCGCCTTGCCATCCTACCGCAAGTTTGTTACCAAGAGCCAACGTAAGAGCATCTTTGTCCTGCCCAACGACGACCTGAAGAAGCTGGCAAGGCGGGGGGGCATCCGTGAGGTGTCCATCTTCAGCTACAACGCCAAGCCGGCCCAGGACATCTGGCCCTACCCCTCGCCCAGGCCCACCTATGGCATCACATGGAGGTGAGAACACAGCTTTCAACGGGCTAGCGCCTTAGCTAACTGCATTATTTGAAATGATTAGGGCCCTGAGTTTTGCCAGACTACCTAGCTAGAGAAAACTCAGGGCTTTAAATATATGGGTTTTCTAATGCTCCATGTGATTTATGATTAGCGTTAGTTTCAGCCTTGCGCTCCATCAACTCTTAGCTGTGATACAGTCATACCACAATAACTAGAACCTCTTGAGCATTAATGCTCCGGCGAACGATATTCACGTCTTGTCCTGTTGATTTGTTGGTAATGTCTTCTCGTCCTTCTGTTTGCTGTTAGTGGGTTTGGCCCCTATGACTCTGTTGTGGCTCTCACAGAGAGACCTCAGGTTATTTTGACCACCGCTTTTTACTGCTAGACGTGAATCATACTGGCGGTCTGCAAGTGTCAGGATGTTCGCGCTGCGTGTTAACCGCTCCGAGGATGTTTTCCCTGCCTGTGGTCAGTCAGTCACACTGGAAAAGGAGGAATGTCTTTCCCTGGCTGTGTCCCAAATGGCACCCTATTCCCTATATAGTGCACTGCTTTTGACCAGGGCCCTATAGTATACTATGGTATAGTAGTGCACTCTATAGGGATTAGAGTGCCATTTGGGACGCACACCTTGACTGTCCCAATATGTTTTTTTTTTTAGAAACATTTGTTCAACCTTTTTTAAATAGCCAACAGAGGAAGCATACCAAAGAGTCAGGTTCATAGCCAACCTCGGAAACAAGGAAGTAACACGGTCATTTTACCTGGCTGCCAGGGTTGACTTATGAACTTTATGAACTCTGTGTGCATGTGAGTGTGTGTGTGCACGTGCTGTCTCTTTTTTATGTACCTGTATGGTAGCAGACAAAGGCTGTGTGTGTTGGTGACCCCAGACAGTTGTGTGTTTACGTGTGCGTATGTGCCTGTGTGTTTGTGTATGTGTGGTAACCTATTAGTCTGTCTCTGCAGGTACCGTCTCCAGACAGTGAAGTCCCTGGCAGGGGTCAGTCTGATGCTGAGGCTGCTGTGGGCCTGTCTGAGGTGGGACGACATGGCCGTCAAGCCCTCCGCCGCTGTAGGCACCACGCGCACAGGTAGACCATCCTTTCTCTGCATGTATCTCAACACCCACCCACCCATATACAGTTGAAGTCGGAAGTTTACATACACTTAGGTTGGAGTCATTAAATCTCGTTTTTTCAACAACTCCACAAATGTCTTGTTAACAAACTATAGCTTTGGCAAGTCGGTTAGGACATCTACTTTGTGCATGACACAAGTAATTTTTCCAACAATTGTTTACAGACAGATTATTTCACTTATAATTCACTGAATCACAATTCCAGTGGGTCATAAGTTTACATACACTAAGTTGACTGTGCCTTTAAACAGCTTGGATTCCAGAAAATGATGTCATGGCTTTAGAAGCTTCTGATAGGCTAATTGACATCATTTGAGTCAATTGGAGGTGTACCTGTGGATGCATTTCAAAGCCTACCTTCAAACTCAGTGCCTCTTTGCTTGACATCATGGGAAAATCAAAAGAAATCAGCCAAGACCTCAGAAAAATAATTGTAGACCTCCACAAGTCTGGTTCATCCTTGGGAGCAATTTCCAAACACCTGAAGGTACCACGTTCATCTGTACAAACAATAGTATGCAAACAATAGTCTGCAAGTATAAACACCATGGGACCACGCAGCCGTCATACCGCTCAGGAAGGAGACGCATTCTGTCTCCTAGAGATGAACGTACTTTGGTGCGAAAAGTGCAAATCAATCCCAGAACAACAGCAAAGGACCCTGTGAAGATGCTGGAGGAAACGGGTACAAAAGTATCTATATCCACAGTAAAACGAGTCCTATATCGACATAACCTGAAAGGCCGCTCAGCAAGGAAGAAGCCACTGCTCCAAAACCGCCATAATAAAGCCAAACTACGGTTTGCAACTGCACATGGGGACAAAGATCTTACTTTTTGGAGAAATGTCCTCTGGTCTGATGAAACAAAAATAGAACTGTTTGGCCATAATGACCATCGTAATGTTTGGAGGAAAAAGGGGGGGACTTGCAAGCAGAGGAACATCCCAACCGTGAAGCACAGGGGGGGGGGGCAGCATCATGCTTTGGGGGTGCTTTGCTGCAGGAGGGACTGGTGCACTTCAAAATAAATGGCATCATGAGGAAGGAAAATTATGTGGATATATTGAAGCAACATCTCAAGACATTAGTCAGGAAGTTAAAGCTTGGTCGCAAATGGGTCTTCCAAATGGACAATGACCCCAAGCATACTTTCAAAGTTGTGGCAAAATGGCTTAAGGACAATAAAGTCAAGGTATTGGAGTGGCCATCACAAAGCCCTGACCTCAATCCTATAGAAAATGTGTGGGCAGAACTGAAAAGGCGTGTGCGAGCAAGGAGGCCTACAAACCTGACTCAGTTACACCAGCTCTGTCAGGGAAGCTTGTGGAAGGCTACCCGACAAGTTTGACCCAAGTTAAACAATTTAAAGGCAATCTAACAAATACTAATTGAGTGTATGTAAACTTCTGACCCACTGGGAATGTGATGAAATAAATAAAAGCTGAAATAAATCATTCTCTCTACTATTATTCTGACATTTCACATTCTTAAAATAAAGTGGTGATCCTAACTGACCTAAGACAGGGAATTCTTACTAGGATTAAATGTCAGGAATTGTGAAGAACTGAGTTTAAATGTATTTGGCTGAGGTGTATGTAAACTTCCGACTTCAACTGTACATTGTAGGGGAGGTGTACCAGTTTGATGTAGTCATTGCGTGCTAAGAATATGGGAGCAAATACTTAACTTTTTATAACTTGAATACACCTATGAGTGCATTTGTCCAACTACTTATGAGACCTTCAAATGGGGGGACTATATACATAAAGTGCTTTAATTTCTAAACTGTAAAACAGATACAGTGCCTTCAGAAAGTATTCACACCCCTTGACTTTTTCCACATTTTGTTGTGTTACAGCCTGAATTTAAAATGGGTTAAATTGAGATTTTGGTTGTCACTGGCCTACACACAATACTCCATAATATCAAAGTGAAATTATGTCTTTCAACATTTTTACAAATAAAATATAAAAATAGCTGAAATGAATGTTTTGAGTCAATAAGGATTCACCCCCTTTGTTATGGCAAGTCTAAATAAGTTCAGGAGTGAAAATGTGCTGCCCATTCATTTGTAGCTCAAACGGCACATCTACGGTACCGATTTCATTCGAGTCTCCTAACACTTGTGGGGGTCGTAGAGCAAAACGGATGGTGTTCGTGGGAGTCTCCCCTTTCCACTGAGTGATAATAGAGTAGGCCACACCGTTCGGACACTACAGACGTTTACGTGAGAAGACAGATTTTCTGGATGTCTCATGGTCTAACAAACACAGCTCTAGCTCTGTCACCTTTCACCGCAGATGCGGAAGTGCGACACTGGCGGATGCGGTGGATTTGAGACACATCCAATGCAACAAAACAGATATCTCTAGCTTAAACTGACAGATTTTGTTATGTAACTTGATTTTTTTGTTGTATAACTTAAATTAACGCACTGGTGTGTCAATCGACTCTAGGGGGTTAAAAAGTCACATAATAAGTTTAATGGACTCAATTTGTGTGCAATAATAATGTTTAACATGATTTTTGAAAGACTACCTCATCTCTGTGCCCGATACATACAATTATCTGTAAGGTCCCTCAGTCAAGCAGTGAATTTCAAACACAGATTCAACCACAAAGACCAGGGAGGTTTTCCAATGCTTTGCAAAGAAGGGCACCTATTGGTAGAGGGGTACAAATAAAAAAAACAGACATTGAATATCCGTTGGAGCATGGTGGAGTTATTAATTACACTTTGGATGGTGTATCAATACACCCAGTCACTACAAAGATACAGGTGTACTTCCTAACTCAGTTGCCGGAGAGGAAGGAAACTGCTCAGGGATTTCACTATGAGGCCAATGGTGACTTTAAAACAGTTACAGAATGTAATGGCTGTGATAGGAGAACTGAGGATAGATCAACAACATTATAGTTACTCCACAAAACGAATCTAATTGACAGAGTGAAAAGAAGGAAGCCTGTACAGAATAAAAATATTCCAAAACATGCATCCTGTTTGCAACTAGGCACTAAAGAAAAAATGTGGCAAAGCAATTCACTTTTTGTCCTGAATACAAAGTGTTATGTTTGGGGCCAATACAATACATTACCGAGAACCACTCTCCATATTTTCAAGCATAGTGGTGGCTGCATCATGTTATGGGTATGCTTGTAATCATTAAGGACTGAGGAGTTTTTCTGGATAAAAAAATAAACGGAATGGAGCTAAGCACAGAAAATATCCTAGAGGAAAACCTGGTTGAGTCTGCTTTCTACCAGACACTGGGAGATGAATTCACCTTTCAGCAGGACAATAACCTAAAACACAAGCCAAATCTACACTGGAGTTGCTTACCAAGAAGACCGTGAATGTTCCTGAGTGGCTGAGTTACAGTTTTGTCTTAAATCTACTTGAGAATATATAGCAAGACTTGAAACTTGTTGTCTAGCAAGGATGAACAACCAATTTGACAGAGCTTGAAGAATTTTGAAGAGAATAATGGGCAAATGTTGTACAGTTCAGGTGTGGAAAGCTCTTCGAGACTTACCCAGAAGCACTCATAGCTGTAATCGCTGCCAAAGGTGCTTCTACAAGGTATTGACTCAAGGGTGTGAATACTTATGTAAATGAGATATTTCTGTATTTAATTTCCAATACATTTCAATAAAATCAAAAAACATGTTTTCACTTTGTCGTTATGGGGTATTGTGTGTAGATGGGTGAGGAAAAAATATATATTTAATCAATTTTGAATTCAGGCTGTAACACAACAAAATGTGGAATAAGTCAAGAGGCATGAATACTTTTGAAGTATTTCGGAAGGCACTGTATTTATGAAAATACCCTCAAATAAAAGGTGACATTCTGTGCTGTCGCCTCATATGAAACATTTTACCTCAAATCCAGCTTCGCTGGACAAATAAATACGTAGGGGAGTGTATATCCTAATATATCCACCATGAAGCCTATTTCCTCTGCTACTCCTATTTACTTTTTACTTAAATATCAGAGGCTCTTCCCATGGAATGTCATTCCTGTGTATTGTATTGAATGGCAGCGTATTATGTTGTTACTGTGTGATGTCTTGGGAGTTGTTCTCTGCATCTTCCTCCTCCTTCATCCTACACCAACCCAGCCCTATCCCCACTCATTGCCACAGAGACCTCCGAGACGGAGATCACCACCACAGAGATTATCAAGCGCCGCGACGTGGGGCCCTATGGCATCCGCTCTGAATACTGCATCCGCAAGATCATCTGCCCCCTCGGCGCTCCCGAGACCCCAAAAGGTGAGGGAGAAGCAGCCGGCTAGAATAAAACTCTACATAGAATGTAAAATGTCGTTGTTGACACGATCTCTCTTACTCTCTTATTCTTCTCTCACTGCTTCCCCCTCTACTTTTGTTTTTCTTGCTCCACCCTTACCATCTCTCTCTCTCTCTCTCTCTCTCTCTCTCTCTCTCTCTCTCTCTCTCTCTCTCTCTCTCTCTCTCTCTCACGTCCATTCGCATCCATACAGAGACCCACACGCCACAGAGGAAAGGCCTGCGCTCCAGCAACCTGCGGCCCAAGAAGCCGGAGCCCAAAAAGGAAACTGGGCCGATGGTGATTGAGTCCTGGGTGGCCGAGGAGGAGCTGGACCTCTGGGAGATCAGGGCCTTCTCTGAGAGGTCAGAGGGCAAAGGGCACGGGGGGCACGAGATCTAGGGGTCATAGTAACTGCATACTCCATGCTATTCTCTTCAGTGAACTGTAAATTGAACTGTCATTATCTTCTGTTATCAACGCACTTCAACTCTCTTAGACTAATTAAAAAAAACATGTTGCTTAATTTCCCTAAATTTGATTAACTATAGTTTTTGTATAGCTAATTGCATTCATTTGGGGAAAAAATAGTTATGTTCCAACTCTTTCAGTGGTTTGTGTATGATACATCTCTTTCTGTCTTCACAGGGTTGAGAAGGAGAAAGCCCAGGCGGCGGAACAGGCCAAGGTGAGTAGGACCACTAGCTGTGTGAAAAATAAGCATGTTTTGTTGTGTTTTCCGGATTATTTCACGGTTTCTCTTGTTCTAGAAGCGCCTGGACCAGAAAACGGGCGCTGGCTCTACCACAGTCACCACCACGGGGAGCCCAGCCACCCCCGCCTCCACCCCCAAGGTAGTGACCCTGTCGGGCCAGTCCACCCCCGGAACCAAAGTGGTACTGGCCACCAAGATGGGCACCCCCGTGACCTTCCAGCAGAACAAGAACTTCCAGCAGTCGTTTGCTTCCTGGGTCAAGCAGGGGCAGCCCAGTGGAGGTATGTCATAGGTCATTTTCTTTGTTCACAAGCCAGTAGATTGGTAAAGAGAATAACTTCATTGAATCTCTTTCAGATGTGTTCTGATTTTATTTGTGCTCAAGTGATGTTATTTTTTGACTTAGTAGGGAATCCTTGCAAATAGAAAGTAATAGTGTTTGTGTATGAATCAACCCCTAACAGACTAAATCTGTTTGAGTCACTGTTAGCAGCTGTGCTTGTTTAGCAGCGGTTGATCTTTGACTCTCGGGTGGAGCCTCATTTGCATATTTCCCTGTAGCCTCGCCGGGTACAGTGGCCACGTCGGCCGGACAGACTTTCCAGATCACGGGCACGTCCATGGGGGGCAAGGTGCTCACCGCCAAGCTGCCGCTGCCTGCCAACAGCAAGATTGTCACTGTCAACGTGCCAACCACTCAAGGAGGTACAGTAACTCCCCTGTGCCCACACCTGAGGCACAGTGAGAGACCGGTTTCGCTTGAAAAATAGATATTTTGACTTCAATGGGACAACCTGGTAAAATAAGGTTAAATTAAACAAGAAAGAGAGAGGTCCTGTTTTAAATGCTGTACAAATGCATCCTTCATTCCTCCCTTTTTTCCATGATGACAAGGATGGATGACTGAAAGGAAATGTTTCTCTACCAACTGCCATCTTCTCCAACCACTAACCTAACTTACCACTATTGACAGAAGCACTGTCTCACACACCTGTTGTGGCACAACACTGTGGTAAGGTCTGTCCTCTTGACCAGGCTAGTGGTGCGGTGCCCACTCAATGCCAACCCCATTGCGGTGCCCCGCCACGCGCCAACTCGTGATTCAGTGGCTCAGTCTGGAGTGGCACATGCACATCATGTCTAGTTGTGCCCTGTCGGCATGGTAGTCTAATAGAACGTTGTTATTTTAGGTGGGACAGAACGGTAGACTGTGTAGTCTAAGAACTTAGCCAGACCGTCTTTTGAAGTAGCTAATTTAGATGTCAATATTGACCCATCCGATGAGGTGATGGTTCATATTTTTAGCACCGCTGTCCCGTTTGAGTTCACCTTTAACAGTGGGTTGATGACGAGTGTACAACACTGTTAAAGGCACAATCCTTCATTTGTTTATTCAGCCAAACGGCAATTTATTGAAATTCCAATTGATGCTTCACGATGACTGACTTGGACTAATACTTGGTTGTTAGTGTGTGAGTGATTGTAGGTGAGGTAGTTTTCTAGTGTCTAAAAAGGTCAGATATCGAAGATATGCTTGTAGACGTATTTGTGCCGAAACCTTGTCTTACTACAATAAGGCTTAGCTTTTTCATCATTATTACTGACCAATACTAAAACTCAAACAATGCAAAAACATGACCTTATCCTGAACCCGTTTTTGCCTCCCATATTTCACAATATCTTTCCTGTTTCTAATTATCCATATAAAAGGATGGTCATGCCCTTGGCTACACTCTTTGAATATATATATATATACACACACACACCAACACACACGCTCTCTCACTCACACACACACACACAGAAGACATATCCACGGATAGGCTAAATTACTCCACAAACAAACAGCGCTCCTGTCTAGTGACACCCATGACCAGGGAGGGAGAGAGAGACAGCTGGTATTAAGGAACAGTAGTGTATTTTTCCAGCGTGACTGTTTCAGTGCCTGTTTGTTTTGGAGCATGCTAAGGAAGCGGAGCAGGATAACAAGTTTATGTTGAGGTCTGGTTCATCAGACAGGTAACCCGCTATAGAGAGGTGGAGGATGGAGGGATTTCTACCCCCCTCCTTCTTTCTGTGTCGCTTACTCGCTAGCTCACCAACTCTCCAAACAGCTACTCTTATGAAGTGGCCGTTTGATGTCGGTGCCAGAACTGAAACTCCCCAGTCTTCTACTGTAGCTGGTTTAACCTCCACTATTTGAAGAGGGAAACCATTGATTTATAGCTTTACCTGATCGGTTTTGTGGTCAGAAAAAAGGCACCCAAAAAAACACAGAGTGAGGAGAGGGTGATGTAAAAGAGGGCAACAATTTCAGATCTTTTGAGGAAACGAGTTTTCAGTTTGGTTGCCGTCCTGTGTCCACGTGAGCTCAAAAGTATTGGCACCACAGCCAAAGTAACAAATATGAAACACTCGCTTTGTCGGAGGTAAATAAAAACGTATGAATTCAAGGAAAAGTCATACATAATTTATGAGCAGGTCATACGTGATGGATTCAAACCAACATACCCCGTTTGAAGATTGTTTTGATGTTGTTTACTTGCTGGGTTAATATTTACTGTGGTCAAGATCAGAGAGGGTTGCAACTTGAAAGGAACAAAATCCACAAGTAATTTATTGAGTGACGTATTGATACATCATGAACTGTGCACAATGAATAGTTTGTTTCTATACCTGATAAAGTGAAACTGGTAGCCTTGAGGGGACATTTCAGCTTTCTTCATTTCCAAAAGATAAAAGTGAATAACTAGAGTAGCATTATCGTTTTTAACAGATGTTGGTGGATTCATTTCTGTCTTTAAATGTGAAGCATTTGATCATCAAAAGTCAGAATAACACACAGGTATTCTGAATATTGAATATTCAGAATATTGATCATCTCCATAATGCTAATGTTATGGTGATATAAATCAAATCAAAAATGGAATAAAAATGGTATTTGTCACATGCTTTGTAAACAACAGGTGTAGACTAACAGTGAAATGCTTACTTACAGGTCCTTTTTTAACAATGCAGAGTATTCGATAAATATCAATCCTGTATGTGTGGTTCACAGCAATAGGTCCTCTCCTCTCCCCAGGTATGATTCAGAAGCAGGTGCTGGGCATCATTCCCTCAAGCCAAGCTGGCGGCGCCCAGACCTTCGCCTCGTTCCAGCCTCGCACCACAACCATCAACATCAGGCCGGGCATGCCTGGCTCACCACAGCAGGTAACCCCACCATCTTTCCCTATCTATCAGTCAATCAATCACATCTATTTATAAAGCCCTATTTACGTCATCTGTTGTCACAAATTGCTTTACATGAACCCGCCTAGATCTTCAAATTCCCCCTATCTCACCCTAATCCTTCCCTTCCTTACCAACATCCACCCTGCCCCCCTGTCACGTCTTCTCCCCACAGCCCTCTAAAACAGGTCATAAGCAGTAACACGTGATCGACACGTTATTGAAAAAATGCCCCATGAACTGTTAACAGCAACCCTTCACTGGAGTCACTGTAGTCCCTATGGTATAAGGGAAAGTCCCTGTGTTGCTGATCTTGGCTGTGTTTCTAGGTGCTCACCGCTGGAGGCCAGATCCGTCCGGGGATGACCGTGATCCGCACCCCCATCCATCAGACAGGCGCCATGGGTAAGACCATCCTCCGAACCCCCCTCATGGTGCAGCAAGGTAGGCTATTTGTATTTGCCTACTTCATTTTAGCTTGATAGGCCAGTTACAATCATCTCTTTCACTAACTTCTGTGTTCATGCAAGTTCTGACTCTGTCTGTCTGCCTGTCTGTCTGTCCTGCCTGTGTGTGTCTGTACTTGTGTGTGCGTCCACTTACGTGTGTGTGTTCTCCTCCAGGTCAGGCGGGCCAGCAGGTGGTGACCCAGATCATCCGCGGGCAGGCAGTGTCCACGGCCATCTCGGGTGCCAGCCCCGTCACCACTGTAGCCGGGCAGAGGGTGGGCAGTGCCCCCAACACCCCGGGCCAGCCCAACACGTCCCAGACGCCCCAGCAGAGGGCACAGCAGGGCCAGGGCCAGGTCAAACTCACCCTGGCACAACTCACCCAGCTCACCCAGGTAACATCAGTTACCCCATAATAACCCTTCTACTGATGTCAGGCAACAGTGGGACAATAGGCTTCTGCTCTGTCCACCTAGTGCACCGTAATTCTGCACCTTTTAAAACAATTATGTTTTGATTTTAGTCCTACTCAACTGGAAATATCGGAATAACTCAGTTTCATGTCCCTGTTAGTATATCTATATGTGCTAGTTTCGACATGGTCTGTTTGTTTTTTTAAAGAGTAGTGTACTCTTGCCTGGTCGCAGATCAGTTTATCTAGCCAACTCCTAAGTTGTTGCTATATGGCATGACAAACATATCAGGGACCAGGCTACAGTTGTACTTCTAAACTACCTCCAAAAGCATCATCCCTCCTCTCTCTCTCCCCCAATCAGAAGCAGCAGAGCCAGGCAGTAGAGCGGCCGGGCGGCGGGGCCCAGGGCCTGACGGTGATGATCCAGGGCCAGGGCAAGGCCACAGGCCAGCTGCAGGTCATCCCCCAGGGGGTCACGGTCATCCCCGGGCCCGGTCAGCAGCTCATGCAGGCGGCCATGCCCAACGGCCAGGTCCAACGCTTCCTCTTCACCCCCGTGGCCCCCGCCGCTACCCCCACCACCACAGGTAGTCAAAAGAGCTAATAATAGTGTGTATTATTGACACAGCTACTTACACACACAGTCGCCATCATCCACTTCAGGGCTGTGTTCAGTAGACACAAAAGGGGGAAATGTTTTGTAACAGACAGTGAGAGGTTACGGTAGTATGTCAAAAGTGTTTGGTCCGGTTTTGTGCCCACTGAACAGGACCCAGTACCCAAAGGTTATGTAGCCTACCAGCAGTCACACACACACTCGCAGATCATTGTTTTGCTATTACAATACGACACTGGATTGTCACAAACACTCATTACATTATCCGTAGCCTGTGTGTCTTCTAAAGGTCTGCCCATCCTCTTTCTCTCCTCTCCTCCCTTCAGCCCCCACCATCCAGGGCCAGACCACCAAGACCCCTGCCCAGCCCGCACAGCAGGCGGTAGCGCCCATCCAGGCCGGCGCCGCCCTGGCCACCAGCATCCCCCCATCCGCCACCCCCCAGGGCCAACTCCCCTCCCAGACTCAGGCCCACATGCCCATCCAATCCCCCACCCCTCTCCAGGTCAAGTCCATCAAACACCCCCCCGGCACCCCCACGGGCCGGCCCCAGCAGACCCTCCAGCTCCAGGGCTCTCCCCACCAGCTCATCACCGTCCCGGGCCTCCAGCAACAGGTCCAGGTCCTGGCTCAGCTCCAGGCCCAACAGGGGACCTCCGGAGGCTCTCTCCCCCAGCAGATCAAGCTCCAGCTGCCTATCCAGATCCAGCAACCCGGGGTCGGTGGAGCCCAGCCTGGAGGTCCGATCCAGAACGTGGTGACCATCCAGACGGCCAGCGTGCAGGAGCAGCTCCAGAGGATCCAGCAGCTGAGGGAGCAGCAGCAGCAGAAGAAGAGGCTGGTGGCCGAGGCCAAGCGGGAGCAGGCACTGACGGCGGCCAGCCAGAGCGACATCATCCAGAAACAGGTGCGGGTGGTGGTCAATATCAGAAACGTGGACTTACATGTATGTGTTCGCCTGTCTGTAAGTTTGGATGATGGGGAGGTGTGGGTTGTGTGTTCAGGCAGCCAGCCAGACACAGTTAGTGAAACAGTATAGTAGGTCCCGTCTCTCTCTGACATCAGTACATAAACAGCCTGCTCCCACGACTGTGGTTTATTTTCCAAGCTGTCCCACTGTCTTTGTCTATTTTAGATGCTACCTCTGTGTGTATGGTATATGTATGATGTGCATGTGTGCGAGCACGTTTGTGGATTGCGTGCGCCCCTACTGTAGTGCATGCACACACTTCTGAAATGGCACCCTATTCCCTATATAGTGCACTACTTTTGACCAGAGCCCTATGGGCCCGGGTCAAAAGTAGTGCACTATATAGGGGATAGGGTGCCATTTGGAACGTAACCGGTGTGAGGCCTGAGTTGACCTCTGACCCCTCTGTCTCCTCTATGACAGGTGGTGATGAAGCAGAACGCGGTGATCGAGCACCTCAAGCAGAAGAAGCCCATCTCCCCCGCCGAGAGAGAGGAGAACCAGAGGTGAGGGACTAGGACCTAGCTAACGCTGTTGCCATGACGATCAGACCTTGTGTTGACCCGCCGTGTGTGTGTGGAGGTGTCATCCTTTCCCTCCCTGTGGAGAAAGCCAGGGGTTATATTTAACGTGTCTGGGTCATGGGAAAGGTTACCACAGACAGACCATGTGTTGTGTCCTCCTCACTGGGTTTAAACCAGACCTACAGTACTGGAGCAGGGCAAGCCAGGGCACTGTGGTTGTATCCCAAATGGCACCCTATTCCCTAAGTAGTGCACCACTTTTGACCAGGGCCCATAGGGCTCAGGTCAAAAGTAGTGCACTACATAGGGAATACGGTGCCATTTGGGACACAACCGTGAGTCTCGTTCTCTTTTTTTTGGGGGGGGGGGGGGTCTTGTCTCCCTCCATCTCTCTCTTTTGTAGTCAGTCACGTCAGTGTACACAGTCTGGGAACCATGGTTGACCTTGATCTCCCCAGCTTGTGTGTGTGTGAGAGAGCAGTGGCTTCCTATTGCTAGTCTATCTTTCCATCTTTCTCCGGCCCCACCTCTAAATAAACACGGGGAACAAAAACACTCTTGACAGCTGTCACACGTGACCTTCTGACATGGCTACCGATTGGCTTACAGTGTTTTGTCTCGTAGTTTGAGGTAACGAACGGGTGATGGAAAGGTTAATGATGTTATGATGTATGGAAACATTATTCATTCAATTTCCTTCAAGTCAATTCATATTTGATTATTAGAATTACTCCCATAAATCTATTCACTTTAAAATTCCTTCACTGTACTATGGATGAAAATGAGCTTCATAGCTAACTCTCCTGTTACGTTGATGGGAAAACTGAAATGAAGACTGAACATTGTCACCTAAATACAAAATGTTTTAAAATCCCATCCACCCCTCCCCTCAGGATGATTGTGTTCCTGGTGGTATTCATCTTTATAAATGGCTATAAGCATGTATGAGCCTTTATATAATATGTTACATCTCTCCCCCTCCCATCAGGATGTTGTGTGGCTGGCAGTATAAATGCTAAACTTGTTATAAGCATATATAAACCTTTCTAATGTTCTATAAGGCCTATAACATGTTGTCTCTATCCCCTCCACCCAGGATGATTGTGTGCAACCAGGTGATGAAGTTCATCCTGGACAAGATGGACAAGGACGAGAAGCAGGCGGTCAAGAAGAGGAAGAAGGAGGAAGCGGGCGAGCAGAAGAGGACCAAGGCCAACGCCACCAAGCTGTCGTCGCTGCTCTGCCGGCACAAGGAGACGCTCAAGGCCGAGATCCTCAAGAAGAGAGCCCTGCTGGACAAGGAGCTGCAGCTGGAGACGCAGGTCAGACACACACGCGACATTCTCCCATGAACATACTGTACTCACCATGGACACATGGTAGCAGAGCTGCACACAGATGTCCAACAAACACACACTTTCTATCTCACTCTCTACCCTTATCTCCTTCCACAGGACGAGCTGAGGAGGGACCTCGCCAAGCTGCGACGGGACAAGGAAAGGGCCCAGGCCGCCTCCCACCAGGCGGCCGCCGCCGCACACACGCATCACGCCCAGCACGCCCTCACACACACCTCCCAACTCACCTCGGCGGCCTCCGCCCACAAGCGGAAGCGGGAGGAGGAGAGGGACGCAGCGTCGACAGCTAATGCCAAGAAAGAAGATGATCTCCACCACTACCTCAAGAGACAGCAAGAAGGAAATCAGGCTCTACTGTGTCTGCAAAACGCCCTACGACGAGTCCAAGTAAGAGACGAGCTGTGTTTTTAAATGGTACCCTATTCCCTATGTAGTGGGCTACTTTTGAACCAGGGCCCTGGTCAAAAGCAGTACACTATACAGAAATTAGGGTGCCCATTGGGCTCTAGTCAAAGGTAGTGCACTAGGGAATATGGTGCCATTTGGGACGTAACCCACGTTTATCTACCGCAAACATGACCCTTGTCTGAAGTCCTTCTGAAGAGCCTTAATGTAGTCCAAACACGTTAAATATATACACTGCTCAAAAAAATTAAGGGAACACTTAAACAACACATCCTAGAATCCCAGGATTCCAAGGTACGCTTACGGTAACTAACGGATATGGTGCTACGGTCTAACCACCAGTGCTGGGTTAGTAGAAAAACCAGGAATAGAGTATTCTTCAGAGTCTTCATGTGACAACCTCGACTAACCTGTACACCAGCACATTGACTCGGTACCGGTACCCCCTGTATATAGCCTCGCTACTGTTATTTTATTGTGTTCTTTTTTTCATTATACACTGCTCAAAAAAATAAAGGGAACACTAAAATAACACATCCTAGATCTGAATGAATGAAATAATCTTATTAAATACTTTTTTCTTTACATAGTTGAATCTGCTGACAACAAAATCACACAAAAATTATCAATGGAAATCAAATTTATCAACCCATGGAGGTCTGGATTTGGAGTCACCCTCAAAATGAAAGTGGAAAACCACACTACAGGCTGATCCAACTTTGATGTAATGTCCTTAAAACAAGTCAAAATGAGGCTCAGTAGTGTGTGTGGCCTCCACGTGCCTGTATGACCTCCCTACAACGCCTGGGCATGCTCCTGATGAGGTGGCGGATGGTCTCCTGAGGGATCTCCTCCCAGACCTGGACTAAAGCATCCGCCAACTCCTGGACAGTCTGTGGTGCAACGTGGCGTTGGTGGATGGAGCGAGACATGATGTCCCAGATGTACTCAATTGGATTCAGGTCTGGGGAACGGGCGGGCCAGTCCATAGCATCAATGCCTTCCTCTTGCAGGAACTGCTGACACACTCCAGCCACATGAGGTCTAGCATTGTCTTGCATTAGGAGGAACCCAGGGCCAACCACACCAGCATATGGTCTCACAAGGGTTCTGAGGATCTCATCTCGGTACCTAATGGCAGTCAGGCTACCTCTGGCGAGCACATGGAGGGCTGTGCAGCCCCCCAAAGAAATGCCACCCCACACCATGACTGACCCACCACCAAACCGGTCATGCTGGAGGATGTTGCAGGCAGCAGAACGTTCTCCACGGCGTCTCCAGACTCTGTCATGTCTGTCACATGTGCTCAGTGTGAACCTGCTTTCATCTGTAAAGAGCACAGGGCCCCAGTGGCGAATTTGCCAATCTTGGTGTTCTCTGGCAAATGCCAAACGTCCTGCACGGTGTTGGGCTGTAAGCACAACCCCCACCTGTGGACGTCGGGCCCTCATACCACCCTCATGGAGTCTGTTTCTGACCGTTTGAGCAGACACATGCACATTTGTGGCCTGCTGGAGGTCATTTTGCAGGGCTCTGGCAGTGCTCCTCCTGCTCCTCCTTGCACAAAGGCAGAGGTAGCGGTCCTGCTGCTGGTTTTTTGCCCTCCTACGGCCTCCTCCACGTCTCCTGATGTACTGGCCTGTCTCCTGGTAGCGCCTCCATGCTCTGGACACTACGCTGACAGACACAGCAAACCTTCTTGCCACAGCTCGCATTGATGTGCCATCCTGGATGAGCTGCACTACCTGAGCCACTTGTGTGGGTTGTAGACTCCGTCTCATGCTACCACTAGAGTGAAAGCACTGCCAGCATTCAAAAGTGACCAAAACATCAGCCAGGAAGCATAGGAACTGAGAAGTGGTCTGTGGTCACCACCTGCAGAACCACTTCTTTATTGGGGGTGTCTTGCTAATTGCCTATAATTTTCACCTGTTGTCTATTCCATTTGCACAACAGCATGTGACATTTATTGTCAATCAGTGTTGCTTCCTACGTGGACAGTTTGATTTCACAGAAGTGTGATTGACTTGGAGTTACATTGTGTTGTTTAAGTGTTCCCTTTATTTTTTTGAGCAGTGTACTAAGCTACCTCCAATGCCTCTCTGAAGAGAGAGTCAAAATGTATACTGTTAACCATTTACGAGGAAGCTAAAACATTAACAGAATTGAAGATCAATTTCACCTGAAATTGAAATTTCACACACTTTCACCTGAAACTATTGCGGTGTGACTCTCCATTTTTTTACTTCCTGAAATGCCATCAACCAGGAAGTTGAAACACTATGGCAACACACAAATGGCAATCAGTACATTCCTAACAAACGCACCTGAAACCATGGTCGTATGGTGGTCTGTTTTGTTTTGACCCCGTAGAGGACTCTGCAGTGTTTTGCTTCCTGACTATCATGCTGTCATCCAGGAAGTTGAAACACTGACAAATTAGCAATCAATGTCTTTACTTACAAACCTACCTGAACCCATGGTGGTTACAATGACCTCATTTGACCCCATAGTGATTTGGCATTCTTTCACATCCTGTGTTCTCCCAGGTTCTACATTGGCTGTGACCTGTGCAGCAACTGGTACCACGGCGAGTGTGTGGGCATCACAGAGAAGGAGGCCAAGAAGATGGACGACTACATCTGCAGCGAGTGCAAGCGGGCCCAGGAGGGCAAGACCGAGGAACTCTACTGCATCTGCCGAACACCCTACGACGAAGCACAGTAAGTGCATAGGAGAATGAGTGTGTGTGTGTGTTTTGTGTTTGGGTCCTCAGTGGCGAAAACGTACAATATTATCTATTAGATGGTGATATCTGTTGAGCTTTTGATATTTCGTTTCAGTTATACTTTGTGTTGTTTTCTATTTCCTTTGATGTCTAGGGCTGAAGGTTGTTCTATGTAACAGAGCTTGAATTCCTTATGTAAAGACATTGGCCGTGTCCGAAATCTGTCTTGCCTACTACTTACTAAAACGACATACTGGGTACTAATCGTACTACATGCTATTTAGAACGTACTGTTTACTAAAAACATATTCAGTAAGCAACAAATATCAGCATACTAGGCTCATCCATACAGAGAATACATCATCTAATGCACAATTGCGTTGATTCTCGTCATTCGTTCATTTTGGTAGCGCACATCCCCTATTCTGATTAGCAGCTCTTGTCAAACACGTGGGTCTCGAAATACTATTCTCTCCCTCTATAGTGTGGGGCGAATTTAACTAGATGAAAACCTGAAATTAGTATGACATCCTGGCTTTTAAAGCATACACATTTTCTGAAATGTTCCTTACTATAAAACATATTATTTTCGCATAGCCAAAATGCCTACTATTTAGAAACGCAACTATGGGTATTCGGACACGCCAGAATCTATTTCTCCGATCAGACTTGGAACAGAAACCAGGGTCGTGTTCATCAGGCACAATGAACACGACCCAGTTAACCGTACCACCTTAACCCTTCTCACCTCTGCCACCCTCCTCCTCGGCCCCCACTCAGGTTCTACATCGGCTGCGACCGCTGCCAGAACTGGTACCACGGCCGCTGCGTGGGCATCCTGCAGAGCGAGGCCAACCACATCGACCAGTACGTGTGTCCGCAGTGCCAGTCCACGGAGGACGCCATGACAGTGCTCACGCCGCTCACCGACAAGGATAACGAGGGGTTAAGGAGAATCCTGCGCTCCTTACAGGTATGTCACCCCTCCCTTCACCCTCGTTCCCTCTCTACCTAGCGGAACGTCGGGACGGTACGAAACAAAGCCCTCCTCTGTTCTCATCTCTTATCTGATCTGTACGCTGGTCCCCTGGGCAGCACTTGGACAACTGCCCTGGCTACAGGGTTTTTCCACCCTCCTCTTCCTTCTCTCCTCCGTTTTTTTTCTCTCTTCCTTCTTCCCCTCCTCCTCTTTGTCCGCATGGCACGGACGTAGCCGGAGCACATCTGTGTTGAGCCAGCTGCTCCCAATGCCATTTTCAACCTCTGTTTGTTATCCTTAGTTTTTTTTTGCTCCACATCTCTCAAGTGTCTCCTCTCTCTTTCTCCCTCTCTCTCCCTGCCTCTCTCAGGCTCACAAAATGGCGTGGCCGTTCCTGGAGCCGGTGGACCCGAACGACGCCCCAGACTACTACGGTGTCATTAAGGAACCAATGGGTGAGTTGGGAGAGAGTTCTGTCTGTTTGCATTCGTTCCTTCATTCATCCTGTGTTCAACACTGTAAAAAGAGGTGCTGTTGTCATTAGTGGAATAGTCATCACAAGGTTGTTACACACCCAAACACACACCCCATCGCCCTGCTCGAGAGGAAAGGCCTCCAACTCAGATCAAACTGCCCATGTAAAAGGCGAACTTGCGTCAACAGGGCCTTTTTGAACTTCCACACAAACAAACCGTTAATGAGCTGGCGGAAAAACCCCAGAGGCTTCTACACTTGGACATTACAGTAGCCCCCTTCTAAACGACGGTGCATTCGACCTGGGCCTGGAAACTGTAGTCCACCGGCCGCAAAAAATAAGCCTTTTCGCCCTGCAGGAAAAAAAAGCCAAGTCTGGCCACGGCGGTCCAGACGGCGTAAGTTTGGGGTTTGTAGATGAAGTCTGATGACGGAGAAGAAGGGCCTCTTTGATATGTGCACGTGGTCGGCCTGCCTACTGGGTGGGGGTGAGGGAAGGTTAAGGATCGGATATGTTTGTTTAAATTGGAGCCCCGGGGAGCGACACGGGAGAAAACCACCGCTATCCTGTGAGGGGGAAATATGAAGGAACAGGTTTGTTGCTAGCTTACCTCGCTAAGTATCGTGATAATTGAGAGACAACTTTCAACTTCTTTCAAAGGCAACTTTCATAACAGTTGACAGCATGTTGCCAGAATCGATGGGTCGGCCTCTCGGTCACATCCCGCGTGATTCAATTTGAATGGGCCAAGCCAGAGATTGAGGTTTGAATCTGGCGTTGAGCTAGGATCTTTGACTGTCAAGTAGAAGTGATGTATTGCGCTTTTAGACGCATACTTGAATATCTATCAAAACATTTACACCACATAAACTGCAATTACTTTTGAAGCAACTATGCGAGATGTTGGAGAAGAATCAACTTGCTGATTCCGAGTGATTCATGTTCTGTTGTTCTTGTCTTCCTCCCTTCTTTCTAGACCTTTCTACGATGGAGGACCGGTTGCAGAAGCGCTACTACATCAAGCTGACGGAGTTTGTGGCGGACATGACCAAAGTCTTCGACAACTGCCGCTACTACAACCCCAGCGACTCGCCGTTCTACCAGTGCGCCGAGGTCCTCGAGAACTTCTTCGTCCAGAAGCTCAAAGGGTTCAAAGCCAGCAGGTAAGACCGCCGACCTCTCTCCCTTGGCCTTGTCAGTCAACTTCCGACCTTTGAACTCTGCGCTCATCCCACCTTTTCTCTCTTCTTTCCCCATCTTCGTCTTCATCATATCCGCCTGCACTCCTCCTCCGTCCTCGCCTCTTCTTTGTGCTGTTCTCTTATCCCTCCCGCTTTTTTTGTCACTCTCTCCACCCCTTCTAGACATTCCCCAACTTTAGGATTATTCTGTGGAGTTTGATGTTTTGAGTTTGTGTTGCGTTTGCAGTGCTTTAGTCTCTGTTGCAGCTGCCATTGGGGGCAAACTTGAAGGGCCTTAGATGGCACCGAACCATCAGACACCAGCCCTTCCACACAGATCTGTCTGTGGTCTGTTGTGTGGCGCCAACTTTCTATTGGCATTCACTTTAGAGCTGTGTAGTAGCAATGTCCAATCCATGCTCCTGTCTTTTGCACGTCGTTTTGCATCCATACCTCCTCCCCTCCCCTGCATTGCGTGTTTGTGTGCTAATGGTCATGTGCTTCCACCTGCATGTGTTTATGCCATCCATTCTCTCTCCCTCTCTTACAGATTGTGATGTCATAAGTCTGGCCTTTATAGCTGGAATCTGAGCTGGGTGCCGGGGTCACTCTAAAAAAAATAACATTAGCCTATCCTGGACCTTGCTGTTTTTATTTATTTAAAACAGCATCAAACTATTTGTAAGAAAGTACATTTACAGTATAAACCACACCGTAGGTGTGTTTTTTTGGTATTTTTAGAAGGAAAGACACTTTAAAAACATTTCTCCATTTGATAATGGCAGCCATGTTGGTCACAAACAGCAATCAAGGGAAAGCATTTGTTAGTTTTTTTTTACATTCATTTCACAGACGACAGATATTCGATGGGAGTCGAGTTCATTTCTGTTTATCTCATTCTGGTGACATGTGTGGCACAATATCAAGTATCGGAAAGTTTAGTCGGCAACCTCATCGTTGTGATTCGATTTTTCTAAAATGTTGAAACTTTTCTCACTCATGTAATGTTGTATTCAACTCAGTTCCACATGTGCAGATAACCTATCATTTAATTTACAGAGTAAGTTTATTGTATTGATGACGTGCAACGATTGTACCTCTTAGCTTGCCATTTTAAAAAGATTAACAACATTTATCAATTAGTCTTTTATCTGGTTTATTAAATCTATAATGTTATTGTTTTATGTGCATATTATATCCTTTTGTGAAGGAGTATTATATGTTCAAAATAAAATAATGGTAAGATATAGGTCAGAGTTTTTTGTGTAGCTTTTCAGTTCATTTCTGGTGAACTCGACTGTCCCACGGTTTACATGGTATGTTCTCACTGTATATACAAGCCATATAGAACATTAAACTAACATTACACCAACATGGCTGCTCTCTCTGCTCAGACGTCTGACCCCACTGGCATCCAATAAGTGTTGTTGTATTCCCTTGTGCATGTTTTGTCATTTGTCAAGCTTTTAATAAAAAAAAAAAACATATCAATCGATCACATCAACTGTTTCCCCTTCTCTCTACATTCTGTAGGTCTCATAACAACAAACTGCAGTCCACAGCCTCTTAGAATACACAGTCAGCACCCCTTCTAAAGCTAACTGTCAAAATGGCTGCCAATGTGGTTCCCCCTGAACACTCGTACTCCAATGGGGAAGCCAGGCTGCTTCTTACCTGTCCACACACACACCACACCTGTCGGACTTGGGAGTGGGAGTCACACCCCCTTTTTAAAACCAGCACACACTCCTCGAAGATCGTAGCCGACGCGCACTTCAGGCCGAACGGCATTCGTGCCAAACCGGATGAGCCCTCACCGCTCCTCAACCACCTCTATGGCTGTGGAAAGAGAAGAGCCTGGCAGTGGAAGGTTCCATTATCCAAACCCTTAGTGTTCATGATGGGAGATACCACATCCCCAACAAACGGGGGGAGGGAGGCTTTCAGGTCACAGCCTGGTTCCTTCCCTTTCAAAGCACTTCCGATCTGGTGGACGAAATGGAGGGATGGAGGGAGAGAACCTCCCTGAAGTCAATAAGCTAATTGGCCGTTCGAGGGCAGTACGAAACAAGGCAGCAGTAGACTCTTTTCAAGTTGTTTATTCTGTAACTAATCTCACATCTCTTTTGTATCAGCTATTCTTCCTTCCCTGGGGGTCAACTCCCATTTCGTATGTCCCAAATGTTAACCTATTCCCTATGTAGTGCACTACCTTTGACCAGAGCCAGATGGGCCCTGGTTCAAAAGTAGTGCACTATAAAGGGAATAGGGTGCCATTTGGGATGACAACCACTGACACTTTCTAGCTGTCTCTGCTTCCTCATCTCATGATTCCTCATTCGAAATGGGTCTAAATAGCACACACACACCTGTCTGGCTGCTTGTGTTTGGAAGGAGCTGATCCTGGATCATCGTGAACCCACTTGGTGTCACCTTGAAGATGAATGTGCCCGGACCTCCAAACAGGCCATAGAGAGTCCAAGTTACCATTTCTATGTAATGTCTCACTGTGGAAATGCTATCCTGTTTGTAAAACCTTGTTTTTTCAGACGTTGAACCTCCGTTTACCTTTCTCTTTATGTTACCACCTAAGACGGGAATATTGGTGTATATGAAACAACAACCGACATTGAGAAAACAAGCTCTGTTTCTCGCCATGTAGAGGCTTCTCTAACATTTTTAATTGAAGACATTCATCCGATGAAAACAAGAAATGCTCTCCAAGTCCTTCCACAGGATAATAGCTGAGGATGGACTTGGAGAATGTGAAAACCGTTAAAGGGCATATTTAACCTAAGTGTACTGACCATCCACACCGCAATCCCCCCTCTCTCCCCCAATGTTTTGTGAAGAAGGTTTGATCACATGCATCTCTCAATTCATAGGCCCCCTATGAAGGATTAAGTCAAATCATTTTGAGTTTTCCACTGCATCAAGTAAACCATGTTGTGGTCTAGAACAGTAAATCAGAAAGTCAACCTTCGTTGAGGAATCTTTATACTAAGTTGGGGTTTGTATGAAGATTTTTTTAGGAACTCTTGGGCATTTTTATCATATTTGGAACTCTTTTCTAATCTGTAATAATTGTGTCGTGGCAGTACTGTTTGTTGAGGGGAGAACATTTTTGGAGTTGTCACTGGTGCTCTTAGTTAATATCTCTTAAAGATCGACTTAAGAGTAGGGGGGGAAAGCCTTCGGTTTGAAGAGGGGTTGGGGTCAATTTCGTTTCAATTTTGGAAGTGAACTTAAATTCCCATTTTCATTGGAATTTTAGTTTACTTCCTGAATTTAAATGGCAATAACCGAAAACCTGGTTTGAAGTGCCAACAACTTTTTCGGAGGTGGACTGAGTTGAGAGATGAGGTGACCGAAGCCTGTTTGTCAGTCCTATTCACTGACCTGTTTGCATTTCAAACGATGCACTCCAGTTTCTATTCTTACATGCATCGTCCACCATTTCTATTTCATATTGTATAATATGGCTGTCAATATACAAAGAGATGTTAGAGATTTTTTTAGCATTAGTACTTTTATTTTTGACCATTTTAACCAGCAACTAAGCCTACCTGTACATTCAATAGATATTCTCTATCTTTTGTCAAAGTGAACTCTACATTTAGGTAAAATTGCCCTTTATATTAAAAGTGCTGCATATTGTGTGCATATTGATTTAAAACGGGGCGGGGAATGTTGACTCTTTTTGAAGAGTAAAAAAAAATAAAAGAACCAACCAGTTCTACACATCTCTTAATAACTTCATCACTATCTGATTTTATTTATTCATATCGCTGAAAATATTTCGTTTTTTTGTAAATGTAAGAGGAAACATAACTGGGGGAAAATACTATATGTTTTTAACAGATTGTGGCAACTCTTAAGAGATCCTTTTTTGTACTTGATAGGACATTTCATCCTAGATAATAAAGTCATGTTTTTGACATCAATTGTCCAATGTGCTGTCATCTTTGTTTTTGTGTACTTATGTTGTATTTAATTTGTGTTTAAGGGCCAGGAGTTTTGTCCGGACATGTTTATCCTGCCAGGTCACATGGTCTGGAATGTATCATGTAATGAATACTAAGATGTTTGTACCTTTTTCATCTATTTCCATAGTGGAGTTGGATTAAGTTGCCTCAGACACTGATCTAGAGTCAGCTTCCCTGCATTTCCCCCTGTAATGTTGAAGGTATTTTGGTATTTATTAGGATCCCCATTAGCCGCCGCGAAAGCAGCATCTACTCTTCCTGGGGTCCACAAAAGGTACGACATTCGGGGAGGGTTAGCTGATCCTAGATCTGTGCCTAGAGACAACTTCTACCCAGAGCAGGGGATGGTGCTGGAGGGCAGCACTTATGCTTTGGGTATCTCCCACCCACACACACACATTGTATTTCCCCTGTACAAAGGAGCGTTGGACACAATTCACCTCTGTCATCAAAGGAAAACTCCACCCCCCAAATTTGTTTTGGGGTGTATTTGGTTCATTAGTTCATTGTTGATATAGTCCTGAATGATATATTTTGCATCATATGAATCTGCGTTTTTCATCATATGACGCAAAATGCATCATACAGGCCATATTTCTGTATTTTCAAAGTTACATATCTTGAAATCTTGATTGCTGACATGCAAAGCATTTTGGGACTGTATCAACAGTGGACTAATGGAACAAATACCAAAAGATCGTTTTTGGGTGGAGTTTTCCTTTAACCTTCCCCTCTCACCAAAGACACTCACCCCTCCCTCTCTCCCTTCTTCACGCTCCCCCTCCACTCCAAACCCCTAATTAAATCCAGAGCTTTGCATGGACACCAAATGGACTACAGATGACCACAAGTCCCAGCAATTCCTCTCTCCCCTCTCACTGTGGCTTGGGGGGCTGGAACTGTCTCTCTCGCTGTCACACAGGAAGGAACTAGGACACATTCCCACCTCTTCCCCCATCCCAACCCCTTATCCCTATTCCTCTCCATAAGGAATGTTGTCCCGCTGTGATGGTAGCCGAGATGCGACGAGCTCCCGTTTCCTGCCCGCCTGCATTTGTTCCTTCCAGCACTGTTCCCAGATGGACTTCAGAGCATGGGAACGGCTCGGATTCAAAAATCATTCCTGAGGCCAGATGGAGAAGCTATTACACCCCAATTATGACCCTGTTTTTGGGCACTTAATCGCCAGGGGTTATCACCAGGATTTAAACAGTATTTTTCACTATACACTCCCATTTAAAATCTGTGTGCACCATACATAGAGATCCTATAATTCACTAGAGAGGCTGATGTCATAGACCCTCATAATTCCAGAATGTGTTCATTATGGCAGCCATCTTGGTCAGGAATGAATCCAAAAGTGATTCTATATGTAATTCTGTGGTGCCATTCAAGAATGTGTGTTTGCAAGGCTTCGGCTGAGTGATAGCCCCAACCGATAAAACATGAATAGACCCACAGACCACACCAACACCCAATGAGTAAAAAAACGAATACATCTTTATTAGTTCCATGTAGTATGAGATGAGATATGCGCACACAGTGCAAACCTTGGCTTTCTCTCATTTTAAGTATGAGGATTGTCAAAGATGACAGGCCAGACCAAAGGTATGTGGCATGGATGTCTATCTTATCTTCCATTCAACGTTTTCCCTCAGGAATGGAGAGAGCCCAGGGTCTCTCTTTCTCTCCCAGGGTCTCTCTCTCTCTCCCAGGGTCTCTCTCTCTCTCCCAGGGTCTCTTTCTGTCTTGATTTATGTACATACAGTGCCTTCAGAATATATTCACATCCCTTGACTTTTTCAACATTTTGTTGTGTTACAGCCTGAATTTAAAATTGATTAAATTGAGATTTTGTCTCACTGATCTACACACAATACCCCATAATGTAAAAGTGGAATTTTGTTTGTAGAAAAAAAAAGTATTAATAACAAATGAAAAGCTAAAAAGTCTTGAGTCAATAAGTATTCAACCCCTTTGTTATGGCAAGCCTAAATATGTTCAGGAGTAAAAATGTGCTTAACAAATCACATAAGTTGCATGGACTCATTCAGTGTTCAATAATAATGGTTAACATGCTTTTTGAATGACTACCCAATCTCTGTACCCCACGCATAAAATTATCTGTAAGGTCCCTCAATCGAGTAGTGAATTTCAAGCACAGATTCAACCACAAAGACCAGGGAGGTTTTTCAATGTCTCTCAAAGTAGGGCACCGATTGGTAGATTAAAATAAAATAAAGCAGATGCTGATTATCCCTTTGAGTATGGTGAAGTTATTCATTAGGCTTTGGATGGTGTATCAATACACCCAGTCACTACAAATATAAGGTGTCCTTCCTAACTCAGTTGCCAGAGAGGAAAAAACTGCTCAGGGATTTCACAATGAGGCCATTGCTAATTTTAAAACAGTTACAGAGTTTAATGGTTGTGATATGAGGAAACTGAGGATGGATCAACAACTTTTTGTCCTGAAAACAAAGCGTTATGTTTGGGGCAAATCCAACACAATACATCGCTGAGTACCACTCTTCATATTTTCAAGCATGGTGGTGGCTGCATCATATTATGGGTATGTTTGTCATCGGCAAGGACTCAGGAGTTTTTAAGGATAAAAAGAAACTGAGTACAGCTAAGCACAAGCAAAATACTAGAGGAAAACCTGATTCAGTCTTCTTTCCAACAGACACTGGGAGACAAATTAATGTTTCAGCAGGACAATAACCTAAAACACAAGGCCAAATCTACACTGGAGTTGCTTACCAAGACGACATTGAATGTTCCTGAGTGGCCTAGTTACAGTTTTGACTTAAATCGGCTTGAAAATGTCTTTCTAGCAATGATCAACAACCAACTTGACAGAGTTTGAAGAATTTTACAAAGAATAATGGGCAAATATTGTACAATCCAGGTGTGCAAAGCTCTTAGAGACTTACCTAGAAACACTCACAGCTGTAATCGCTGCGAAAGGTGTTTCTAACACGTATTGTCTCTGGGGGGGTGAATACTTATCTAATAAAGATATATTAGTATTTAGATTTTTCATTGATTTTTTATAAATGTTCTAATTTTTCTTCCTCTTTCACATTACAGAGTATTTTGTGTATATCGTTGACCAAAAATGACAATTAAATCCATTTTTAATCCCACTTTGTAACACAACAAAGTGTGGAAAAAGTCAACGGGTGTGAATACTTTCTGAAGGCACTGTAACCTTCTTTCTCTTCTTTCTTTTTCACCTTCCCTCCTCCTCCCTCTCTCCTTCCCTTTGCCACTCTCAAATGCCTCCTTTGAGCTTTGGCCCCACCGGATGTGTGTGCGTGATTTTGTGTGTGTGTTTGCGTTTGTGTGTTTGCATTTGTGTGTGTGCATGAGCAAATAAGGGCCAGAGGTGGCATTAGCTTTCACCCCACCATCTCCAAAGAGAGCCGGAGAGGAGAGCCGCACTTTTCTGAAGCCGTGTGTCCAGGTGCGCTGGGGATCAGATTTCCACGATTAGATTTACAAAAACACTCACTAATACCACCAGGTTCCCTTATGAAGTCTGTTTTCTCCGTCTGATATTTCCACTTGTGCACATCATTAACATTAGAAAAATACGTTTATTTTAGCCTCTTTTGTGTCTTTTCTCACCTTTTCCCTCCTCCTCTGGGGTTTGTTGTTGTTGATGCTTTTCCAGTCTTTCATCCCACCCCCCTCTTCTCTTTCACATACAGTAATAGTGCATTTCCTGTAATCTAATGACAGGCACAAAACAACAGTATAAAGATGCAACAGCTGTTCTTACAGGCATAAATAGGAGTTTGCTGATATTGTATAGTCTGTCAATAGGAAATCCTTTAGAGTTTCCGACCAAGTTCAAAATGGGTAATGTGATTGGACTCTTGCCATTGGAGAAGCACCAGTGTGCAACTAGATCTGAACAGATAGTCTTTCCCATGGATGATTGGGATAACTTGGGACAAGCCAATTGGAGATGTGTGTGTGTGTGTTCGCATGAATAGTGAGGCTGGAGTTGGCAGTCTTCCTCCCTCAGGGCAAATATGGGCTTCATTCACATGCTCGGACACCATCTTCAAACGTGGCCACGGGACAACCAAAACATTCTGATGAAAAGTTGTGTTACATCGGATGAGCCAATGAAAATGTCCTCTACCTGAATTATTCCATTGAACCATAACTCTGGGTTCACTGGCAGAATATTTCAATCGTAAATTAAACCAATTTGAGGGAGGCACTGATCTGACCGATTCATGTACCAGACATGAAGAAATTATCATTTTAAGTCCTACGACATCTTAATAAATGAGTAAAGAAGACTTATGAACATAGAGATATACTAGAGAGCTCATCTTTTATCTTTGTAAAGTGTGCCCTCTATCCAACTCTATGCTCATGCACAATAATAGAGAGCAACAGTATGAGGAAATCTGATGGGACACTTCAAGCAGAGGTTTAAAGACGAGAACCTTTGATATAGACTCCACTTGTGTCTTCTATCAAAGAGGACGCAAAGCTACAAGGTAAAGACTGTACAGACAGACAAGCAAAAACATTACCACTCAACCTTGATTATGATACAAACAAGTGCAGGAGGTCCATGCCAGAAAAAAACAACAACATCTTGGCCTCGTCCTTCTACGTCTCTGCTGAAATGCTGAAGGGGTTATAGGTCACAGTCACTTCATGTTGACAGCTGCAATGTCTTTTCCGCCGCTGCAGGGGGCGATAGTCTGTTTTGGGTTCACCTACACTTGGAGCGGGTGGCCTCCAGGGCTTTCTGGTGTCTCCTCTTGTTGAAGCGCTTGACGTAGTTGTTGCTGCGCAGGAGGCCGTCCCCTGGCTTCAGTTTGCCCCCCAGCAGGGCCAGGAGGTCGTTGGGGAGGTGGCGCCTCCGGTGGTAGATCTGGCCCATTACAATGTATCGGCTACCTATAGAATAGCATGGGGGGAAGAGAGGGTGTCAGTGAATTCATTAGCAGTATTTGGTCTCTCTGCTCAACTGGTAGACATGAGTTCAGTACCATTGACTATACTAGCATACCACATAGCATGGAGAAATGTATTGGGAATCCGTTATAAGTAATATGCTAGTGTTGCTATCGGAATGTAGCCATGGTGACACCCTATTCCCTATATCCCTCAAATTCAAATCTGGACCTCAAAGCCAGTTCCACTGCTTTTTTCATTCTTCCCCTCTAATCAGGGACTGATTTAGACCTGGGACACCAGGTGGGTGCAATAAATTATCAGGTAGAACAGAAAACCAGCCGTACTTCAGACCTCCAGCATAGGATTTGAATACCCCTGCCCTATATAGTGCACTACTTTTGTCCAGAGTGCACCATACAGTGGGGGAATTTTTTTAATTAGTCAGCCACCAATTGTGCAAGTTCTCCCACTTAAAAAGATGAGAGAGGCCTGTAATTTTCATCATAGGTACACGTCAACTATGACAGACAAAATTAAAATCACATTGTAGGATTTTTTTATGAATTTATTTGCAAATTATGGTGGAAAATAAGTATTTGGTCACCTACAAACAAGCAAGATTTCTGGCTCTCACAGACCTGTAACTTCTTCTTTAAGAGGCTCCTCTGTCCTCCACTCGTTACCTGTATTAATGGCACCTGTTTGAACTTGTTATCAGTATAAAAGACACCTGTCCACAACCTCAAACAGTCACACTCCAAACTCCACTATGGCCAAGACCAAAGAGCTGTCAAAGGACACCAGAAACATAATTGTAGACCTGCACCAGGCTGGGAAGACTGAATCTGCAATAGGTAAGCAGCTTGGTTTGAAGAAATCAACTGTGGGAGCAATTATTAGGAAATGGAAGACATACAAGACCACTGATAATCTCCCTCGATCTGGGGCTCCACGCAAGATCTCACCCAGTGGGGTCAAAATTATCACAAAAACGGTGAGCATAAATCCCAGAACCACACGGGGGGACCTAGTGAATGACCTGCAGAGAGCTGGGACCAAAGTAACAAAGCCTACCATCAGTAACACACTACGCCGCCAGGGACTCAAATCCTGCAGTGCCAGACGTGTCCCCCTGCTTAAGCCAGTACATGTCCAGGCCCGTCTGAAGTTTGCTAGAGTGCATTTGGATGATCCAGAAGAGGATTGGGAGAATGTCATATGGTCAGATGAAACCAAAATATAACTTTTTGGTAAAAACTCAACTCGTCGTGTTTGGAGGACAAAGAATGCTGAGTTGCATCCAAAGAACACCATACCTACTGTGAAGCATGGGTGTGGAAACATCATGCTTTGGGGCTGTTTTTCTGCAAAGGGACCAGGACGACTGATCCGTGTAAAGGAAAGAATGAATGGGGCCATGTATCGTGAGATTTTGAGTGAAAACCTCCTTCCATCAGCAAGGGCATTGAAGATGAAACGTGGCTGGGTCTTTCAGCATGACAATGATCCCAACCACACCGCCCGGGCAACGAAGGAGTGGCTTCGTAAGAAGCATTTCAAGGTCCTGGAGTGGCCTAGCCAGTCTCCAGATCTCAACCCCATAGAAAATCTTTGGAGGGAGTTGAAAGTCCGTGTTGCCCAGCGACAGCCCCAAAACATCACTGCTCTAGAGGAGATCTGCATGGAGGAATGGGCCAAAATACCAGCAACAGTGTGTGAAAACCTTGTGAAGACTTACAGAAAACGTTTGACCTGTGTCATTGCCAACAAAGGGTATATAACAAAGTATTGAGAAACTTTTGTTATTGATCAAATACTTATTTTCCACCATAATTTGCAAATAAATGCATTAAAAATCCTACAATGTGATTTTCTGGAAAGAAAATTCTCATTTTGTCTGTCATAGTTGACGTGTACCTATGATGAAAATTACAGGCCTCTCTCATCTTTTTAAGTGGGAGAACTTGCACAATTGGTGGCTGACTAAATACTTTTTTCCCCCACTGTATAGGGCAGGGCTCTCCAACCCTGTCCTGGAGAGCTACCGTCCTCTAGGTTTTCACTCCAACCCTAATCTAGCGCACCTGATTCTAATAATTATCTGGTTGATAAACTGAATCAGGTTAGTTACAACTGGGGTTGGATTGAAAACCGACAGGAGGGTAGCTCTCTAGGAACAGGGTTGGAGAGCCCTGATTTAGGGGATAGGGTGCCATTTGGGATGCATTCATTGGTTCCTTAAGTTGACACTTACCTAGTTTGATGTCAGGACAAGGCTTGCTGCATTTGTAGGTGTCCAGGACTAGGAGACGCACTTTGAGAAAGAAGCTGTCTGGAGTGACATAGAGACGGCTCATCTTGTAGAAACCATCGCTGCTCACCATCAGTGTGATGAGTCTAATCCCCTTACGCACCATGTCTATGTCGTGAACGATCCCATTGATGGCTGAAATGTAACGGTAAATGGTCAAATGAAAGTAAAGGTCATTGTTTGTAACTATAAAGTGGATAGTAGCGCAGAGCACTCGTAGGTACAGATCTAGGATCAGCAAAACTGACCCAAGATCACCGTTTAGGTGCAACTTCACCCTGCACCATGATGAGCAGCCTCTTTCTGTCACTCTAGTCTAAACTACAGCATGATTGGCGGGTTGCAAATAGACTGCACCAGACATTGTGTCATGGCCTTATTTTGTCCCCTTCTCCCATCCCTTCACTTCCAGTCTTTATGGAGAGATCACTGGAAGATGGTGGCCAGGCCACCCATCTCACTCTCATACAATAGTCTAACCCTGTTCACACACACACACACACACACTCACCAAATTCACTGTAGCAGTAGTACTCTCTCTCCTCCTTCTCCTTCCTGCACTCACTCATGCAGACGGCCTCGTGAGTGAAGTCAGACTCTGTGAGAGAGGGAGTCAAAGAGAAAGGAAGAGAGCGAGAGAGATGAGAAGAAGGAGCGAGTGACCGACCGGGCCGTGCCTGCTTGTGTGGAGCCAGACTTCATTCCAGTGTCATTAGAAGGACCAGGGTTGTCATTACAAAACCCAGGCGTCGCATTCCGCAGGAGGGGGCTCCACGTTCCCCAGTCCTCCCCGTTCCGGGTCTCACCCCTTAATTACTGCATCATAACTGATCTCACTTAGGCATATTTAGCATTGCTATCATAACCTCTCACTCCCTAAGACTTCACACAAAGGGACACATTCAATCCAGATTTAGGTAGCAATTTGTGGCTGGAGAGGTAATTAGCTAACTATCCCCAAAATCTCAGCAGTCTCTCACTGTCACCATACATAGTGTGGGGGTATAGTGTCACTTTCCGTACCTCGTTTCAGGATGTCGAAGTGGTAGAGCAGGCTGGAGGAGCGACGGTTGATGAGCACAGATGAGCGGCTGTTATTCCGGTTGGCGCCGCCGGACTGGTACAGACTGGACTTCCCCCCAGGGCGATTCTCCTCCGGGTCCAGCTTTCTGGTTGGGGGGTCCCTGCGAGGGGAGGGGGCCGGGTGAGGGTGGGGGTGGCCCCTGGGTCTGGAGTTGGGGTGACTGTCCGGGTCACTCTGCGGGGGGTTGTTGAAGTTAGTGTGGGGGTCCCGGTGAGGGTCCACGTTGACTTTCTGTGTGCGGTTGGTGGCAGCGATTAGTGGCGTTTTGGGAAGTGCTAGACCCGCCTCGCCGCGGTTCTTCTCGCTGTTGTGCTCGATCAGGCGGTCATTTTTAGGGCCCTTCTTGCTCTTGTTGTGGGGGCCGGGGCGAGGGTCACTGTGCTTGGGCCAGACCCCCGAGGGAAGGGGGTGGAGGGCGTACTTGGGGTCCCCGGCTTTGCTGCTCTTTTCCAGGAGCTCGTTTATGGGGAGAGAGGGGTCTTTGGTCCCTAGCCTTGTGCTCTGGTTCTGGGCAGGGTCGGGTAAAACACTCTGGCCCTTCTCAGAGGGGGTGCTGATCACGGAGAACAGCTCTGGATAAAGCAGGCAAGAACAATCCAGTTACACCCAGCAGTATATTATAACTTTATAATATCAATGGCCCCTATATCATACCTCCATCATATAAGGTTATGAGTACAGTTGATTGCTTCTTAATATAAGCAATAGCTTGAGACTATCAATCGTTTTTTAACTGTCAGAGCTGGGTAAAAAAAGCATTGCCAGTTCTCTGCCCCTTCCAATTGGAACGAACTACAAAAGGGCATGAAATTACAGGAGGTTGTCTCCTTGAGTGTGTTTAAAGCTAGGGTCAAACTTATGGTGGACAATGAAGTTGGGGGCTGTCAATGTTTTGACCCCAGGATGCACCACACCTCCCCAAAGTATCTTGCCTGCTCAATCTTTAAATTGATGTTTTTAAACTGTGATGCTCTATGTTTTATTATGTTGTAAATGTGTCTGAAACTTTGTGTGCTGATATTTGGCCAGGTCTCTTGTAAAATAGATATTTCATCTCAATAAGACTAACCTGGTCAAATAAAATAAATTAAATGAGTGTGGGCACTGAACTAAAGCATACAAAATGCACTGCATATATTCTATTCAATGGTGATTTTGTTTTTTATGTATTCACCATATATTCTAATCTACTGATATTACATAGTCATTTCTAAAGACATTTTCATCCAGATCTTATGAGTAGGCCTATAAAGTCTTACTGTCAGTACACAAGCCAAACACTTAAAAGTAAAGTAAAGAATTCACAGGATAATCATTGTACCTCAAAAATCAAAATCTACATTATGGGATGGCACGTAGCCTAGCGGTTAAGCGCGTTGGTCTAGTTACTGAAAGGTCACTGGTTCGAATCCCCGAGCCTACTAGGTAAAGAATCTGTCAACGTTCCCTTGCTCCTCAAAATCACTCTGGATTAGAGCGTCTAGTGGAAGTATGCTTTGTAATTCGAACTAGATGTAATTTACTGACACCGATAGTTGTCAGATTATGAGAATTTCACTATTTTTTTGAACTCCAGCTTTATGATATGCACATTTCACATGATTGTATTGTTGCAAAGTAGCCTATACAAAGATTGAATTAGATATGTCTGAGATTTAATTATAGGCTTATATTTGTGAAAGAGAAAAAATATGATATCAATCATAGAAATAACTTTCATTCCATACATAAACATACATAAAGTCCTGCCATCCAGGAACTATATATCAGGCAGTGTCAGAGGAAGGCCCGAAAAATTGCCAAAGACTCCAGCCACCCAAGCCATAGACTGTTCACTCTGCTACCCTCCGGCAAACTGTAACGGAGCATCAGCTCTCCGACCAACAGGCTCCAAGACAGCTTCTGCCCCAAAGCCATAATACTGCTAAATAGCCAGATAGCTAAATAGTCAATTCATGTTACCCAAACTATCTGCACTGACTCTATCTTGCACTGACTGACCCTACGCACACTCATCTGATGTTAAATACACACCATATACATACTCACGCACACTACACAGTCACTCCCACAGAAAACCCTCACACGTTCACATACACTTAATACGCACACGCGCATACCAACACACCACAAACACACGCACACTTTTACACTCATAATTTTCTGCTGCTACTCTGTTCTTTATTTCACTCTTTTTTATTATCTATCCGGATGCCTAGTCACTTTACCCTGCCTTCATGTGCATACTGTATCTACCTCAAATACCTCGTCCCTCTCTCTGCACATTGATCTGGTAGGCTACTGGTACTCACTGTATATAGGTCCATTCTTGTGTATTTTCTTTTATTCCTGTTGTGTTAGTTACTATTTTGTATTATTATTTGTAAACTCTGCATCATTGGGAAAGGTTCGTAAGCAAGCATGTAGTCATGTCTATTACACCAGTTGTATTCCGCGCATGTGATAAATAAATAAAATGTCGATTTGATAAGCCTATATATCTATTTCTTTATTGCACCTCTCAGAAAATGTTTCGACTGCTTTATAAATCGACATGTCATCACATTTACAATAAATACAAAAATAGTTTCAAATTATATTGTTTTTTAAAAGCAATTGCTATTTCCTAATGGATATACTGATCTACAATAATACTGTCACCATTCTTTACCATTCTTCTCCTTAAAATGTAGAATGTAAATGTAATTAGACATTGTTGGAAAGCAGCAATAATTGTTGCCCGACTTACCATTGTCCTCCGCTTCAGAAAAAGTAAACGCAAGTACCAGCAGGAGTAGAATAATCCCTGTCATCCTGAAAAGTGCTATTGGACCAACTTTGAATTCTGCTGGAGTGTATCTGAATTCCTGAGGTTTATATGCCTCAAACTTGGAATGGAAGGCGTGTCACTCCGACGCAGAGGTAAACAGAGTGACACCAGAGACTACCTTCATTCATGAAGCCATAGAGGTCCTATTAAATTCCAAATCTATACATGAAACACCCTTCGGTCTTTAGTAGGCTACTATGTGTGGGGCCTTTAAAAAAACGTGGGCCTTTAAAAAGCCTTTAGCCTTTAATTCTACTAGTTACTGATGATAGTGATTATTAGTGATTACGGATTGTGATAGGCTATTTAAAATCATATGTGTTATTTGTATTTGTAGGCTATTGCATTGCATACAAATGGCAATAGCTTGCCCCATGTAGGATTTCACAATGTTGCATTTGACCAGTAAAATAAAAAATAAAAAAAGTTAAAGTAAACACTTTTGGATGCACTTGTCTAGGGGGCTATCCTCATTTCTCTCTCTTCCTCTCCCATGATACACACATGCTGCTTTTCGACTGTAAAGCCACACTAGTGTCTACACCCTTATGTTATACTAGGGAAATTGTTTCCATAACTAGGGCTGACGGTGAGGACTTGTTATGAGTAGAATCAACAACCTCTGCAGTTGCTTTGTGAGAAGATGTTAAAGTTCACAGTTAGCCATTGTTATGTAAATTACATCTGATTATCAATTATATTGACCAGATACTCTAGTGCCCGCTCTACCCCGCTCCAGTGAAAATAAATGTCTTCAAAAATGGGAGGCAGTCGAGAGGAGGCAAGATCAGGTGGGACAGATTCGCGTGTGAAAAACAGGCACAACGGTTTCCACTAGTTAATACAGCCAAAAATATATATGTCTATATAGTAAATATTAATGAAAACAAAAATGTGCTTTTTGGTCTTACTTTAAGGTTAGGGTTAGGTATAAGGTTATCAGTGTGGTTATGGTTATGGTTAGGTTTAAAATAACATTTTAAAAATATAAATTGTAGAAATAGGCGTGTTTATGACTTTGTGGCTGTAGTAACTAGAGACAACCAGGCACAACTCCGATATAAATAGTTTTTCTCAAAGTTGCCGAGATGTTACGTGTCCTACTTATATCAGTACAATCGTAACAACTTAATCATTACGAAACTTATATTCGATCAATTACATTACATTTTTTTGTTAACAAAATTCGACACGCTCATTGACCTCCATACAAAAACTTCTCGCTTGGTGAGCGAAAAAAAGAAAAAACGCCACCTGCTGGAGAAGACAGATTTTGGGCCCAATTATCCCTCTCGCCTCGCCTCTTCCTCTCTGCCGAAATGAGAGCAGGTCCGCCAGATCCATGGCCCAGTCAGACACGGGTGCCGGCCCGCATATATGGAAACGTATGTGCCTTTTGTGTGAAACACTGGAATATATACTGTATGGAAATGCGTCAACATATTGTTTCTTATTCATTCTGTTTGCCACTGTGAATGTGTACCCTATACCGGTAAAAGTCATACGCGTAGAACCACTGCCCCCTTCTGGATACATTTTTTTATATTTATTTTTTTCACCTTTATTTAACCAGGTAAGCCAGTTGAGAACAAGTTCTCATTTACAACTGCGACCTGGCCAAGATAAAGCAAAGCAGTGCGATAAAAACAACAACACAGAGTTACATATGGGGTAAAAAAAACATAAAGTCAAAAAATACAACAGAAAATATATATATAGTGTGTGCAAATGTAGCAAGTTATGGAGGTAAGGCAATAAATAGGCCATAGTGCAAAATAATTACAATTAGTATTAACACTGGAATGATAGATGTGCAAGAGATGATGTTCAAATAGAGATACTGGGGTGCAAATGAGCAAAATAAATAACAATATAGGGATGAGGTAGTTGGGTGGGTGGGCTAATTTCAGATGGGCTGTGTACAGGTGCAGTGATCGGTAAGGTGCTCTGACAACTGATGCTTAAAGTTAGTGAGGGAGATAAGAGTCTCTAGCTTCAGAGATGTTTGAAATTCGTTCCAGTCATTAGCAGCAGAGAACTGGAAGGAATGGCGGCCAAAGGAAGTGTTGGCTTTGGGAATGACCAGTGAGATATACCTGCTGGAGCGCATACTACGGGTGGGTGTTGCTATGGTGACCAATGAGCTAAGATAAGGCGGGGATTTGCCTAGCAGTGATTTATAGATGGCCTGGAGCCAGTGGGTTTGACGACGAACATGTAATGAGGACCAGCCAACAAGAGCGTACAGGTCACAGTGGTGGGTAGTGTATGGGGCTTTGGAGACAAAACGGATGGCACTGTGATAGACTACATCCAATTTGCTGAGTAGAGTGTTGGAGGCTATTTTGTAAATGACATCGCCGAAGTCAAGGATCCGTAGGATAGTCAGTTTTACGAGGGCATGTTTGGCAGCATGAGTGAAGGAGGCTTTGTTGCGAAATAGGAAGCCGATTCTAGATTTAACTTTGGATTGGAGATTCTTAATGTGAGTCTGGAAGGAGAGTTTACAGTCTAACCAGACACCTAGGTATTTGTAGTTGTCCACATACTCTAGGTCACGATTGAAGAGCATGCATTTAGTTTTACAAATGTTTAAGAGCAGTTGGAGGCTACTGAAGGAGTGTTGTATGGCATTGAAGCTCGTTTGGAGGTTTGTTAACACAGTGTCCAATGAAGGGCCAGATGTATACAAAATGGTGTCGTCTGTGTAGAGGTGGATCTGATAGTCACCAGCAGCAAGAGCGACATCATTGATATACACGGAGAAAAGAGTCGGCCCAAGAATTGAACCCTGTGGCACCCCCATAGAGACTGCCATAGGTCCAGACAACAGGCCCTCCGATTTGACACATTGAACTCTATCTGAGAAGTAGTTGGTGAACCAGGCGAGGAAGTCATTTGAGAAACCAAGGCTATTTAGTCTGCCAATAAGAATGCGGTGGTTGACAGAGTCGAAAGCCTTGGCCAGGTCGATGAAGATGGCTGCACAGTACTGTCTATTATCGTTTAGGACCTTGAGCGTGGCTGAAGTGCACCCATGACCAGCTCGGAAACCGGATTGCATAGTGGTATTCGAAATGGTCGGTGATCTGTTTGTTAACTTGGCTTTCAAATACTTTCGAAAGGCAGGGCAGGATGGATATAGGTCTGTAACAGTTTGGATCGATATGTGTCACCCCCTTTGAAGAGGGGGATGACCGCGGCAGCTTTACAATGTCTGGGGATCTCAGACGTTACGAAAGAGAGGTTGAACAGGTTGAACAGGGGTAGCGACAATATCGGCGGCTAGTTTTAGAAAGAAAGGGTCCAGATTGTCTAGCCCAGCTGATTTGTAGGGGTCCAGATTTTGCAGCTCTTTCAGAACATCAGCTGTCTGAATTTGTGTGAAGGAGAAGCGGGGGGGGGGGGGGGGGGGGCATGGGCAAGTTGCAGCGGAGGGTGCAGAGCTGGTGACCAGGGTAGTGGTAGCCAGGTGGAACGCATGGCCAGCCGTAGCAAAATGCTTGTTGAAATTCTCGATTATTGTAGATTTATCGGTGGTGATAGTGTTTCCTAGCCTCAGTGCAGTGGGCAGCTGGGAGGAAGTGCTCTTATTCTCCATGGACTTTAGTGTCCCAAAACTTTTTGGAGTTAGTGCTACAGGATGCACATTTATGTTTGAAAAAGTTAGCCTTTGCTTTCCTGACTGCTTGTGTATGGCTATTTGATGCTAATGCAGTACGCCACAGGATGTCACAAACTTTGAGGGGACGCTTGGATGCTTGTGGTACTGCAGATTTCAAACATTTGTATTAAAGTCATGATTAAACCTTATTGCTATGTATGGGATTTATTTGCAGGGTACATTATCGTTAGTCATTTCGTGGGTCGAGGCTCCATTGCTTAATTGTGACGTTTACAAATGCAATCACATTGACAAGAGACAAATTGGAGTCGGAGTGCATTCCCCCGGTTTTATAATCCATGTCGCTATTATCAATCATTTATCATTTTCTGTATCATTTCAGATAAAACGGAAGCTAAATACGACCCAGATGGGACTCGAACCCACAATCCCCAGCTCCGGAGGCTGATGCCTTATCCATTAGGCCACTGGGTCATCACGTTCCCAGTAAGCGCAGGCCCAGTTTATAAAATTTAAAACGTGACGCGAAAGGCGTGAAAAGTTCTATGGAAGTGTGCATATTTGGGTTCATGACCAACACACTTACTACCAGATTTAGCTAAACTACTGTGCTCTGCGACATGTCGCAGGCAAATTTAATCAAATGTAGTGAAAAGCGAAAAGCTGTACTATCGTCTCGCGATAACAGCGCATCACCACTAGCGACTCTTTCCGTCTTTTTCAAAAAGGGGCCAATGAAGAGGGTGCTTTGACTCGAATGGGCCAATCACAGATCGATCAAGCCGGAAATTTAAAGGTGGGACTCATGTTTGACGTCATTGCTAGTAAGAACAAGAACAAGGTGAGTGCGGTCTTCATGCGTTTGTTACTTAATGTTTATTTTAATGGTTGTAATAGAGCAGTTACTGGGTGCATTCGATATAAATGATATGTGTTGATATATTGTTCACTTATTACTGGTTTTTGGGTGTACTGGTTATGACTAAATGGTTATTTTGCGCGTTTTCAACCGGCCACATGTTAGAAAATAGCTCGCCGGGCAGCAGGAACGCAAAACTGTCTTGCTAGGTAGGAAAACGTTGGCTATTTTAGTATTTTATTTAAAGTACGCACCTAGCTAACATCTACATTTTCCCCATAGCGTTAGTGATCAACACTACAGTGAAGTCATCGCCTTGTTCAATAAGCAACGAAAACTATGTCGACAACTGCGAACGACGCCGATCGTATCACCCAATTCAAAAACAAGGGAAAAGATACCAACGTAAGTTGATATAGCTTCCGCTGCCTTATCTTGATTGATTAGCCAGCCATGAACACCTAGTTTACAGTGTTGCCATTTGTCTAGCACCATGCAACTTGACGTTGTTCATCTGCAGGAATTGAGGCGCAGGAGAGTCGAGGTCAACGTCGAACTTCGAAAGGCAAAGAAAGATGACCAGCTTCTCAAAAGAAGGAACGTCAGTATCTGCCCAGATGAGCCTACATCTCCACTCCAAGAGAAGGACCAAAATGCACAGGTATTTTGTATCCATACTGTAACTACCCTTATTGGAAACTCAAACAGGCAATGGCAAACTTTTGATTATGACAGTGTACAGGCCATCAACAAAGGGTGAGCAACCTAAAGATGTCCCTCATCCCAATAGATTGATTTGTTGCCTTGCTGTCCTGTACTCTGGTCTATCAGAAGGCTGTTAGCTACGTCTATAATCTTATAATCTGTCAATTTGTTCCATTGACACATGCAGACGCTCCACAGATACCATGCAAGGTCATGTAATTAATGTGTAATCCTGCCTTGTTTCCATAGCCTGCACAGCACTGGACGGTTGAGGAGATTGTGGCTGGTGTAAATAGCCAAAGCCTAGATCATCAGGTGCAGGCTACCCAGGCAGCCAGGTAAATCACTAAGCGTTTCATTGGAAACCCGTTTTGGGTAATCACTGTTTCTGTTCTGACTGTTGGCTTTGTCTGTCCCTAACCATAACATTTGACCTGGCTTTCTTCCCCCACAGGAAGCTGCTGTCCAGAGAGAGGCACCCTCCAATTGATCGTATCATCGGTGCTGGGCTGATATCAAACTTTGTCAGCTTCCTGAGCCTGGCAGAGTGTCCTCCCATACAGTTCGAGGCGGCCTGGGCCCTGACCAACATCGCCTCTGGCACCTCGGACCAAACCACCGCAGTGGTGGACGGGGGAGCCATCCCGGCCTTCATTAGCCTGGTGATGTCCCCGCACCCCCACATCAGTGAGCAGGCAGTCTGGGCCCTGGGCAACATCGCTGGTAAGAGAAGGCACACTTTTACCCTGTATCGAGAGCGACTATGGCTTGACTGTTGCCATTGATAGTGCAGAAACAGTGCGCTGAAAGCTTTTCCCGTGTTTGTTGGAATAACTGATCCTGTCAACCTGTCTTTCACGTCTGCAAATCTTTAGTGTGAAACTTCATTCTTATTTTGCACAATTTTTATTGGTATTTCTCTTTTGAAAATACTACTACTTGAACATATGGTAGTTCAGTAAACCTTTTGCAATAAGCCTCCTTACTCTGTCTGTGTGGGGTTGTATGCCAGGTCAACAGGCTTCTGACTGACCACAGTTTTGACATGGCCTGATTCCTCCCCTTTCCTCAGGTGATGGCTCCGCCTACAGGGACTTGGTCATCAAACATGGCGCCATTGAGCCCCTACTGACTCTGCTGGCCGCTCCTGAGCTGTCTGTGTTCTCTGTAAGTTTTTTATGTGTTATGAGGAAGAGCTCTGGGTTGTTGTGGAATTTGTTAGCAAGTGCTGCAGGAAATTCCACTCGTTTATCAGCTATTTTTCGTTGGTGGTTCTTGTAAAGTAGGAATGTGGTTGATTTGTCGTGCTATGTACAGTTGACTATTTAGCTTTCTCATCTTCATCTTGGCCCATTACCTCAATTTGCTGCATCCATAAATCTAAATATAGAGGTGTGTGTGTGTGTATATATTGATCTCTAACGACGTCTCCCTCCTTCCAGTCTGGTTACCTGAGGAACGTGACCTGGACCCTGTCCAACCTGTGTCGTAACAAGAACCCTGCTCCGCCATTGGCGGCCGTGCAGCAGCTGCTGCCCACGCTGGTGCGCCTGCTCCACCACGACGACAAGGAGGTGCTGGCCGACACCTGCTGGGCCGTATCCTACCTGACGGACGGCCCTAACGAGCGCATCGAGGTGGTGGTGGTGCAGGCCGGCCTGGTGCCCCGCCTTGTCCAGCTGCTCGGCTCCGGGGAGCTCACCATCGTGGTACGTCCCTTCACCGCGGTTACCAGGCTTTCATTAGTGATCAGCGTTATTGATACTTTGAGTACTGGC